CGAGGGGCGGAGCGAGCGTGCCCCGATTAATCCCATACCGTTCCACCGACACGCGTGTGTGTGCGTGTGTGTGAGGGAGACGGGGATTGTGCGACACGTGTGTCAGGTACAGGGCATTTCACAATCTAGTTGGGGTGCGCGAGAGGCCGCCATTCCTGCGTGCTCATTCCGAAAAGTCGCTGCTCGGCGAGGGACACCAAAGAGCGCCCGTAGGCAACTTCCTCGGTCGCGCGCAGGCGTGCGTTGCTGTTGCCTACGCTGCAGGCGCTCGACGAGCCAGGCAGACAGACTGACTCTCTTCTTTACAGTGTAAGAGCGCCACGGGGCGCGCCAAATGAAGAGCGGCGTCCATGTGGCCTGCCTCTTTCTCTCTTTCTCCTCGATGCTCGGCACAAGGCGCGAGGCACAAGGCGGTGAGGCGTCCCTGCCCCCACCCTCCGCCGTCTCGTTACAATGAGACCGATGCTGCCATCGAGACCAATACGGCTCCAATAGGGGCAGTGAGAGTACCGAGTCAGCGGCACCATTAACTCCAGAGAGATTTCCCGCGAGGTCTCTTTCAGCGCGGGAAATTTCCCCGACGACGGTTTCACACTTTCTTTCTGCACTCTTCTCTAGACCCCACAGCATTTTTACATCCGAAAACGCGGTGGCAGCGCTGCGAACGGTCTCGACACGCCGCCACACTGCGATAAATCAACTCGACACAAGAAGTGCTATCATTTTACTCTCGCATTCACGCTCACTCACACACTCGCGCACTCGGGGCCCGACACAAAAAACGGGCGCAGCACAGGAGGTCGTCCGCGTCGTGACGGAGGGCGCCTCGCTCCCTGCTCCACTTTTCGGACGCGCTCTCCCGGTGCGCGAGGACGCGGCCGCAGTCACAGCCACGCACCGCGTTTCGGACGCACGGGTTGGTGCGTGTCCGTGTGACAGGGCCGAGCCGCGCGGCACGACGAAAGCACCGTATCGCACGGCAAAGCTCCAAAGCGAAGCTCTCGGCGTGACACCGGGCCATCACGCATGCTAGCTACTGCGAGGGAAGTCCCACATCGCGGTCACTTTTTCCACCGTCGCGTCTCTCTCAGCCCCGATGGACGAAATCGGGACCAATTTAGTTTTCCAGACTTCCTCCAGCTGCGACGAAAGAACTCCGCTATTTTTTTTTCATCCCTTTTCGTTTTGCAGTGTAGGCGAGGCCCGCGTAACCGACCACTGGGCCACGTGCATCCCGAAATTATTAATCGACTGCGCCGCGCCACGCCACGCCGCGCAATGGGCGTCCTGAATGGAGCCGGCCACGCCGCGAACGCCGCGAACGCCGCGAACAACGACGCGTCCTCCCCTTTTTTCCCGTTTTGCTCCGGCAACGAAACGAAACGAAACAAAACACCATTGAGGCCGGCCGGGCTGGCGGGGTGCCTGCCCCTTCCGCGCTTCCGGGAGGCAACATTTTCAAACCATCCGTCGCGCTTCACTTCGGTGTTCTGTTCTCAAGAGCGACGTGAGCGCCGCTCAAAGCTCAATCGCGCACATTTTCGCGGTGGTGTAGCAGCACGCGTTTGCAACATTGTCCGTGTGTGTGTGCGTGTGTGTGAGCGAGGACGGAACCAGTTGCGTCGCGGGGGGAAGGCGCACGGCCATTGTGCGGGGCAGTCTGCCTCGCAGTCCGCTGCCTCGTCACCCCGTCTCTCTCGCACCCGCACGGACCGCCCCACGAAGGGCACGAGTGCGAGAGAGACGGAGCGACGACAGAGCACTGTTCGGAGCCGGCGTGCTGCAGGCAGGGACGCCATGGCATCGCGCTGCTCAAAGGCGGTGACTTTAACCCGCTTCGATTTACGGCCGGAGAGAGAGAGAGACAGGCACACAACCCGGACACGCTGCGGGCCTGCAGGTCTCAGACAGGGGAAGCCCCAGATTCGCCCGGCCGTTAACACAGCACACTCCGGGACGATTATCGGCTCGTCGGTTCGTCAAATTGCCGCTACGATTGTTGCCGCCAATCAACTACTTTTACGTTGTTGTTGTTGTTTTTTTCACTTCGCGAACGGAGCAGGCTGATCCCGAGCAGTGCTTTCGTCGGTCCCGTTTCTTTCGCACTCACGAGGGGGTTCCGCAGCAGTGCGAGAGAGACAGAGCGTTGCAATAAAGAGGCCGCGGTATGAGGAGCGCCCCGAACGGGCGGCCGAATGGAGGATGTTATAACGACGCAGCTTCTCTGCGGCTAGGCAGACCCGCAGCACTCCGAGGTGGGGCGAAGACAAAGGCAGCGGCCAGCCCATTTACGGGAGGGATCACCACGCACGTCGTGACTGACATGTCTTTTAGGCGATTTTTTTTACGCTGCCTCTGCAGTTACATGTTTCGAAAAAAAAATCAGAGAACTCTGCACTTGCGTCTAAACGGCGTGTCGCGAGTCGTGTGGACGTGACAGCGAGAGTGTCCTGCGTCCCACAACAATACGTTACAGGTCGGAGAGCAACGGGGATTGGCAAGGGGCGGGGGGACGCGTCGAGAAGTCGATGTTCGCGATCGAGTCTTGCGGTGGCGCGGCTAGGCGCGGCGTGGTCTGCATGCGTCGCCGCGCCGTCACCGCGCGTCCCCGACAAAGCGGAGCAAGCGGGGCAAGCGGTGCACTCTCCACGGCCCGTGCAGGCCATTCAGGCCCTCACCTCGGAGTCTCCGGGTCGGCCGAGTCGCGGCCACGCGGCCACGCGCGGCCCGGAAGCGATAAAGGACAAGAAGAAGAAGAAGGAGGAGGGCAAAAGGCATGCCGTGCCTTCCATCGCGGTCATCTGTCCCTGGGCTGCCCGTCGTCCTGCATGTCCTGGCACACGGCCTCGTTGGCTGCCGCGCTGCTGTCAGCACGCCGGCGTCCTCATCGATGCCCCGATGCACACGCACACGCACACACACACACCGGTGCCCCCACACACACATACACACACACGACAATACTCGTCTCGAAACTTCCGTCGTCTGGTGATTTCAAAGTCACCGCGGCCACCCTTTTCTACAAATAAAAGTGCCAAGGCGAAAGAAACGGAGCGTTATTTTTGGATGCAGCACGTTGTGTTCCTCAAAACTGTCGATTTTTTTTATGTCGGTAGATGGCAGTAAGACTCTTAAAAAATAATGGAAAACTAAAAAAAAAAAACGCGTGTGGAAAATGAAAATTAAATTGACTGTTACTTTTATTTCCAGGGCGAGATTGGCATCTTCTCGTTGGAGAAAGCCATTTTTTTTCCTATTCGTCCAGTGTAGGAAATTAGCGCGATTTGGTCCCATCCAATCCCCGCGGGGCACTGCGAGGCGCTGCCAGGCGCTGCATGTGGGTGATGTGGGTGCGCACACGAGGCGGCGGCCCCGCGGCCCCGCGGCCTGCGAACTCCACCTCGTCGCTCCGTCTCTCTCGCACCCTTGAGGCGCGGCCCGCGAGTGCGAGAGAGAAGGGAGGCGGCGCGGTGGGACCGCTCCCATCATTCCGCGGTGCGGTGCGGCCCCGCCAGTGGCGGAACTCGCTCCAGCAGCTCCAGGCAGCTCCAGGTAGGCGGGGCGGGAATATGCAACGTAATTTGAATGTTTTCGACTCGTACATGACGTACTCGTGGCTCCACTTCCCGACGTTCCCGACGGCCACACAACAATGCGGCACTGGAGCGGCCCCTGCCGCCGCCCTGCCGCCGGGGCCGCGCCGCGCACGCCGCGCAAGCCGAGTCGCTCTACGGCAATGCATTGATTTTTCGACGGAAGAGAAGACTGAAAGAGAACACAGCGCATTGGCCAACCTCTGCCCTCCACCAGGCCGGCTGGACTAGTTCACGGGGCTGGACTTCCAGAACGAGATCTCCTCGCCCGCGAATCGCGCCACAACGACGAGGACTGTCCCGCGTGCACGCACACTGTCGCGGTGACAGCGTCACTCCAGTCTCCACCCTCTCGCACACGACAGACGCGAATCAGACAGAGAGAGGACACTCTAGGGCGACATCGCGACATGCAAACGAGCGACAGATTCGGAGCACCGCACTTTCCACTTGACAGAGCACCTCGCCTTCAGAGTGTGCTTCGGGCTGAGTGGCAATGTGGCGCACCGAGGGGCGCACCGAGGGGCGTACCGTGGGGCGTACCATGGTGGAGGAGGTCGCTGCACGCGCCGCACCGCGCCGCTGCTGCTCCGGGGATGGCGAGACGTACAGTGGAGGCGCGCGGCGAGCGGCGGCGGCTTTATAGCATTCGGCGAGCCTGCAGGGACGCAAAGGGCGGGCGGGGCGCACCGGGCACCGCACCGGGCACCGCACCAAGACGGGGGAGAGGAAGGAGGGGGCACGCCGACCTCGACCTCACGCTGCCTGGTGCGGCCCTAGAGGACCCGAGGGCCCGCAGGACTACGCGGGACTCGGACCGGCTCGGACACTGCTCCAGGACTACTCAGGGCCGAGCGACGTCCCCGGAGAGGGACTTCCCTCTGTCGCATGCTTCCCCCCTCTCTCTTCCACAGAGCTGGGTCCAGCCACAATCTCCAGTTTCCGTGGCAGTGTTTTGCAAGTGTTTTTAATTATTTTCGTTCGTGTTTGTCTTCCTATTTGCCTGCAGGACGGCGGCGGCGCGGCGCTCCTCGGCTTCTGGTTCCGGCCGGGATGTGGTTCATGATGTCCACTCACTCCCTTCCCCGCAAGTCCGACCGCGGCCGACACTCAGGGCGTGCGCCATGCAGTGGAGGTGTGAGTGGCGCTGAGTTAATCCGAAACAGCCGTTCCGTCTCTCTCGCACCGGCTGGGCGTTCCGTGGGGGTGCGAGAGAGACGGAGCGACGAGGCTTCGTGACGAATTACCGCGGCCAACGAGCCGACCATCGCCACGTCGCCACGCAGGGCCGCAAGCAGGAAGCCGCCGCCGCGGTCATTTGTTTAGAAAAATTTGAAGCTGAGTTGTAGGGGTAGTGTATGTACTGCGAGGTTTTGGATGAGGTGACTTACAGAAAAATATGGAGTATTAAACATTACTTAGTAAGTTTTTTTTTTTTTTTTTTTTAAAGAAAACATTCCCAAGGTTTAACAGGATTTTTTTACCAGAACTTATAACAATAAAACAAAGGTGAAAAATAACAGCCACAAGTTTACACAATATTGGCAGTCTGTTTCACTTGAGAAACAGGGGGGAAAAACCATCAACTGTTGTTGATTTTAGTTTGAATTACCATAACAGAATTAAGTATAAAAGCACAAATGTCTCCACTTAATGAGTTGGCCAAGATTATTCCTTATTTTCCCCCACCTTTTTAAATGAATTCGCTATCTCTTTAATAACAGACATCTTTTCTTGTAGCTGGAATGTAACAGTTTCTTTTGCACTTTCATCAGAATCATCTGTTGACAGAAGTTTCAAAACAAGATCTGTAAAAGAGAGCAAAAACACAATTCAACCAAATTGTAAACAAGGCGAAACAATCAAAGGATGTAGTAGAGTGAGTTTGCTCACCATAATATTCTTGTAAGGTTTTGAAGGTAGGCACTGGCAAATGAGGCTGAAGGAAAGCTAGCAGAATGTTGACATAACGACCAGATGCATGTAACATGTTTTGCGTTACACCTTGACACAGAATTAATGCAGCGATGTGCAATACTTGAGCTGGTTCTTGGGATGTATTCATTTGCTCAAGCAAAGCTTGCCGGTGCCCAAACACCATAACTCTAAATGTGTGAGAACATAAAAACATTAAAAAGGATGCTACAACCTGAATTTACTCTACCATGTGAATTTTGAATTTACCTTTCTTTTTTCTTGTCCGGCTTGCGAACAACAACATCACAAACTTCAGGGCCAAGAGCATAGTCCAATGCGGTGAAAAAGTCATCAAGTGATGAACCAGTTAAAGATTTGTTTAGTTTTTGAATAGCTTCTTTTTCAGATCCTCCAGATTCCTGAGCTACTTTTTGACGAGTCTGAAAGAAAAAGTGTCAGTGTATTCATAGCGGCAAAAAAATTTATTCCACTACAAAGAAATAAAATTGAAAAAGAGTTATCTTACCTCTTGTAGCATTTCTTTTCTGGAGTCCCACTGGAGCATGCGTTCCTGGGCAATGAAGCCAACTATCTCATTGGCAATGTCTGTACCAAATGTTTTTAGAAGATATTTGGAGAGTTGATCATGAGCAGATTCTTTGGCTGGTGGCACCACATCAGTAGAAAATCCTTTAAGACCTCTTTCAAACAATCGGATGTTGGTGATGAGGTTGTTAAGCTTCTCCTGCAGGTCATGGTGTGTCTTTCTGCGGGTGCCAACTTGATTTGACATAGTGCTATCCAACACAGCTTGAGCCACGTCAAGGGCTGTTTTGTTTACGGACCTAGAAAATGGAGAAAGTGTTAAAAGTATACATTCATATGTTTTAAAAAAAAACATCTGATGTGGAATACCACTTACAGGTGCAAATGTTTGGCAATCTCTTCTAACAAAGACACCTTGTCATCTTCATCCAAGCCACGAAAACTCTCTTCCTTTGAAATCACACTGATGATATCATGAATGGTTATAATTTCTAGGTTGGTGGGCTTGCGGCTAGAAATCACTGGAGCTTCATCATCAGAATCTCCACCTCCACGCCCACCACGACCACCCTTCTTCTTAGTTGATTTGGTCTTTGTTTCACGGCCCTGAAAGAGCAATCATGGAAATGCATATCAATAACTTTTATGATTCCTGTGCGGTCTGGCATCATCGTGCCATGACATTAAGAAATTTTACTGTACCTGAGTCCCGCCTCCAACTTTACCTCCTGCAGCCTTCTTCCTTCTCTCATCCCGCTTGTCAACCTTATCTTCTTTTATGTCGTCTTTCTTATTATCCTCTGGGGTTTGGTTTCGATCAATTTGCCATTGTTGGAAGGCTCCAGAAGATACACACTGAAAAATATCACTAAGAATCAGAGAAAACAAGGATAATTATCTCAAAATAAAAAAAATTGCATAGTGCTTGAACTTACTTTTTCTGCTTTTTGTTGCACAATGTCCTTGAGAGGAACCACCAGTTTGTTAAGAAAACTCTCAGTTACTACAACAGTGCTATTGAAGACTTTCACAGACGGCACACTACCGCCAGGTGTTTTAACCGTTTTGAGCACTTCTACTAAGATTTGCTCAGCACATGTGGTATCCAGAGCAGATGGTAAAGTAGGCTGCAATAAATAATTAATGTACACCTGAAATATTGTTCAAAACTAGCAGATTTTCAGCAAGTTTGGCAGGGTTGATGAGACATACCAATATATCAACCCATGTTCCGGTGCTGACAGCCTCTTCAATCGCACCTTTAATTTGCTCTAAAACGGATGGCCCAATAGCAGCACTGTCAAGAAATAAAAGATTCTCACCTGCCAAGTGCTTTTTGACATATGCCTGTCCATCAGATATACCAACCCGCGACATGGCATCATATTCTACAAATGAAGTGGGAATCAGATGTGTGGATTAGAGAATAATTCTAACAACATAAAGAAATTGATCATATGTTCACTAAATGTTACAATGTTTGAGAATTACCTAGGAACCCATTTTGTCTGTAGAATTGGTCAACCCAATCACTTTGGGATTTTGAGTACACTGAGGGCACATACATACTATTGGAGACTTGTTTGCCCGATAATGTTCCTGGCACTTGCTTTGCTTTTGCAAGTTCCTCAAACAGAGCTAAATGGGACACAAAGATAGTTAAGACAAGATAACTACATTAATGTTACGTTGATTACAGTTAGAGAACACTAACAGTAAAACAGTCGGTCTTGCACTCCGCACAGGTTCAGTAATGTGCTCACAGCTGTGGGTTTCATTATTCCAATGATAGCACCACGAATAGTGGCCATGTTCCTGGCAACAAAGGCCTCAGTGAAGAACACATTAGGGTCTCGAGGGTCTTGCTTGGCACGAATAATCTTCCCAAGATTTTCCTGCACCACCTGTCAAATAACCGTCATTTTAAAAAGGGATATCACAAATTAGAAGACTATGCAAGTACAAAGGTGAAAAAACACTTAGTGAAAATACCTTCTGAAGAAACTCATTTGGCAAGTCATACTGTTGTGTTAGGCTATTTGTTGAGACAAATCCTCGCTGAACAAGCAAATCGTTGATTTCTTCAGCTAGCTGAGTGATATATGTTCCATTAATAAGCTGACCAAGAACTACTGTTATATTACGACTCTTCGACTGCAGCTGAGCAGCTTTTTGTGTAATGTGGCTGAGATCAACATTTAGTATCTCGGCCAGGTCAACCAAACTGACCCGACCTGTGAAACACAAGAGACGTTGAATAAATACTTAAGAATTTTAAACAGTCCATCACTTAAAAAACATCACCGTGGACCACCCCTGAAATTCTTCCAAATGATTGGTTCGAGCCAAGGTAATTAGAAGTTCGGATGCTAGAAAACCGAAACGTTTTTCGATGCCACAGGAATCACCGATTACCGATCATAGAAAAGAGTTTGAGGAGTGGTTCATATTACCCGCTTTCACGGTACTAAGAAATCAGTACCTCCATGCACCTCCAGTTCATCTTTTAATTCTGTCAAGAGCTGTTGTGGTGTGACATACTCTTTTCCATCATTTGTGAAAATAATGTCTATTAATTTCATATCCACCAATTTGGTCATTAGTTCGACACAGTTTCGTTCTGACAGTCTGAAATTTGCAAATCAAATCAATTACAGTTCATGTGGCAGCTGAAGTTGTGTAGAAAAGAGAAAAATTACTTTGACATTCAGAACATTATCCTTTCATTTCTAAGTAATCCGCTTCAACTATGGTTTTATGTATTCAAATCAATAGAAGCAGAAAGTTAGAAAAGAGAGGTTATGTAACCTTAAGTCTTAAGTCGTAACTTTCTACGAAGGGAATACTTGTCATATGTCAAAAAATGATAAAATGAAATTACCGTTGAGTTGTGGAGATGAGCTGGGCTCGCTGGAAGCCAGCGGCCAGCCTTTTCACTTCTTCCCATTCAACAGCTGTCATGTTTACCAGGCAAAAGCATACGACGGCAACCAGACGGCAACATCCGCTGAGGGAGATGGAGGGGGGATGGGGGGGATGGGAGGTGCCCCCACCTGCAGCTACCGGCAGCCACCGGCAGCGACAGCAGGCGACAGCTAGAGCGACAGCCAGCGACCGCGAGAGAAAAGTGGGGCTGCCAGTCAGAGAGGCGTTGTTTTACTCTGGTGTTTTACTCTGTTTTACTCTGGTGTTTTACTCTGGTCTTTTACTCTGGTCTTTTACTCTGGTGTTTGCTTGCTGTTTATTCTTGCAAGGTGAGTGTTTCGGTGGCTGTGTTTTGATAGCTGTCGTAGTGGTTTCTGCGTGCGGGGGGTAAGTGGGACTCGAACCGAACGTGTGACCGACCCCATGCTAATAGATTCCTTGCGCGATGACCCTACCGGTTGGGTCATGTTGTGCGGCAGCAGCTCGGGCAGCAGGGCGGGTTTCGAGGGGTTCGTCGCGGCTGGATGTCCGCTGTCCATAGGACGCGCCTGTAGTTGTAGTTGCATTGTAGTGTAGTTGCAGCTGACCATCGATGCGTTTAGCAGTCTTGCGCCTGAGTCCTAGTGCACGGCGGACATGCGGTGTCGAGGGTGATGATGTGCAAGCGAGCAGCCAGCGCGCGGTTGGCTTGTTGACGGGTCATCCGTGGCGCTGGGGCCGGGGTGGGGCCCGCGAGCTTAGCTTCCTAACGGGTGTAGCGTTTCAGTGGCGGCGGGTCTCTGCCGAAAGGAGGGTCTCGAGGAAGGTGGCTGGAAGGAAAGTTTATTGGGTTCAGAGCAAGTATACGTCCGCACGGCTCGAGGGCGGCCTGTCTAGTGGTCTAAGAGAGGGGTCATGACCCCCCCCCTGACCCCTCCCCCTGCGCGTGCCACTGCTTGAGCCCCGCGCGGGCCGCGGGGCTCTGCAATGCCAGTGTGGTGACGCCGCGACGTCGGGGAGGGTGGCGCGCCGTCTCTCTCGCACCCTGCGAGACGCCCTCGAGAGCGACAGAGACAGAGCGACTGCTCGGGATCAGTCGGCTGCCCCCGATCATCGGGATGGATAATGCTGCGGTCGGCGTCGGAAGTCACCCTCGGTCACTTCCGACGGTTTCTCTTTACGCAATGCCACTCCGCTGGCGTGTGCCTGTGTGTGCGGTGTGCCTGCGCCCAGTGGCCCCTGCGCACGCCACTGGGTCAGGTAGGGGTACCATGCGGGACGCCCCATGAGTGCGAGAGAGACAGAGCGACAGCCTGCTATGGGTGCCGCGGTTGACTTGACGACGCCGGGCTGACGGCGTGGTGCCGCGCCGTGGAGATGAAGGGGTTCTGGGGCCTTCATAAGATGGCACCTCCTTTTTAAAATTCCAAATTTGTTTCCTTTGCAGTCGAACTTTATTGATGAACACCCACTATTCTCATTAGTATCATCTGCTTTCGAGTTATAGCGCTAACTTTTTTACGTTTTCATTGTGTTTTCAGATGGAGAGAGAATTATCTTTTTGCGACCACCACCCTCCTTCCGCCCGTGGGCGTAAGTATTATTTTTATTTATTTGCCTATCTATGTGACGGGATATCTCAGGGGCGTGATGGAATCTATGAGAATTTGCAGGTAAGTCAGTAACTGTAATTGTAACTGTAAGTGTAATAGCTATCGTTGCCTCTTCTCCTCCCCCCCCCCCCCCCCCCCCCGGACCGGGGGAGGGGCAACGCGGCACCTCGCCTCTGGAGCTGAGCTCCGATGAGCAGCCGAGCCGAGCAGTTTTGCTTGTTGGGTCTATCGGCTGCAATTTTTGAAAGTCCGTGTTCATGGTGAAATGACAATTTTTACAACACCACGGAACGGCAAACATTTCGGTGTAGGTGTAAAATGCAGTTTTTCCTGCTTCGTAAAAATAATCGCTTAAATTAAAATTTTACATGAATGGATCCAAAATTTTGTCCCGCGTGCATTGGTCATCGTTGCAAACATGTCAAACGACGCGTTGGAAATTTGACTCTCTAGACTAGGCCCAGTGCTATTGCCAGCTATTGCTCTTAGCGACTCGACCTCAATTAATTGGTCTCCTTTGTGTTTCGGACCCCGCGCGATGTGAATGCCGAGCGCCATGTTGGTTCTGCACGCGTTCTTGCAGGTGGCGCCTTGGTTTTCCATTGGTGGGGGTGGGCCATGCGCAGACAGTAGCTCCTGTGGCAGTGCAGCCCTTACACTCTAAATGTTGTACAGTGAAGATTCTCCATATTATGGTGAAAATGTTCCATATTATGGTGGTGCAGCTGACTTCATAATATACCTTTGAGAATTCACTATACCTTATAGATATTTTGACAAATTTCGTTGGTGAAAATCTGCACCATAATATGTTGGTGCAGCCTTTCACCGAAAGACATTTACAGTGTAGTGGCCCCGAAGCGCAATTTTTTTTTCAAGCCGAATGCCTCGGCGGGGCTTACAGCGGTCTGTTCATCGGTCTTTAATTTTTTTTTTTCTGCTTGTTTAGTGCCAGACGCGCCCCCCTCGCCGCCCGCGCAGGTTCTTGAACTGCAGGGGGAGCAAATGCTGCGGCGCCAGCAACTGCAGGGGGAGCAAATGCTGCGGCGCCAGCTACTGCAGGGGGAGCAAATGCTGCGGCGCCAGCAACTGCAGGAGCAACATATGCTGGAGCTCAAGCAACTTCAGGTGCAACATCAGATAGAAGAACACCGGACTCAGTTGAACCTCCTGCACCTGCAACTGCAGCTGCAGGAGCAACAGCTGCAGGAGCAACAGCAGCAATTATGGTAAGTTAGAACTCCTCCACCTCTCTCGGCCATGCGAGACGCCCCGCGAGTGCGACCAGGACGAAAAATGACTCTTCGTCTTCCACTGACTCGCGCAACGCCGCGGACGCGCTCTTTCAACTCGTGGACGCGTTGCTGCGTGCCCCTGCCGCAGGCTGATTCGCTGTCTCTCTCGCACTAATGGAGCGCCTCGTTGGGTTGCGAGAGAGACAAAGCGACGAAACGACTCCGCTGCCGCATGGGCATGTTTCTACGTCTCAGCCTGCAGTGCCTTGATGACTAAGCCAAGTGCAGCAAGCAGCACGTGCTGCGCGTTGTCGTTGTCACTCTGAAGCCGGTCAGCCTCTCTCGCGCTGTCCGAAAGGCTGCTCTCACTGCGAACTGGTGCGGTGCGTCCTAGTGCCTCGGCCGCCGAGAAATGGTTCTACTCTATGCACGGACGGTCTGTCGCGTTGTGCAGTGGTCCAGCAAGTTCAAGACCAGGCGGCGATGCCGTTCCGCACAACGCCAGAGCGCCGCGGGTTGCCTATCCTTCGGTTCGCAGGCGCTTCTGTGCCTGGGCCGCCGCCGCCGAGCCCGGCTGGGCCGTGCTGCGCCGTGTCCGGCCCGGCCGGGGTCCCGCGCGTGCTCTGTGCTCGGTACCGTATGGAAGCAGTTGGCTGTAAATGGTCGTTTTTCGGTAGGAAAGTGGTCTTTGGTCGGAGACAAGTCCGATTTTCAGACGACTTTACTTTGCGACAGCCTACCAGACGGCAGCCGCGCGGGATTCGTCGTCGGATTCGCGTAGCAAAATGCTCTAAAGACGACATCGGGACGAAAGACGAGAGGTGGCCCGCAGCCAGTTCGGCTATGCCCACTACTTGAAAGCTTCAACTCAATTTTAATAGCCTTTTTGTGGATCTTTACACCATCCATTTCTATTGTTAACTTTTACCTGTCTGTTGATCATTATTGTCTAACCAATTTCTAACCAATGTGTTAGGAACAATGTCTTCACTTCCTGTCAGTTCTTTGTTTACTTCTTCCCTGTTCAAAAAGTGCACTTATTAATTTTATTTGTTACTTTTAGGAATGAAAGCACCAGTACCAGCGCCAGCTCCTCATCCTCCACCAGCTCTTCTTCATTAAGTCCAATTGGTCATCAAATCTGTAAGCCAGAAGAGCTGTGAATCTGTGAAACTTAAAATTGTACTGAATGAAAGACCTTTTGTTCCACGCCAGGGGCATGTGCGGTGTGTTGTGTATGTTGGTGTGAAGCGGTCTGTTGGAAAATGCCTGTCTTGGACAGTTAAATATTTTTAAAGTGTGTGTCGCACCTGTACGGATGTTTCTTTCCCTTTGTGTGTGCTCTCATATGGTAACCTTTTACTAAAACATTGAACAATGTCAAAGGCTAACGGTACCCAATATGTAATAGACTTAACTCCCTCATTAAAATGATCTTCTTTCATATTTCGCGACAGCAGTTCCAACTCCCTTATTTTTCCATCTCTCCCCATCGTTCCACGTTCCCACGCGACACCACTCGGCTCTCGACTCCACTCTCAGCTGGCAACTTGTCTCCTCCCAGGACAGAGGTACAGCTGTCATCATGAGTTGAGCGCGAAACCGGAGCCAATAGGGGGCCGTCAGTGCTGAACGGTTGGCTTCACAAGCGGACTCGCAGATTTCATTTCAAAAGGCCAGCCGTCTATCTCGGCGTTTACGCCACACACAGCCAAAAGCCGCCTTTCACCGCCAAAACCTGTCGAAGTTCGTTGTCTAGAACGCCTGGTTGGCCTGAGAAGTGCCAGACGGGTGCACCATGGTGCAGGGGCTCGGTGTGGCGGGCTGTGATGGGCAGGACAGTCGTCACGCGAGGGGTGGCCGCGGAGGGGTGGCCGGGGGTGGGCCGCCCCTCTCGCGCTTGCCGAGCCCGCCGCCAGAGGGCAGGGGCGTAGCAGCGCAGGCTAGAAGGCGGTGCCGCCCGCCCTGCCGCGCTGCTGGGGCTGCTTTGCAGTGTGGCCTACCCCATGCACGGGACGGGATCTGGAACCGCGCAGCGCTGAGTGCGTCCGTATCTGCAGGGGCTTCAGGGGCCATGGGGGCCATGGAGGCCTCGACGACGTTGACGGGGAGCTGCGGGCAGCGCAGCAGCACGCCGCAGCGCACGGGCTCGGCCCTGTCGTGAGATCGGTGAGTAACGATCTCAGGGAACATATGGTCGCGGCAACCCGCCCACCGCTTCGCCCACCCCGCCCAACCCGCGCCGCCCCGCCCCGCCCCGCCCCGCGGGGGCCGTCGCCCGTCACCTGACGTCAGAGACAGCCCGGCAGGACCGGGACAGCCTGTGCACGCCGACACACTCATTGACACACACGAGCGCACACACGCGCGACGGCCTGCGCGGCCAGGGCGACCACAACCCCTTCGCCATCAGCTGATTGCCGGGAGGTTAGGCCGACGGAGTGGCGGTGTGTTGCCTCCACTGTGTCACCGCGCGCGTTCGACGCCGAGGCCAAAGAGGACGCCGTTAAGGTCGGGCAGGACGTGCCCAGGGAGGGTGCCGGCTGTCAGCCTGGCCACACGTTGGCAGTGACAACGCTCGGCATTGACAGGTCAACGTGTTTGCAGGCCGTCCTCCCTTGGACGATCCGCGGGGGCTGCGGAACGGGACGCTGCGGGAGCAGAGATATTTTATGTCCCCAGCGCGCCGTCCGGAGTACACTGATTTTCAGCGCACTGCGCTTTGCACAGCCTAACACTCCGAGCCGTACCGCGACAGCAGTCAGGAGGGTCAAACTTTTGAAGTCTCACGGCTTGGTCGTGCCCGCCGACCCCATCCCGCTGTGTGTCGTCCCGGGAATTCACTTTGACGTGGCGGTGGAGGACGAGAGTCTGGAGGCGGGACACCGCGGCAGGTGGTCCCGTTCCAGTCCCAGGTCCCGGAGCGCGATTGGCTTGACGTTGCGCTGATCTTCCTTCCGGACATTTCGGCTGCGTTACCTCTGCGCGCCTCCCCGCTCCCTACGCCCCCCGCCCCGCTGGGTGCTGCGCCGCTGCGCCGCCGCCGCCGCTGCCGAGGCACGAAGTTTCCCGAACGCATCGATCCACCCTCGGCCGGCGTTCGGCCGTTCGGCCCCGCAGCGCCCCGCCCACGCCGCGCCACGCGCTTCCCCCACCCCCGCCCTGCCTCCGCGCCGCCCGCGCCGCCCGGGCGGAGTGGACTAGGACGGGGTGTTCGTCCGGAGCCCCGTGGGCCACCCCGTGGCTAGCGGCCCGGGCCAGCTGTTCTCAGAGCTCCCCCGTGGCCGATGAGTGGGAGCGGACCCATGGCTGCTCGGGTCGCTGGCCGCCCCAGCCCAGCCCCAGCTCCAGCCCCAGCTCCAGCTCCAGCCCAGCCCCAGCCCAGCCCCAGCTCCAGCCCCAGCTCCAGCCCCGCCCCCGCGCGGCCCGGGCGGTCCAGGGAGACGGCCGCTCGCCCAGTGCTCCCAGCCGACGGTGATGACGTCAACCCCTCCCCCCTTTCCCCCTCCCTCGGTCTCGCTGGAAAATGCGTTGCCAATTGCCCCTCCCCTCTCGCTCTCCAGACTATTGAACGCCCGTTGAACGCGCGAGGCCCGCGCACACTTTTCGAAGCAGATGTTGAACCAACGGGCCTCTCTCTTGCTTTGGACAGCAACAGGTGTCCTTGACAGTGTAGCACAGAGGGCATCGCACCTCGTTGCAGAACAAGAATTATGATCGCTCGGAAACATTTGACTGTTTCCGTACGCACCTCCACTCGCTGAAAGAAAGCGAAAGCGAACTCACAGTGTGATCGCGTATCGCACGCAAAGTAATTGCCATTTCTGGCAGCAATGACATCGTCTTATTCACCAATTAAATTGGCTCCGCGCGTTCCAATTTTCCACGGTGTTTTAACAGTGTAGGGGTCGGGAACGGCCGCGGTCTATGATCCTCGTGACCCCGTGGGGCGGGAAGCCACCACTGGGTCAGGCGGTGCGCAGCGAACATATGTTGTTGGAAGTGCTCTCTCTTGGCGCAGACTTGGGCGCGGGCCAGCCCGTGACACGCCGCCGCCATGTTCGAAGGCGTGGTCGCCGCCGTGCTCAACAGGTTCCTGGGCAAGTACGTCCAGGACCTGGACACCGAGAACCTCAACGTAGGCATCTTCGGCGGCGATGTGCAGCTCCACAACCTGCGCATTCGACCCGAGGCCCTTGTGAGTAAAACACTGAAAAAAGAGCAAAGAAAAAGTGCTTTGGCAGTCTGACGCCATGGAATCCTTGTCTGCCGCAGTACGAGCTCGACCTGCCGATCGAGGTGAAGCAGGGCACCATCGGCAGGGTGGCCCTCAACATCCCCTGGAGCGGACTCTACACTGAATCAGTCATCGTCACCATCGAGGTAGGCGACTGCAGTGGTCTAGCCCGTAATGGTAATGGTACGGCGGGTAGGCAACTGAGGCGTCACGCAGCGCGGGCGGGAGTTCGGGTTGCCTACCCGGTGCATCACAGGCGCTCCACCTCGAGCGCGCTTTTTCTTCGCCCGACTGGCGGGTGTTTGAACCTCGGTCCTTGTTCCTCGTCTCGCAGGATGTGTACGTGGTGGCCGGCCCCGTGCTGCAGGGGCCGTACAGCGCGGAGCGAGACAAGCGGCTGCGCCGCGCCGCCAAGAAGAAGCACCTGGACGCGGTGGACTCGAGCGACTGGCTGGGCATGCCCGACACGGGCTCCTTCCTCGAGAACCTCATCACCACCGTCATGAACAACCTGCAGGTGTTCATCCGCCACGTGCACATCCGCTACGAGGACACCATGATGCACCCCGACCCGGACGTCACCCTCACGTGCGGCATCTGCCTCTTCAACCTGTCCGTCGAGTTCACCAACAAGTAAGCCGTCAAACAAAGTCAATCATTAGAGTGTTGTCGGTAGCTTGAAGGTGGAGATATGCAACATGCAACTCGTCAAAGGTTGAAATAGCATGCTTTCTTTGCAGCAAGTGGAAGCCGTGCCCCAGCAGCCCGGGCGCCACGTCGGTGTACCAGCTGATCCGCATCGAGTCGTTCTCGGTGTACGTGAACAAGGACGGGCGGCCCATCGTGGGCGATTGCGACCCGGACCAGGTGCCCTTCAACGTGTGGCGCGAGGCCATGGAGCGCGGGCTCAAGACCTTCAACACGGGCGCCGACCCCCTCAAGTTCAGTGAGTGCTGATGGGGACTGCCTACACCATTTTTTATGCAGAAAAATGGGCTGCGTGTTACACTTGTTTTTGTTCTGTTTTTCCGCAGTCGTGCAGCCGGTGTCGGCCAAGGTGAAGGTGATCGTGAATCGCTCCAACGAGGTCCGCGTCCCCAAGCTGCTGGTGGACTTCGTGGTGGAGGACGTGTCCCTGCGGCTGAACCGCGACCAGTTCGTGTCGCTGCGCGGCCTGTGGGAGTCCCTGCAGCGCCAGCGCGTGGCGTGGCGCTTCCACGCGTCGCGGCCCGCGGGGCGCGTGCTGCCGGCCGGCACGCGGGGCACGCGCGCGTGGTGGCGGTACGCGTGCGAGGCCGTGCTGGAGCAGCGCGTGAGGCCCTACACCTGGAGCCGGGTGCGGCGCCACCGCGAGGCTTACGCGCGGTACCGCGACGCCTACGCCAAGGCCCTGCTGCAGCCCAACGACACGGAGCTGCGCCTCGACCTGCAGCAGCTGGAGGACCAGCTCGACGTGGTGGACATCCTGATCGCGCGCGAGCACGCCAAGCTGCTGCTGCACAAGGAGAACCCCGAGCGCGTGGCCGTGGGGCCGCGGCCGCCGTCGCGGTGGTCCAAGTGGTTCGCGGCGAGCGGCGGCGTCGGCGACGGCAGCCGCAGCCCGTCCCCGGAGCTGCAGGTCCGCGCCGAGCGCGCGCGGGGCCTCTGGGCGCAGCTCTCCGGCAGCGAGCGCGACCGCCTGTTCGAGGCCATCGGCTACGCGGAGGGATCCCAGCACCCAGACAAGCCCAGGCAGTACATTGGTGCGACACCATCAAATACAAACCAACATTTTAAAAAAAATGTTTTCAAAAATTGTAATAATACGTCCCCTTTGTAGAACACAAACTGAACGTGACGCTGGTTAACTGCTCCGTGAGCCTGCTCTCGGACACGGGCGAGGTGCTGGCCAGCCACCTGACGCACCTCCTCGTCAGTCTGGAGACGCGGCCCGCCGCCAACGCCTACAAGCTGTCCATGCGCGTGGAGAGCGCCGTCGTGGAGGGCGCCAGCCTGGAGCACCACCTCGTGCCGCTCGTCACCGCCAACGTTAACTCAGGTGCCAACTCGAGTCATGTTGAGGTTGTTGTTGGATCGTGTCCCAGTACTAACTGAGTGTTGGTGCGCCAGGTAACAACTACTCCAACTTCCTTGCCATCGACATCGAGAAGAACCCCTCCAAGACGGATGCCGACTTCGGGGTGTCCATCACCATGGAGCCCATGGAGATCGTCTACCATGAAGTGCGTTTCAGAATTTTTCACTCGCATGCACGAAGAAGTTCAAAACTCGAGAGAAACCCCAATGGTAACCATTTCCGTTTCCAGCATGCCGTGTCCGAGCTGCTCAGCTTCTGCTGCTCCAAGCCGAGGCCCCTCAGAGAGCTGTGCTCCGCGGCGGGGGCCTGGGCCAAGAAGGGCTTCGACACCGCGGCCGTCGTGTGCCGGCGCGCGCTCTCCCGGCGCAACACCTACTGCGTCAGCGTGGACGTCAGGGGGCCCTACATCGTGATCCCCGAGTCCGGCTCCATGCAGAAGTAAGTCTCGGGGCGACGCGGACACGCGCCATCAAGTTGCTGCAGTGTATTAAACGACTTGGCCCGGGTTGGCGCAGGGGTGGGCAGGTGCTGGTGCTGGACGCGGGCAGGGTGGTGGTGCGCACGGAGCTGCAGCCGCCCGGCGTCAGCCTGGAGGACGCCACGCAGATGGAGATGGAGGAGCGCCTGTACGACCGGCTGCACGTCGAGTGCTCCGAGACGCAGGTGCTGTTCTGCGACTCCGGCGACGAGTGGTGGGAGTCGCGCAAGATGCAGGACTCGGAGCTCCACCTGGTGCCCAAGGTGCGCGGCCAGGTCGTCTTCTCCAACAGCGTGCGCCCCGAGTACCGCCAGCTGGCGCGCCACAAGCTCACCGTGTCCGTGGCCAGCCTCAAGCTCAACCTGTCGGACCGGCGCATCGGGATGGCGCTCGACTTCCTGGAGAACCTCCCCGCGCCCACCTACCGCACCAGCGACCCGCCAGAGGCCGACCCGTTCGCCGCAGCGGACGGCGGCCAGGCCTTCCCGGACGACCGCGTGGCGCCCAGCCTCACCGGCAAGCAGCTCGCCCGCGTCAGGAGCGTGGTCACGCAGGCCGCCGTCAGGGCCGTGCGCGGCGTGGTCGCCGAGGACGCCGTCACGCCCAAGGTGGCCGCCCTCGAGGTGGACAAGTGAGTGTGTTGAGACCGAGAGGCGTGGCGAGGAGCAGGCAGTAAATAGAGGAACCCTGTACGCTGTGACGCTGTGCCATGTTCTTGCGCAGGAGCTTCGCGTCATCGGATCACAGTGACAGTGAGGAGATGGAGCTCTGGGCGCGGACCGTGGACCTGCCAGGATTCGACGACAACGTCTCGCCCCACAACGCCATCACCATGTTGTTGCGCTTTGCCATCGGGGAGGTGTGCATCCACTACGCGCTCATCACAGTAAAGTGACAATACAAAACAAAATTGTTTTAAATATTTTTTTTGTGACGCAGGTGGTGGTGAACCTGGCTCGGTCCAGCAACCGCGTGGACAAGCCATACCTCCTCCTGCGGCTGGGCAAGCTGTGCTGGGACTCGGCCCTCATGGAGTACGGCCCGGCCGTGCAGGCCAGCGTGGGGTCAGTGCAGCTGGTGGATCGTCTGCACGCCGCGCCGGCCGGCACCGGCCAGTACCTGGAGATGGTGTCCACGGCCTGCTCCAGCACCGACGACGACGCCTTCAACCTGCTGTACCGCAAGGTGCGCGGAGCGTCGAGTGCCACTTCCTGCCAGCCTCGGTGGCCTTGTCGGCGGACTCCCTCCACTCACCAACTCTGGCCTTCTTCTAGGTGCGCTCCAACTGCCCGGACTTCAAGTCGCACTTCCACAGCGTCGAGCAGTCCCTGGTCGTGGACGTGGCCACCGTCAACCTGGTCTTCCACCAAGAGGCCTTCATCACGCTCAACAAGTACCTGCAGTACATCGTCCACAAGTGAGTGTGGACGCGCCCGCCCATAAACTACGTGACCCGGCACTTTGCGAAAGGATGGGGCAGAAGAGACCGCCAGTGGGAGTCGAACCCACCCGGCCAGAGTCTTGTCAGACCTGGCCGTCGCCGGACACAGTTTACCCAACAACCGCAACCCGTAGCGCCTGATGGCCAGGTCACGTAGTTTACGAACAACCCCCAAACCGTCCAGCCATTCGCAATGACAGACCGATACAGTATAAATGATCTGAAAGTTTAATTTTTCATTTTGTCCCAGAGTACAAAGCCGAGACGCGCTGCTGGCGCGCGCGACGGCGGCGCTGGGCGACCTGAGACCGACCGTCTCCGCGGCGAGGGCCTACGTGAAGGCGCTGTGGAACAGCTCGGACGACCCGCCCATCCCGCAGGGCGCCACCAAGTTCAGCTACTCCACGAGGCTGGGCGAGGTGCACCTGCGGCTGTGCGACACGGACCTCGACTTCCTGGACTTGCGCGTCGCAGGCCTCGAGAGCGACTGCCTGTTCAAGGCCAACGAGCGCATGATTCTGCGGGTCAACCTCACCAGCATCACCTGCGAGGACCTGTCGGACATGACGCTGTACCACCGCGTCCTGCAGGTCAGCAAAGGACTTGACTGTTAGCATTGCAAACTCGAAAAGAATACTGACGCCGGTTCGAACGGCCAGGTGGACGACGACCGCGTGCTGGACCTCAAGTACGTCCGGCACGCCCCGCGGCTCTACCAGCACTCGGGGCTGGCGGACCGGGACGACGTCAAGTCGGACGGCAGCCTCAAGGTGAAGCTGGGCCGGCTGAGCGTGGTGCTGCTCTACAAGCTGGCCGTGGACCTGCAGCACTTCATCGAGCCGCTGATGCGGCCAGGGCTGGTGCCGCAGTGGCTGGCGCTGGCCGGCAGGCTGGCGGAGCGCGCGCTGGGCCGTCTGCGCACCTGGCCCACGCGCCTCCACGTGTCGCTGGACCTGCACATGCCCGCCCTGCTGCTGCCGCAGAAGTCCGCCTCGCCCAACCTCATCGTCGCCAACCTCGGTGAGCCCCTAGCACCGACCCAAGAGGGAAGTGTTCACGTCGGCTGGAATAACCGCTCTTTGTCGCGCAGGCGACCTCACGGTCGAGAACTTCTTCAAGGAGGTGGTGACGTCGAGCCCCGACGGCGGGCCCGCGGGCGGCGTCGTCATCGACAACGTGCTGGTGCGCCTGGACGCAGTGCAGCTCTCGCGTGCCGTAATGACCCTGGCCGGCGCGCTGCACATCCAGGAGCCCATCCTGGAACCGCTGTCGCTGCGCCTGGACATCAAGCGCTGCGTGGCCTCCACCGCCGCCATCGGCGTGTTCGGCGCGCACCCCGTGCTGCTGTACGACGTGAGCGGCGGCATGGACATGGTGCACGTCAACCTGGGCCAGCGCGACCTGGCCACGCTGCTGGCGGTGTGGGCCGACAACCTGGCCGAGGGGCGGATCTTCGGTGAGTAGACAAGGCGGGAAGATGTAAAGTGCAATGCGCGCTGAACTGGCCTTAACATCTGATGCCATTTGCGCAGATATGTACGATTCGTCGGCGTCGCCGCTGGACGCCTTGTCGCCGAGCCACCAGCACGCCGACAAGGACCAGAGCGACCACGCGGTGCGCAAGCTGCAGCAGTTCTTCGCGCAGAACGAGCAGGGCCGGCGCGAGTCCAGCGTGCGCCTCACCCTGGACGGCGTGCAGCTCGCCCTCTTCAGCGACGTGGACGAGGTGCTCAGCTCGCCCGTGCGCGACCTCAACCACGGCCTGTGCCGCCTGGAGCTGGGCGAGGCCTCCATCACGCTGGACACGTACACGGACCGCAGCCTGGAGCTGCGGACGTCCATGCTCACCTGCGTGCTGGAGGACATCCGTCCCGAGCGGCGGCCTGGCTTCACCAAGTACGTGCCGCGCTGGGAAACAAAATGAGGAAAACGGAATTAGTTGTGGAGTCACAAGTTTGGTAACTCGTCCTCAATCGCAGGATCTTCCACTCGCACGCGGGCTCGACGCAGCGTGACTGCGTGTCCATCTCGGTGTCGCAGCCCCCCATCGTGGACCTCACGTTTCGCCAGTCGCAGTCCGGCGACCGCAGCGTCGACATCCTGGTGGAGCAGACGCGGCTCAACCTCACCGTCAGCTTCCTGGCCTCCATGGCGCGCTTCCTGCTGGACGCCCTGCCCGGCGATGGCGAGCACCCCGCCGACGGCGGCTTCATCAACCAGGGCTACGTCGGTGACCTCAACGTGCACGTGAGTGTGCTCGACAGTGCCACATGGTGCCACACTGTAACCGCGGTAAAGTGCCCGCCTCCTCCAACCACGTCGTGTTGCAGCACAAGGGCGGCCAAGGCGGCCAGGGCGGCCAGGGTCAGGCCGCACAGAGGCCACCCAGCTCGGAGGACAGCACGAGCGGCTGCTTCTCGTCCAGGGCGTCGTGCGCCGGCGACCAGGCGGGGCTGGTGGTGTCGCTGCAGCTGCGCCGGCCCGAGGTGCTGCTGGCGTCAGAGGCCCACGAGCAGGGCCTCGGCCACGGCCTGCTGCTGCGCACCGAGATCACGCTGGACTACAACCGCCACGCCTACCGCGAGACGCTCAACTGCTCGCTGGCGAGCTTGCGCGTGAGTTTAGACACGACGGACCCATGATAAAAGACAACACAAAAATACTTTCAGAAAATACTGACTTGACTTGAATGGGCAGGTGCTCTCCCTTCCAAGTGGCGCCGGGCGGCGGCCGTGCCACCAGGTCCTGTTCCCGTGCGACATCGAGTTCACGAAGAGCTTCAAGACGGTGGAGGAGGGAGTCAAGGTGATCGCCGGCGTGAGCCCGGTCGACATACACTTGTGCGCCAGCTCCGTGCGGACAATCATGGAGGTCGGTCACAAACGGGAAAAATAATTAAATTTAACAAGTGGCAATGTGTGTCTGAACCGAGTCCTCGTGCAGGTGGTGGACGACGTGCACGCGGCGCTGCAGCCCGACGAGCCCGACCCCGCGCTGGCGGCCACCGCGGCCACCGCGGCCACGCAGAATGCCAGCGAGGCGGAGGACCTCTGGAGCGCCAAAAAGCTGCAGCCCTACGTCTTCCCGGACCCGTGCGGTGAGTGGCGGAGCGGCAAGCGGAGTGGCGCCACGGAGGGACCCGCAGCCTTGAGCGACCACACTCTCAACCCGAATGTCGTTGCAGACGGGCTGCTCTACACGGGGACGGGCGTGCAGGAGTACGTGCCCGAGTCCATGACGGTGACCGTGCCCAAGGTGCGCGTCGTGCTGGAGCTGGAGGCGGACATGAAGTGCACGCCGCTGGTGCTGGTGCGCGCGGCGGCCGAGACGCACGTCAAGGACTGGTCCACGCAGCTGCACCTGCGCACCGAGCTGCAGCTGCAGGCGTCCTACTTCAACGGCGACCTGGGCGCGTGGGAGCCGCTCGTGGAGCCCGTCGTCGAGGCCGAGAACGTGTTCCGGCCGTGGGAGCTGCAGGTGCGGCTGTTCCGCGCCAAGGCCTTCCCGATCAGCAGCCGCCTGGACTCGGTGACCGAGGGGGAGGGCGACGGCCCGCGCAGGGCCAGCAGCCGCAAGCGCAGCAACGCCAGCCAGCACCCGCAGCAGCCCGAGGACTCGCAGACCTCCGGCGAGGAGACCGAGCCGGAGCACAGCATGACCTTCATCAGGAGGCCGCGCTCCGACTGCGGCCAGGAGGGCCAGATCAAGGGTACGGACCAAAACCTTTTTTAAAGAAACGAATCGGAAATGAGCAGATACGCGATGACGGACCTGTGTGCTTGCAGAAACTATGAGCATGGCGAGCCACCCTGACGACTCGGACTCGGAAGACGAGGACGGCGTCATGGAAAAGCTGGCAGGGGCCATCGGCTACCTCTTCTCAGGGTAAGAAGCTTGCCTCAAAGCCGTCGACGAAAGGCAACGACGGAATGAGTATAAAATGTGCGGTGCAACCTCCAGGGACAGCAGCGAGGGCGAGGCGAGCGAGTCGGACGAGTCCAGCATCGCGGAGCCCTCCGGCGCCACGGAGGAGGCCTCCGAGATGGAGACGCCCAGCGCGGGCGGCAGCACCGTCATCGGCAACCAGGAGAGAGCCGTGTTCCTCACCAAGCACAGTGAGTGGGCCTTTGCCGCACGTCAGAAAGATAACCGCCTTGGAGACAACTGCCCTTGCAACTGCCTTAAATATTGCTCGGTTTTGCAGGTGACTCTGTGGACTCGGGCCTGGAGGCCGAGCCGGTCGAGCGGCACTCCAACTACCTGCTGGTGCAGGCCAAGGACCACTTGGAGCTGACCGCCACCCCGGCGGCGCTGCGGGTGCTGGACCGGCTGCGTGCCTCCTTCAACGTGGACCCCGTCAACAACAACCTGGGCTCGCCCTACCCGCCGCTCAGCCTCAACAACAACCTGGGGCTCGGCAGCACGGCCGTGCTCACCACCAAAGCTGAGGTACGCAGCGCGGCAGCGCGCCGACGGCACGGCGCCGACATGCAGGCGGGACTGTTCTAAAGGCCACCTTTCCGTCAACAGAAGGGCCCGGACGGCGCCGACAAGGTGCTGGCCAAGGCCCCCGACGATGAGTCCGACTCCCTCCCCGGCAGCCCCCACGCGTCGCCGCACCACCACAAGTACCTGGACTACGACATCAACCTGTACTCGGGTGACGGCGCCGAGGCCGACGTGTTCTACTGCGACGCGTCCCACCAGGACCAGGACCTGTTCTCCCCCGTCATGAAATTTCCGCCCGACACCATCAGCGACCTCTACAAGAAGATCACCGACCTACGCCTCACCGTCAATGTGGAAGGTCCGTGGGGGGCGCGGCGCCACAGCGAAGCCAGAGCTCGGTCCTTTACTTATCAGTATGTTTGTGCAGGGCTCGACCCCATCCAAGTGCTGTGCCCGCGACGGAGCTGCAGCAAGCTCCACGCGCTGCTGCCCGCGCGCAACAACATCCGCTACCACATCATGATGGACGTGGAGTCCACCAGCCAGTACCACAGAGTCACTCTCCGCTCGCCGCTGCAGGTCAGTCGGTTCGATTCCCGCCACCGGCGTCGCCCGTTTTCCTGACGTCATCATCACCGTTGATGCATTGCCGCCAGATCCGAAACGAGACCACGTTCTCCATCGGGCTCTACTACAAGAAGTCCGTGTTCGACGGGCTGGGCCTGTCGCACATCGGCGAGTCCACCAATCCGTTCGACGACTCCATCCTGTTCGTCAACCTGGAGCCGGACAAGGTGTGCGACGTGCCTCTGCACGTGGCCTACAACTGCAAAGTGCACTTCCACCCAGCCTACTACCCGTAAGTGCTCATCTTCAATTTAAAGAAAATCATGGGAGATGATTGAGGGATATTACTGCATAAAACGAATGTGCCGCCAGGTTCTCGGTGAGCGAGAGCGGCCTGTGGTGGAAGGACCTCGCTGCCGACATGAACACCGCCAAGGACTTCTTCTGTCCGCCCAAGGACGAGAAGGACCCGCAGGCGTTCTCCTGCAGGGTAAGTAGAGCACTCAGGACGGGGTAGTTGGTTGGTTCCCCCGCCTCACCGCCGAGTTGCCTTGCCTCCGCCAGGTGGTGTGCTCCGAAGGCGTGCACGTCAAGCAGACGTACCGCTCCATCCCCAACTACATGCTGCGCCTGCTGCCGCCGCTGCAGTTCTACAACGGGCTGCCCTTCGCCGTCGAGCTCAAGATCCCCGCCATCAGCTGGGAGCAGAGGGTGGAGGCTGGCGACCGCGTGTCGCAGTACTTCCTCAACCTGCAGAAGATGCACCGCGTCACCGTGGAGGTCCCCGCCTACCTGGGCCTGGCCTGGTCCGGCTCCTTCAACCTCACGCCAGGTACGCGGGCTGCACATCCCTCGGCTCCCTGACGACCCCGGATACTGCCTGACACTGACCTTGTCGTTGCAGACCTGGAGGAGAAGACCATCACCATGACCACAGAGCAGGACACGGAGGGCGGCAACAAGCAGCTGGGCCTGACGGTGCGGGTGGACCGGTCCGGCACCTGCGTGGCGTACCTGCACGCCCCCTTCTGGATCATCAACAAGACCGGCCTGCCCCTGCAGCTCAGAGTGAGTCAACAGCGACAGCCTTGGCGACAGCCACGGCCGAGCGTTCAAAGCTTCAGCCTCAGAGTGCAGCTTGGAAAGGAATTGGCCAAGTTGAAGAGACGCGCATGTTTGCTTGCAGGGCTCCCTGTCCGACGTGGTGTACGACGTGACCGGCGAGGAGGCCTTGCTGTTCAGCTTCAGGAAGATCCGGCGGCGCTGCGTGCGGCTGCGCGCCTACCACTCCTCCTGGTCCTCGGCCTTCTCGCTGGACACGGTGGACACCAACGGGCTGGTGGTGTGCCGGGACCGCGAGCGGCGGCGCCACTACCGCATCCTTCTGTCGGTGCAGCTGTCGTCGGCGTGCCCGCAGCTCACCAAGATCGTCACGCTGCTGCCCAACCTCATCGTGTACAACCGCTGCAAGAGGCCGCTGCGCTTCATGGAGGAGAACGAGCGCGCCGACCTGTGGATCGACCTGGCGCCCGACAAGTGCCAGCCCTTCTGGCCCGTCACCGACTCCATGCGCATGTTCGTCAAGTTCCGCGACAGCAAGCTCGTGTCGCAGCACTTCCCCGTCACGCAGACGCACACCACCGTACTGCGCATGGACCGCGGGGTGAGTGGCAGAGTGTGGGTTGAAACGTTGAAACGTTGCGAACGCACCCCGCGGAGCGCCTGCGGTGGCGAGGGTAGGCCGCCGGCCCGCACGTCTGTTGCGCGGGCCGGCGGCCTACCCTCGCTGCCACAGGCGCTCCCGCCCGGCCCGGCGCGGCCCGGCGGCGACCTTGACTTGACCTTGCTCCCTGCCGCAGACGGGGCTGGTGGTGGACGTGTCCGGTGGCGGGGACATGCCGTTCGCCGTGGTGTTCCGCGGCTACGCCGAGGGCGACGCGCCGCTGCGCGTCGACAACCTGTGCGAGGACCTGTTCCTCAAGGTGCACCAGCAGGACCTGGGCCAGGTGGCGCTGCTCAGCCCCTACCAGTCCATGCTGTACACGTGGGACGACCCGTCCAAGGAGCGCTGCCTGCTTTGGAACGTGTACAACAAGAAGAGCAAGGGCTTCGTCGCCGACTTCTGGAAGGTGAGGCGCGGCTGCCGAGGCCGAAGGGGGCCGAACCGCGTACCACCCCGACAGCTTCCTAACGGCCTACTCGTGTCGCAGGACGGCTACGGCCAGGAACGCGTGTGCTTCCACTCGGTGCGGCAGCCGCCCGGGGCGGGCACCGCGACGAGCGCCACGGCCGCCAGCGCCGCGCCCACCGTCACGTCCAAGCTGTCGGCGGGGCTCAAGCTGCTGGCCCCCAAGGCCCCCAAGCAGGACGGCGGCTCCTCCAGCAGCGACGACACGGAGTCCGACGACCTGCTGCGGTCGCAGGTAAGTCTGCTTGCGCGCCTTCCTCGTCCCGGCTGGCGAGGCTGCCGTGCCGGTCTAACGCTCTGCCTTCCTGAACCCGCAGCAGCTGAAGCGCACGCGACGCGACAAGGTGGTGGTGTACTGGGTGAGCTACCTGGAGGGCCACCAGCGGGTGCTGCTCTTCACGCAGGACGAGCGCGTGTCGCTCAACGCCAGGCGCCGCATCCAGTCCGAGCGGTCGCACCTCGAGGCCTTCGTGTCCTTGGCCGGGGTGGGCCTGTCGCTCACCACGACCGGCGGCGAGCTCGCGTACCTCAGCCTGGCCGACTCGGCCGCCGTGTGGGAGGTGTGCGTGGCGCACCGCTGGAAGCCGCTGAGCGTCGAGCTGGCGTCCTGGATCGAGGACAAGTGGCGCCACGACCACAAGCGTGCCCAGATGAAGGACTTCGTGCACGTAAGTAGGTCCCTAGGCCCCGCCTCGCGTAGCCCCATGTCGACTTCACCGCGCGTTTCCGTGTCCAGGTCGACTTCGAGAAGATGTACATGACCAAGCCGTTCTACGGCGAGCTGCGGCGGCGGTACAACCCGGCGCTGTGGCTGCAGGTGCGGCGTTCGGAACACCTCACGTACTGCCGCGCCAGCGTGCACCGACTGCAGCTCGACAACCAACTGCCGCGTGCACACTTCCCCACCGTGTTGTGCCCCGCGCCGGCGGCGGGCTCGGGCTCGGCCGGCCCCGGCAGCAACCCCCACGCCGCGCGCCACGCCGCGCGCCGCGGCCTGCTCAAGCCCTGCCTGGACCTGCTAGTGCTCAAGCGCGCGCGCCCCGCCTTCAACCAGGACGTGTACAAGTACGTCAAGGTGCTAGTGCAGGAGTTCTGCATCAACCTGGAGCGCGACTTCCTGGACGCGCTGCTGGAGCTGCCGTCGTGCACGTCCGAGGGCGCCAGCGCCACCACCACCTACGATGAGCAACACCGCCTGCTGGAGGGGCTGCGGCAGGACGTCGCGCTCAGCTACCTCCCCGTGCACTTCGTCGGGCTGGTGAGTTTCCACCGACCTGCGCTGGTCGCGTGTAGTGTAGTGACGCCCTGCTGACGCGCCTCCCCTTTCCGCCTTCCCGTTGCAGAAGCTCAAGGAAGACATGCCCAAGCCCGTCATCGAGTGCGTGCACTTGTCCCCCATCCGCCTCCGCCTCAGCATGTTCCACCGCGGCTCGGCGCGCCCCGCGCCGTGCACCAAGACCCTGCTGGGCAAGCGGCCCACCCTGGACTACGTGTTCAACGCCCTGGTGCCCTCCATGACCGAGATCAAGAACGTCCGGCTCAAGTAAGTGATCTGGCCGCCGACCCGGCGCCGTGCCTTGGTGTCTCGGCCACCACCTTGACGGATGGATGGCCTGCTCTGTGCAGGATGCCGTACTTCGAGCGCAAGGGGCTGCAGTCGACGCGCAAGGACCTGGAGTGGGACGTGCGGCGCCACTACTACACGCAGCTCATCCAGCAGGTGCACGTCATGGTGCTGGGGCTGGACGTGCTGGGCAACCCATACGGCCTCGTCAGCGACTTCACCGACGGCTTCGGCGAGTTCTTCTACGAGCCTTGCACGGTGAGTCAGTCGGTTCTCCTTGCAGTGCCCCAGTGCGTGTTGCCGGCTTGGCGTCGTCCTCATGGCCTTCTACTCTGGCAGGGCACCATCGAGTCTCCCGACGAGTTCGCCGAGGACCTGGCCCGGGCGGCGCAGGCGCTGCTGGGCAACCTGACCGGCGCGGAGGCCAGCGGGCTGTCCATGCTCGCGCCCTCCCTCGGCGCCGTGCTCTCCAGCCTCACCTTCGAGGACGAGTACAAGAAGGTAAGGGTCGTGGGTTCACGCTTTCGACCCGAAAACCGACCCCAAATCCGACCCTTTCCCACACACGGCCTCTCGTTGCAGAAGCGGCGGCTGTGCCTGCAGCAGTCGACGGACCTGCCCGAGCTGGCCAGGACCGCCAGCAAGACGTTCTCCATGGGAGTCCTTATGGGGATGTCCGGCGTCGTCCTGAAGCCCTCTCTCGGTAAGCAAGAAGCCATTTCTCAAGCTACTCTGCTTCTACAAGGTACTGCAACCAAGCTCTGTTCCAGGCGTGCCCCAGGAGGGCGTGGAAGGGTTCTTCCGCGGCACGGGCAAAGGCTTCATGGGACTTATGAGCAAGCCGGGCGGCGGAGTGGTGGACTGCATCGCCATGGCGCACGACGGCATAAGGAGGTACAGTGTACATTCGCCGACCAAAGTAGCTTTTAGAGAGGATGGAGAGGAAAGATGTGAACTGTCCGGCCTGCGCCGCCTGCGCATCCGCAGGGCCGCCGAGCTGGGCGAGGACATCGTGATGCGCGCCAGGCTGCCCCGCCACCTCAACCCTTTCCAAGGCCTGCGACCCTTCTCCGTGTACGAGGCCACCGGGCAGCAGGTCCTCCACACTCTGAGCCGCGGCCACTACGTGGACTCAGACCTGTACTGGGCTCACACGGCACTGAGCGCCGACGGCAAGGCCATCCTGCTCGTCACCCTTCAGTACGTACAATCTCATGGATTCACTTCCGATGTCCTTTCCAGACTTTCCCTCTTAATGCCGGGGTTTCATCCACAGGCATGTTTTCCTGCTGGAGCGATGCCGGCAGTGGGGACCTAACGAGGTAGAGTGGTCTGTGAGAGTCGATGACGTCATGGAAGTGCCCAAGCTTGAAGGGAACAAACTCATCTTCAAAGTGCGGCAGGTGAGATGGGAACAAGTTGAAAATTCGTCCTACAGGACAGTCAGTCTAAATTTAATGTCGGTCAAAAACGCTCGAGGACTTGCTCGAGGATTTAAAATGGTTTCTCGTTACAGGACGATACGTTCTCTGCATTCTCTGGAGAAGAGCGGAGTATAACCAGTGAAGATTCGACTACCTTGGCTTGGGTCAGAGATAAAGTTGAAGCAGTTCTTGTATTAAATATGGAAGACAAACCGGTGCCTGCCAACTCCTAAATGTATATTCGTGTGCTACAATCAGTGCTTTAGGTTTTTTAAAAGGGTAGAATGAAATAAGCTGAAAATATCACAAGAAAGTGTAATTTTAATTGTACAATTGAATTATCATCAATTTTCCTTCCTTTCCCCCAATTTGATGCTTGTAAATATGTGTATTTATTACTAATCCCTTTTCAAATTTGAAAAAAAAATAATTGTAACTGGCTTAAAAATGCAGCACAGTACACTTTTGACTTTTCTTGATCTTGGCCTAAATCATCAATCTACCTTCATAGGTGTTTTATTTTTCTTTTAAAAAGAAAAAGACATATGACATTAGCTTAACATTGCTCTGAAAATCCAACATGATTACTATGTAATTAGTTGGTTTTTCTATCATATCATGCCCTGATTGTCTTTCAGTCCTGGGTTCTTGGATTGAAACACTTAGAAAAGGGCTCAACATTAAAACTGAGCCACAAATTTTTAGTTTGATTTCTTTCAATGTTTCTAGTGGTTTCTACGCAGCTAATGAATGTTTTAGGTCTTCGAGTGCGATACATCTGCATGTTTCTGTCTTTTCAATGCAACAGCTTCAGAAAAATGTGTACGCAAGAGCCAAGCGAGCGAATAAGAACTTGCTCTGGTTGGCAATCAACCTTAAGTATGGTAGACAATACTTGGTGGTAAAGAATGAAGGTCTTTGAACAGAAGTATGCCATATAATATTAATACAAATTTAAAATAATCAGTTAATTTTATTACATTGGGAATGGATTGGGAAATTGGAGAAGTGTAGACTGGGATTTGGTGGAAAAGTTGCACGCAAGAAGATCATTGTTTCAACTGAGTCAGCACCTTATAAAAGAACAATTGTTTTTATTTTTTTAATGATTACCCTGTAAATGCACACTGATGATTTGTGAAGATATCTGAGTGTTCATCTATTTTCAAAGTGAAGATATGCGAATGACCAAGAGCCAGAAGCTTGTTTCTTTTAAAAAATAATAGTTAAATGGTTTTTTAAGTTATCCATGAACAAAGGAAATTTGTGCAGTTTCAAATGCAGTGACAGTTGTCATGAAAAAAGTTGTGATAATATTTGTAAGGCTGAGAGACTATTTTCCAGCACATTCAAATTCTACAACTTGGTCTTACATTAAGTCACTCAAGTTGATGGATCAAAATACCCTTTTAGTCTCTTTAAAAAATTAAAAGACTCTTATATATAAATAGCTTTAATAATCATGAGGAAGGCAGTGCTTCAAGAACAGAGACAGCTTAACAATAGTCAATTGCATTATTATTACTCAAGTGGCCAATCAGGTCCACCTCATAATTCCAAAAGATTGGATTACATCAGATTCAGAATGAGCATAGCAGCACTGCAACATGAATTGATGGCAATGGTTCTTCTCAGTCCAAGCAGAAGTTACAGATAAAAGCAACCGATTCCCAATATGTAGTCAGCAGAATAATTTAAGCATGAACTGAAGTGCATTGCCTCTCGGGCAGTGCTTCACATTATTACTTAAGGCTGTTATTTGTGGAGGAGTCCATGAGTCAATTGAATAAGCAGGCATCCCTCTCCACAAGTTGGATAGATGAGCTAGCATTCACCATTGAATGCCATATTTCAAAAAGATTACTATTTCAAATGTAACTTCTTTGTTGGAATATATAAGGTGATTGATTACATAAAAAGTGGAGATGTGGATAGGCAACTTGAATATTTGTGACTTTAAGTTGATGCCTCAATCGATGTAATGAATTCAAAATAAGAATTGCTTACTTGAAGTATGCTGGTATAGGATGTGTAAAGATATGTCTGTATTTTTGTGCTTCAATGAAAATAACAATGTGCTTTCAAGGGACTTTTTGGCTTATGGATTGTTAAAGATAAATAAGTGTAAATTCATATATGTGTATACTTTATTCTTTAAATGAACAGAGCTGTGCTGCTGACTTAGAACAAAGAAATACATTTTGAAAAGAAAACTGATTGGATTTGTTTCTTAAGCCACAAGGCCTATAAAGAAATCAAATAACACATGTACATGAAAACAGTTGAATGCATTCACAACTGCCACCTACAGATAGCATACCATTTATGCAAACCATAGATTGGCTCACAGAAAACATTTATTGGGTATAAATGGTTTTATATATTTTCTCCCACCTGACAGCAATTGCTGTAGTAGGTACATAAACATCTTCTAGAGAGTCGAAAGAAAGGCTTTAAAGGCACACAAAAATGTTCCCTTGTAGGATCACTCATAATCACAACCAGATACAAGTTTAACTCAGCGTTGGGCATTCTACAACTCACAAGGGTTCTGATCTGCCATTTTGACAAATAAAAGCTCAAGCTTTGGTACACTTGACCTAAAAGTTCTTCTTAGATATGAACCCATCGGACCTGCCGAAGAAGAAACCAGCTAACATCAGCATCCTTATCTCTCTACATATAAGACCAACAAGTCACAAAGAGTTTTAGTATACCTTGAAGGTGGCTCCACTTCACCTCTTCACTTTGACAGAAGTCCTCCAGGATGTGAACAAGACCCCTTGGGGCCAATGATGTTTGGAAGGTTGAGCCAGCACTAGTGGAACAAAATGTAGCTTCAAAATTGGGTGTTACCAGTTTCACAAACTGATTGACAACTTCCAAGCAAATACAAAATTGATCCTACCTCTGATCAGCAGCGTAAGGATCAACCACAACCAAATCGGAGTAGCCCCTGCAAGTCAAACATTGATTAAGAATCCCATCACACTAGATTTTCCTGCTGCAATAAAAACATTTTTAAGTCATAATCTAGTGATATTAAAGACAAAAAGTCAAGTAAAATTGTGAAGTAAATTATTGAGTGTCTGAATGAAGACTTGAAGTTCAAGCATATCCATGTATGTGTTGTGGCTAACTTAAGACTAAGTTTGGGTAAGATAGCTGAAAAAAAGGCCTACTCAATAGTCTTGTAGACAGATTTAAAACTAAATAAATAAAAATGAAATAACACCAGGAATATAGAGAACAAACATGTGTTTTCCATGCTTCATAGGAAGTTGCACAGAATGTCCTAGCAAGTCAAATAAGGGGGAAACAAAGAACGCACAGTGGATACAATAACCGAACTTGGAATAACTTAAAACTAAAAGGAAAACACAATTGCTTTAGCCTTCAAGCTGCATACAGCAGAGAAGATGATCATGCAGCCATCATTAGGAAAAGGAAAGTCTTTTTGCCTTTCAGTAAGTCAGCATGTGTTTTCATTCCTTGCAATTCAACAAGAAGTTGTTTTTTAACTGTAATATGCCCACAAGTGATGACTGGATGATCAACACACCACCAACCCATTTCCATATTGAGTTGAGACTTTCCATTAACTCTTTGTCTTATTTTGTATTGAAAACAGACGACAATAGACGAAACAGACGGAAATAGACGACCGTTTTGAGACATGTTAGGTATGAAACAGCTTGTAAGTTGGGTAGGTGTGAGAAAAGTCTTATGGTGGACTCAAGGTGAATGTAAGGAACTAGAAAGGAGGGTGAAATGTGGTGATGTCTTGGTTCATGAAAGCAAACAGACGAGGAAAAAGGATTCCTGTAAGCTTAGTTGTTGTTGGCGGGTTAAAAGAGCAACTAATGTCCAATCTGAAAAACGTTTGCAAATAATTGAAGTCATCAATGATCTTGACAGATTCAATAGACCCCGATGGAGGTGAAAACAACTGGTAAAACCAAAGAAACAAGTTCAATCCAACACTATCTAAAATCGTTCCAATGGAAACATAACACGTCTCTCCCATTTCCCCTTCCTTTATAATAGGTAAATAATTTAGGATTTTCTTTAAATGTACTCACCATGAATGACGCATCATCCACAACCCACCACTGCTGAAAATTGGACTGGTTTCGCTCGATCAGCAAAGTAAAATGATCTCGTATCATGAAGGGCTAAAATGTATAGGAAAGAAGATGTGCCTTGTCTATTTCCAAATTAATGAAAATTCAAAGCTGCTCACACATTGATTTACAATACTGATCTGAATCATGTAAAAGGACCACCACAAAGAACTAGATGGTCAGAAAGTGAGATCAGCTGGAGAATCACTTTCATTGATATCACAAAGTTATGAAGTTAGTATTGTAGTTTGATGTGTGGCAAGACAGAGAAAAGGCACTATCTTCAAGACAAATAAATGTGTTTAGACACTTTTAGACTTCATTGCACGCTGCAGTTTTTGAAATTCAGAGTTCTGCGGAGTAAACAGTGCATACAGCCGAAGCACTCCACAGAACTATCACCATAGTTTGCTGCAGCGTTGCATACTTTTCAAGGATCCTAAGTTTACACATTAGCAATGGGTTGGCAGCTTTTGAGAAGTGGGCAGTGTTGAGCCAATGTCACAATGTGAAATACATGCACTTGACTTGCATTTAAGTGCCAGCAGAAGGGATTCATAGATAAAAGGAAAGAGGAAGGAAGAGGGAGGAGGTCAAAGCTGTTCACAAGGAAAATGCAGTCAAGATTATGCAGATAGGTTTGTACCACACACTAAAGTTGACTGCAACAATAATGATGGGACCAGACCATCTGGCATCATTTGCTAAAATTAGAATGTGCCAGACAGCCAAACCGCTGCTCTCCTCACTCAAACGAGCAGTAATACTAAGATATTCTCAAAGAACACAGCATTGGTGAGAATTTCTTTTCACACTTGAACTGTTCTCTTCTTAGGAAAAATGGAGTAGTGGAGAAGGTAAAAGATAATTTCCAATTCTTTGCAAGCGCTCCAACACCACAACTTGTCACATCCTGAAACAGCCCAGTTGACCATGAAGCCATGAGCTAGATACTGTACTTCAGTTGCTGAAAACTGAAATTCGGGTTGATGACAGGAGTAATCAAGATGTAAGCCTTGGCACGCCTTTAAAGACTTCCCCACAAACACTCTTTTCCAACGTCAACTGTCTCAACAGCATGTACGCAAGTGTTACTGGAAACGCACCAAACATGGAGAGTACCATGTACCACCAAACCATTGGTAAGTGATAATAACAAATGATCCTAGAGAAGCTCTTCTTCCACAAATGGATAGGAATATAAGTCCAGTTTGGAGTTATAAATGTTTTGTATTCTTATGAGAGCATCCATTAATTATATATTTGTATACATCTCTATTTATTTGAAATGCAGATAAATTATATCTTATACAATGAATAAGTTTAGTAATAAAAATAAAACAATGATAAACTTGGTTGATTTTAAGAATTAGAATTTTCATTTTCATGAACAAATAAACAAGGTAATGAAATTACTGATGGTAACAACACAAAAGAGCAGCCAATGAATGTAAAATCAAATTAATACTGCTACTTTAACTCATAATTGCTTCAATGATCAAATGATGATAAATGTATTACCATAAAACTGCATACCACATCATATATTCTAGGAGAAGCTGTAAAACAGCTCTGGCTAAGTAAATCCATGACTCAAAAGTCATGTCGTTAAAAACTATTCGAAGTAGGATATTACTCCATATGATCAATCCAATCCAATTAGCCTAATGCAAGAGCAACATAAATACATTGACAATTTTGTTTGTTCAACTTCATGCTCAGCAGGTAAATATCTGCACATCATAAGGGTGAATATTTAATGTCATCAGAAGCGCCTCCTCTTCGCCTGGTAGTCATCAACCCTTGCTCTTTCGGGAGCCCCCCAGCGAGATCGGGGGTTGCCTCGTTGGCCTCCATTGGCCATTTCGTCCATCATGTCTCCTCGTGGGCTGTCGTAGCGGGCTCCCCGCTCATAAGCATCCATGAATGCCTTAGAGTCCTAGTATGTCACACCCAACCAGCATCGCAAGTCAACAAATGACATAAAAACAAAAGAAAAGGGAAAAAATTCGCAGTTAGACAGGGGCATTTTTCTTGGTATCCAAAATGGGAATGATAGTGGAAATGCTAAACAAAGAAATGTTCCAGTGGGAAAGGTAAATATGTTTCAGATGTTTCAAGTTTGCTGGACACTCTACAACACACAAACAAACAGAATACTGTTCTCTATGTATCAATCATCATATACTTTAACTTCACTCACTCCAAAGTCATTATGCAAAAATAAAATATCAGTCAAGATATTGATGTGCAGATTGACTACACAGATATCACTGACAAAAAACAGAAACATATAACAACCAAGTAGGGGAAGCAGCACTGACAGGACGGACGCTTAACTCAAAAGTGCCCCCCTACTCAATTAACTTCATACACCAACAACCAAGATTCATTTTACAAGATAAAAGGAAACAAAAAAATTGAAAAAAGTGTGTTTGTGGAGTGACGAGCAGAGACTCTGAAACAAATAACGGGCTGCCACATAGGATTCTCAGCCCAACGCATTGAAAATCTTTCCTCAAAAATAGGTGGGAGATAGGAGTACCAGGATGAAATGCCTAAGAAGGCTACGAAAAACGGAGCGCCAGTAGGGGAGTTAAGGTAGGTTGTACCTTGAACCACATTCACGTCAATATTTGAAGCAACCATAACGGTGAGAACATCCAGGATAATGAGTGTAGGTATTGTCAGCACGCCTCAATAAGAAAATAGTCATTACCACACCACAACTAAATATAGATCCGATCCAAACAATCAGAGCAATATTTAGGTCCCCCCAGCAGTGACTGGATGGGCGCTAAACTCAAAAGTGCCCCCTTCTTCAATTCAGTTCATACACCAACAATCAAAAACCTTTCCCAAGGTCAACACATCATATAAGTTCAGCATTTCCAGTACCATTAAATGTCGTCTGGCAGAACAATCATAATAATTCAGAGATAAAATCTCTAAGCTTGCATTATGTTCCATCGACAACAGGTGGGATTAACAAGTCAACCTTTCAAATAGTAAGCTCTTCCATGTTATCTACACTGAGAATCCATCATCAATTAAGCAACATCAGAGAAGAGAACAGAACCAATCATGAAAATGAAAGTTCTGAGTCAACACACATCCAGTTGTGACGCTCAAGTGCCAAGGGCAGTAGCACATGCTTGAGGCAAACAGGCATTTTAAATGCTGACTCGGTCCTCTTACAATGAGGAAAAGTTCCATGTGCAACAACAACCAGCATGAATCAGACTAGACTTGCAGTGTCATAGCAACATATGATTTGCTCAGGTCTTGGCAAGTTAAAGTTACTGAGACAGAAACAGTCAAGACAACTCTCTACAATAGAGGTCAAATTGACTACTTTCCAAATATTCAATAACTAGCTCCGAGAATGGAACAGTATATATTCATATATTTGCAGGCATATGTGACTCACTCTCTTGCAATGGCACAAGATTCTATGCGGCGATCGAACGTTCAATAGATCTTGGATTACAAGATGAGTGCACAGTTCGTCTTCATTTTTTAATTCAAGTTCAAATCAGTCAGGTTTGTAGACTGACTATGGTATCGCATGAGAGAGTACTATTCCACTAGAGGCAGAAACGCCAGGTGTAAGAATTCCACGCCATTCTTTCACAATGAAATTAGCTCTCACGTGCATGACACATGCATGAAAACACGCCGTAGCTGCGACAAGGAGAATCAACTCAGCTTCAGTCAGCTCATATTGTAAACATAGCAATTCATCGTTTGCAACATGCAGGGCTCTGAACTGGAGTAGAGACCACTTTATGTACACATTAATGTGTTCATTAACACTTTTGAGTTCGGCTTGCGGTTACCTAGGCTGGTAAGGCAAGATAACAGGATTGCTTTAATCCGTCAGGAACCAACATTCTGTTTAAGTTCAAGAACACTTCCAGAAGGTAGTCCAGTGACCCTTGGAAAGAGTACCTAAATACAACAAGTAATATTCAAGGATATTCATCCTCCCTCAAATAATTTAATTAATGGCAGCCTTCCCCAATACCTGGGTTTCCTCATCTCTTGAACCAGGGACATGGGTACGAGACAAGCAAGGTTAAGAAGAAATATTCTCTTCTTATCCTTCAGCGGAAAACCCACGTTAAAGTATGTTTAAATTCTGCCATAAAAACAGAACCCAGCACCTCAACACAACAATGTCAGATGGTTTTTTCTTAATACTTCAAAACCATGCATTTTCCCGCTCACTAGAAAAGTCATGATGGAATGGAAAATCAGCATTAGCGCCGCATTGAGCTCAGATAACATGGAAGAGGTACTCGAGTGGTTTAAGAGAAGGGCAGCAGCAGCAGCAACGGCATTCTGCATCAACCAATCCCAATAAATTCCAATTAGTGTGGCTTCAAAGATATCAGCTACCACAGCTTTCTGAAATATCAAAAGTGTGTTTGTTTTAAGGTAAAACCTCCCATGAAAAGGTATGTGTGGTCTGTGTAAGGACACCTTCCAAAAACTACTTAACCTATCTCCATACTAATGAAGTTGAAAACTTTACCGGAGGTATGTTTCCTGGTCCTGAAAACAAAAGGACGTATGAGCAAAATGAGGAATAAATTAAAGGAAAGAATAGCCTTAAGACTAACTTGATAAGCTACCTTGGGCTGCTTCGTATTCACGCATAGGTGCATCACCACCTTGAGCTGCCTCATAGTTTCCTCGCTGTCCCAAAGCCTGCTCCTGTTGATCCAAAAGACTACTTAGTTTGTGGGCCTGGAAGATGACCAAATATACTTTCATTCTAACTATACCAAAACTACTGGTCGATAATAACATAGTTTCCTACAGACCTGCATGAAAAGAGAATTTTCTTGTTGTCGTCGACGAAGTTCCTCTTCCTGATGATGCATGCGTAAGGACATATCTTCTTGTTGGCGACGCATAATCTCTTCATCTTGGCGTCGTTGCTCTTCAGCTTGACGCTCCTTTAGTTCCCAGTCGCGTTTTTGACGTTCTCTGTCTAATTCCCTCTGACGTAGCTCTGGAGAATGCACAAACATTAGTTAGAAGCTAACATTGACAATATGATACTTAAAAAAGTATTGTTTCCAAAGAATCACTTACGTTCACGAAGCATCTCAGTTTCATGCTCATATTTAGCATATTCCATTTGAGCTTCAAGCTTTTCTTCCTCCATTTTCATCTCACGCTGCAAGGCTTCCTCCTTCTGCTTGCGGCGCTCGTACATTTGCTTCCAGCGGGTACCATATTCATATTCAAAGCTTCCGGGGGCTGCAAAGCGTGGTCCAACCTAAACAAAAATGGTACATATAATATAAGATAGAATTGGCATGATCTATTTTTCATTAAAAAGTAATATTGCAGTACATACATCTCTTGCTTTATGATAATCTGAATTCTTCTTAGGAACAACCTTTTCGCTGTAGCCATCAATTTCATCTAAGAGCTCCATTGGTTCCAGAATGACGGGGCGAAGAGAACTACACAAACAACAAACAAAAATGAAAGAAAAAGGAAAAGAAACATGTGTACCGAAATAAACAGCCTTTAAAAAGACACTTACGCAGTGAGGAAAAAGCAACCTTCAGAGCATCTACGAAGGGCCATTTGGGCACCAGGTTTTCGAGCAAACTCAATTATGCCTTCACCAGTGGATTTTCCTCTTTCATCACTTATGATAACAGCACGTTCAATCTGGTAAGGTAGAGATTTTTTAAAAAAAAGTTCAGGTAAAAAACCTTTCTATGAAAATCTAGACGGTAATAAGCAAAACATTTGAACAAAACAACTCACATCTCCAAAGATGCTAAATGCCTTCTCTAGAAGCTCATTTGTAACATACTGAGTAAGATTCTTGACCTTAACAGCGGTACTGTTGGGAGCAAATCTGACTTTGAGGGGACGCCCCCTACGCATTGATCCATCTAATTCTTTCTTAGCTTTCTCGGCATTGGCATGGAAGTCCTGGAATAGATTTTAATTAACTACTGAAGAACATGAGCAAGACAAACAATATCAGATCACTCTTCAAGTGCTCACCATTCTTATGAAAGCAAAGTTCTTTTCTTTGTTAACAAAGAGCTCAGCTGTTTCACCAAACTTCTGGAAAAGACTAGAAATTTCCTCTTCAGTAACGTCATTTGTGAGATTGCCAATGTAAAGCCTGTTCCTCCCAGAAAACTTCTTTTCAGACACGTCGAGGGGAGGAAGGTCATGAGTAGGGCCAGCCAGAGTGGCCAGCTTCTCATTAAAACGATCCTGAAAAGATAAATCAAAAATGAAACTAAGAATGGAACTTTTGACAAGAAAGCTTTTTGAATAATGATGGACACTAACCTCTTGACCTCGTGGTCTGTCATCACGACCAGGACCACTCCTGAAAGCACCCCGAGGCCGTTGGCCCATGAGACTACGAGGACCATTGTCATCACCCTCACTCTTCACCTGAAAAAGATTCAACGGTCAAAACCAATTATTAATTAATTTAATAATCTGAGATAGCGTTAAACTTTGAGTGCAACAAGAATCTTCCTTATGAGAATTGATATTTAAAAAAGAAAGTTGAACCCACCTTTGGTGCGTTAGCTACACCTCCTCCCATCTTGTTCATGGGTCCACCACGGTTGTTAGGAGAATTTACTGCCCCACCACGGTTATTAGGAGAATTTACTGCCCCACCACGGTTGTTAGGGGAATTTACAGCTCCACCACGGTTGTTAGGAGAGTTCACAGGTCCACCACGGGCGGCGTTCATCTAAATGGTAGAAACAAAGTTATCAGTTAAGCGTAAAGCAAACATCAAATTTAAAAGATAAAAGAAGGAATTTTTTAAAATTATTCAAAATAGGAAACCCGAGCTAGAAAAAGAGGAATACATTCCTAGAATACGGGCCTCAATCGTGCTAAGCCTATTTTGGAAATAAAAAGCAAAAAAGACGGGAAAACCCAGTATTGATTGAAGGGGGCAACAACCTCTGCTGTCCAGGGAGTGCAGCAAAGTCATGGGGTATTCAGACAATAAAACAGAGGCTGGCGAGAAATAGGAGCTAAGAAAAGCATGAATACATACGTCTCGTCCTCCCGAACTGTTTCTGGGGCCGCGGTTGTCCCTGCCAGGACCACTAAATCGCCTGCCGCCACCGCGTCCGCCTCTACCACCGTGGAAATTGCCAGGACCGTCAGGCTTGGTTTGTTGCTGGTGCTGCTGCTGCTGCTGGTGTTGTTGCTGCTGCTGCTGCTGGATAAGAGGGCCAGGACCCCCAGCATCTTGTTTAACTTCTGCGTTCGGAGCAGCCATCGCACAAGTTCTAAATACCAAGACGCCTCAAATAGAAAACTAGAGCTTGCAGCCGGATCACAGAACAGCGATGGCGTCTTCTTGTGTGGTGTCGTCAAGCGTCGGCCGTCTGCGCCTGCGCGTACGAGCCGTCGTCCAAAATGAACCGGAAATGCTTATTTACAGAGCAAAGCCTAAAACAACGAAACAACCAAGTGTGTACAAAATTTCACTTTGGGTCTTCTCAAATCGTTATTTGGAAACAGTTTGGAAACAAGTAAATTATAACGGTCTTTCAAATTTATATAAGAACTTCAAACCATTCATTCAACAAAATCTACACTCTGACCACGTTGACCAAGAGACAACCTTATAGTTTGTTTTGTTTGTTGTTGTCGTCTGTAGTCGTCTGGAGAAAAACAGCCTCCTGTGGTAGTTGTCATCATTCTGCGTTTTATAGTTATGTTTCCTTGCTGTAGCTCTTGAAGTTCAGTGATAGTTGCTTCAAGCTTGTTGAGGATTTGCCTTTCAAGCGTAGTTAAGATTGAGAAAGAGAAACCTTCATTCTCTGAGGTTTAGTCAAGAGTTCTGAACATGGACCGGACTTCAGAAAGTGAAGCAGTCGACGACGGCTCTGACGACTCCAGCTGCGATGGTGAAAATTTAAACATTGATTGCGACAGTGATTCAAACATTACTGGCGGTGATATAAACTCAGAAGATGCAGTTACGGACCCTCTTGCAGTTTGTTCCAACCCCGCTGCTGGCAATTTGGATGTTGATTCAAAATCAGGAAACTCTGGAAGGTTTCCTTGTGACGTATGCGAGAAATCTTACTCAAGTAACCGAAATCTGTTGCGTCACCAATTAATTCATATAGGTGAAAAGGCATTTAAATGTGAGATATGCGGCAGTGCTTTTACAGAAAGTGGCAGCTTGAAAAGTCACATGCGAATGCATACAGGTGAAAGGCCTTATGAATGCAATCAGTGTGACAAGAAATTTACTAAAAGTGGCCATTTGACTGCACACCTGAGAACACATACATCAGAGAGACCCTATACTTGTGATGTTTGTAAAAAGTCATTTGCAGAAAGATGTACGCTCAAAGCACACATTCGCACTCACACAGGAGAAAAACCATACAGTTGCACTTTATGTCCAAAACAGTTTGCCCAAAATGCAACACTGAGAGCTCACATCCGTAGGCATGTTAAAAAGAAACAACCAAAGCCCAAGGGGCCTCCTTTGGATGAAGGCTCCTTTGAATGTCCCAACTGTGACAGGGTGTTTGAAACCAAAGTTCAGTTACGGTCTCACAGTCGAACTCATGTGCCAAGCATTCAAAAATATGAATGTGCTGAGTGTTTAAAAAAATTTACAGCTGGTGGTACTCTAAAAGATCATATGAGGATCCATGCAGGTGAAAAGCCATTTAAATGTGAAATTTGCCAAAAGAAGTTTACAAAAAATAGCAATCTTATGGCTCACTACCGTATTCATACAGGGGAAAAGAAATTTGAATGTATTTTGTGTGATAAAAAGTTTTCTAAAAGAATTTCATTAGATTCACATGTTTGTACAAGAAGTGGTGCCACTGAGGTAGGCTCATTTGTAAAACATTTTATGGCTTGAAATTAGGGGGGGAAAGACATATTTAAAAATCAATTCATGTAATTTCATTTAGTTCAAATGGTGATAATAAAATTTGACTTCATGACCCAACATATGTGCATTTTCATTACAAACAGGTCAAAGTTATCTTACAACCCCCTTCCCTTTTCATTTTTCACAGAAATAATATAAGCTAAACAGCTCAATTCTGATAGTTTAATTCAAAATTAAATATACAGTTTCTTTCCTTGCTTCATATTTACAAGGAAAAAGATAACTTCTAAGAAAAATAAAGGGACATAGCAATACACTAAGGATAGCTCTGCAAACTTAAACACACATTATTATTATTATTCCATGTTGTCATCTTCATCTTCATCCTTACTTTGTTCATGCAACAAAACATATTCCCTTGAACTGTAGCCAAACTTAAGGACATCTCTCTCTAATAGTTCCACATATTTTCTGGGATCAATTTTGTTATTGTTGACAAAAGTGCCATTGGCTGAGTCTAGATCTATGATATAAGGCCTTATTCTTTTGCCTACAGTTCCATTATCTCTATCAAATTGTACAAGACGAAATTGTAAAGCTGCATGCTGCTTAGAACAAGATGGATGATCCAACGGAATATCGACAACCTTTCGTTCCCGACCCAAAAGGAATGCACTAGCCCTATGAATATAAAGAACTTTTAAAGCCTCCTCACCTTTGAAAGGGTACAGACGCCAGCGTCTTTTAGGAACTCTGGCTTCAGGAGGTTCACTGTACTTAATAACAACACCCTTATAAGTATTTGTGTCTTCTGTGAGTTTTCCTGATAGACCAAAATTGGGTTTATCTCTCTCTTCAGGTGGCAGCGGCTTGTTTCCTCCATCCTCTGTCTTCTTGCCCCACTCATAATTACTTGTGTCTTCTTCTGACTTCGGGAATCTTGAATGGCCACCTCGGCCTCCTCTTCCACCTCTACCTCTACCCCTGCCCCGGCCTCCTCTATTCTCATGAAAGTCTGGCCTAAACCTGCACACAAAAATACAGAGTGTAAACAATTATTATAAAACAAAACATATGTATTGTCAAGAAGATAAGAAACAGAAAGAATCTTACCCCCGGGTACCTCTAGAATCTCGTTCCTCAGAATTTCTGCCACTACCCCTTCCAAGGCCCCTAAAACACCGACACACAAAAAATTGTTTGTATCTTAAAAATGCATTTACGAGATTGTAATTTCAGGCTCAGCAACAGAAGTTAGGGTTTAAAATAAATGCATATGATCATCAAATATAGTACTTGATAATCTATTGGATATTAAAAATTTTTGGAACTGACCTGTTGCGGTTTCTCTCCTCTTCATCATCCCATTTAGACCTAGATGGCCCTTCTCGTCCTTGTGCATCATCACTGTCTAACGGTTCATCTTTGATTTTAACATTTCCTTCATGTTTCCGGTCTCTATGACGGTCTCTATCTCTATTGTGATCTCTGTCTCTTGTGTGATCTCTGTCTCTATTGTTGTCTCTGTCCCTGGTGTGATCTCTATCACTGTGTCTTTTCGTTCACGTTCCCGATCGTCTCTGTTCCTTGATGACTTATTTGGATCCTCCATGGAATGACGATGTCTATCATGATGGTCGGGTTTTCTTCGATGTCGGTCTTGATCTTCCCTTAATTCAGAAGGAGATCCCGGTTCTCTTTTGGGAACTTTAGATGGTACATCATCTTCAATGTATCTGTCACGAGAGCCTCGCCTATGTTTCTTGTGCCCATGTTCTTTCATCTCAGGTATTTCTAAAAAAACAAAAGAACAGACATCATGTAAGAACTGCGCAATGTAACTGAAAATGAGCAATGACAATTGTAGGTTAAGATTAACATATTTATGGAAAATATGCACGAATATGTACGGGCAGTGAGACACTGATTTCAAAGAATAACTGTTCTTAAAAATCCTAGGGAAAAAGAAGCAAATGATGAAATAAATAAGAAGCGGGCATTACGACTGTCAGCAAGTAAAATTGTAGCTAATGTGTTTGCAGAATGAATGAATCCAATATTCCCAACAAACCAGCGTAATATTCCTGCCTTACCAAAAAAAAAAAAAACTCCTTCGTTGAATGAAACAAGAGGGTAATTCTCTTCAACGAATTCAGTTGCAGACAACACGATAGATTAAAGAAATTCGTTTTCAATGCCAATTTCTTTAAACAAAAACTACATGCGAAAGAGAAACACCGCAACAACAAAAACAAAACGCCTGTGTAGAGGCTTAGCCAACATCTGAGCACATATTGGCTGGTACGATAGGTGTGATTATATGTTCATCCTGAATGCAGGTGGAAAAGAAAATAATTATAAACGGCTTTGTTTAAAATATTTAGTAAGTGACAAGTTGTTTTGTCAAAACTTTCCAAAGAACACTTTTGCTTAAATATTAGCAGTTGGCTAATTAAAAGGTAACACTGGTTGCTGTTCAAAGTGCGAATAATGCGTCTTCCTTGTATCCGCACGCTCCAACATGGTTTGCACCCGTTCTGTTCTGTTTACCAACATGCGCTGTCCTCCCGGTAAAAGACTTTGAACTTCGACATTCGTCTTCAGGGCCGGGAATCAAGGTGAGTTTTCGCTCATGAAGTTTTGTGGTACTGTGCTTGGTGAACAAGGGCATTGACAACCTGTCTCTGTGGCTTACAGCCTGATTGACACCTCTTCCACTGAGCTAGGTCACAGATTAATCAGTCGGTTTCTAAGCTTCGATCTGACTAACATGGCTTTTCTCTGTGAACAGGTGTTTCGGAAACTACTTACACAATGCTCCTACAAGTGTATGCACTTGTTGTCCTTTCTTGGGATGCTTTGTGCCTTGTCCTGCAAGTTTACATTGCCTTCCTTGAGGCGTGCTGGCACCTGATATGCCCTCCAAGACAGAGATCGGTCAAGAATGAGATAGTTCTGGTAATACTGCATATCGAGAACTACATACATGTCAATTTAATATTTGAATAATATGTTTTACTGTTTCTCCTTAATTGCTTCTTGCAGGTTGTTGGAGCATCTCGGGGTGTAGGAAGAGAGCTTGCTCTACAGCTTGCAAATCTTGGTGCTTATATTGTTTGTTGTGACATTGACAGCGCTGGAAATAGGAAGACCTATGTTGACATCTGCCAAAGTGGTGGCCATGCAATTGCGTACCATGTTGATGTCACAAATAGAGACCAGGTAAGACAGTTACCTAGTCACTTCTACATCTTATTTATTATTTTAATAAAGTATTTTGTTAATGTCCCTTGTATGTTTAGGCCCCTTAATCAACTTAAGTAACCATTAATTACAGGTTTTCAAAATTGCGGACAATGTGAAGAAGGACGTAGGATTTGTGAGCATGATAATACATTGTTGTGGCATGCCTAGTCCTAATTCTCTTGTTGCCCAGCCACCACCAGAAATCCAAACCACTATGGATCGCAGTGTTATGTCTCACTTCTGGGTATGCCTCATTGTTTTTCATCTTACTTCTCTCCAAGATTAGTGCTGGCTTAATTTTCACTGTTTCCATGCAGATTCTTCAAGCATTTTTACCGCAAATGCAAGAGCAGCGTCGGGGACATATAGTTGCTTTGAGTTCTGTTGCTGGCCTGACTGGCATAAAAGACCAAGTGCCCCTGAGTGTATCTCAATTTGCTGTCAAAGTAAGTCTTGGGGGACTCTGATGTTTTGACATCCCTTTCCATTATTAATACATTAATGTGTTCATTGCAGGGTTTAACTGAATCACTTCGCCAGGAGTTGAGAACATCCCAAAGACATGCTAAAATTCAAGTGACTCTAGTGCACATTTATCCATTTCTAGTCAGTCCTGAATATTCTCGAGATATAAGACTTAGGTAAATGACATTACCATTTATATCGCGTCTTGTTGTACTGCTTGCTTTTTCATGAGAGTGATAAAACAAAACTGTGATTCCTGGAACAGGATTCCAAGCTACTTTGGAACGTTGGACCCCAGAGAAGCTGCTAGACAAATCATTGTTGGAATTCGTCAAGGATATTCAGAAATGAGTGTACCTGGTTATTTACTCTTCATGGGAAACTTGCTACGGTAAAATATGTCTAATATGAAATTCAAGTTGTTCTGTCACACGATTTTTCCTATTAATGTATCTTGATTCTTTTTTAATTTATTCAGGTTGTTGCCAAGAGAAGTGTCTGTCAGGTTGAGGGAGTTGTTAGACACAGGTGTTGATTTTGGTTAGAGCACTTTCCAGTTGTCAGGCATAGTTCAAGTAAACTAATGTGTTAAAGAGGACCAAATACTGTTAATACTAAATGTTTCAATGAGGTTTTGAGTGATAATTCTTATATTATTAGGGAGAATAACTTGAAAAAGCTGTTTATCTGTTTTTGACTGTTTTTTCTTTCAATGTCATAAATTAATAGGTTTAGGTACTCTCATAATTCACTAAATTTGTGTTAGTCAGTTTCACTATTCACTTCATCACATACCTCCAACATAACGTGTTCATAACTATCTAGTCTTCAGGGCCTTTAAGCCAACCTTTTTGCCACCTCGAGCTTAAGAAGTACTACATGATGAGAAGTGACTAAAATCTTGGGAAAACAAATTTTTTAAATAATTAACAAGATTAATGTGATTTATGAATTCATAATTTTATGAATTTTACAATGTTCTTCAGAAATGGGACAGAAGGTTTTATCTAGCAACAGTTTCTGTTAATACCTACATATCATTATTCAGTCTTGAAATTTCATATTTTCTTACACAGGTTTGTAACATAATATTTTTAAAGACAATAAATATTAGACATACTCAGTTCGCTTAGTCTCTTCATTGTCATGGGACCCAATGAATAGGACTCAAACGTCATACTGGTTCAGGTTCTTCCACCGCTCTGGGGAGGAGGGCCGCCTGCAAGACGGCGGTGAGCTACGGGCGCGTCTGGGCAGCGGGCAGGCTCGCTCCTGAGCCCGCGGTGGCTTGGCCAGGCTTGGCCAACCCAGGCCTTCAAGGGCTCGTCGCCGAGGAGAGAGACGACTGCACTGTCTGGGCGGAGGAGCTCGTGCCGCACGAGGAGTGCGACACGGACGTGACGGAGGAGGTGTTCCTCGTGATGGCGAACACCCCCGCGCGCCTCAGCGCCCCGGGCGGCCCGCCGGCGAGCACCGCGTCCACGCCGGGCCGCGGCAGCAGCCGCAGCGACTGCAGGGCGGCCACGATGGGCCGGTGCATGGCCTCTGTCTTCCAGGCGTACACCAGCGGGTTGAGCAGGAACGAGGTCATGGACAGCGCGAAGGCGGCCTCGAACGCCACGAGCAGCACCGGGTGCGGCCCGATGACGACGAACGCGACCAGCATCAGGTCGAGCGGCGTCCAGCACAGGATGAAGGTGCCCGTGACGCGCAGCAGCACCCTGGCGGACTTGTGGCAGCTGAGCTGGGAGCGGCGCGCCGCCGTGGACGACGCCACGAACAGGGGGTCGTTGCAGCGCTTCGTGAACGCCTGGATCTGGAGGACAGGCAGGGGGAATGAGCGGTCGTTGCTCTGCCTCTCTGCGGCGTCAGACGCGAGAGAGGCAGAGCGCCGCGCTCCGCTCGCTTACCTCTCTGTGGACGCGCCAGTGCGCGAAGGAAATGGCGGCCAGGACGAACACGTTGGAGGGCAGGGCGAACATGATGAGGAAGTGCGGCACGATGAAGTGCTCGTCGCAGCTCGGCACGCCGGGGTGCCACTCGTTGAAGAAGAAGATGGACGACGAGCCCGCGATGGGGACCAGCCAGCCGACGAGGATGAGGCACCAGCTCGTCCTGGGGCGCAAAAACCCAAGGGTCGCATGTTATTCCCTCTTACGATTCACTTGAGGACAAAACTGAAAGAACCGAAGGTGAGTGTAACCTCGTGGTCATGAAGTCCTTGTAGTGCAGCGTGTGCACGATGGCGGCGTAGCGGTCCATGGCCACCACCAGCAGCGCGCAGTGCGACCCGAACATGGTGAGGAAGCAGATGGAAAACCGGAGGACGCACGGGAGGTAGTATCTACAGTGGGAAATGGAGACACACCGTCAGCTTTTGCCACCCCGCTTTCATCTCAACAATACCCGCATTTGGCGAGTGTGTTCGCATACCTGGCGAGCATGGTGGCCACCTGCGGCCAGAACTTGGGCATGGAGAAGTAGACGAGCCCCAGCCCCACCAGGATGTCGGCCACGGCCAGGTTGAGGACTAGGCGCCCGGCCGGCGACAGGCGGAGGCTGTTCTTCCTGGCCCTGTGGAAAAGAGAGGTGTCAGCAAAGCGCACATCTCTTTCTCTCTCTCACTCACTCGCTCTCCTTTAATTGGCCGTTCCGTGCTTAGCCGGTGCATTACGCGAACGGCTCCGACCGCTTAACGATGGACAGCTAGACCATTAGACACACATGGACCCCACGGTGGGCCGGGGATTCCCCCTTGCTCAGCTCAGCGCGCGCAGCGGGTCACGCTAGCTGACGCTCGCCGCGCCGCACCAAGTCCCAAGTCCGGCTAGGCGTCGTGACGCGCGTGCCGGGGCGGCGCCGTTTGCAGCCGTTTCTCTAGGTAAATAAATAAAGTCCGCGCCGCGGTCTCATGCTGAGCCGCCTTGACCCGCCGCAGCGCGACAGCGCCACCCCTTCCTGCTGCGACGCCGTGGACGCCGCGGTGCTCTGTGTGGCCACTGGCCCGGCCACGCACGCCAGTGTGGCTCGCTGGCATGCACGCTAAGAATGCACTATGGCCGCGCATCGAGGAGTCGCGACGGAAAACTCCACTGGCGGTTTCGACAATCATCCGCGGTTGACTAGGAGCAACTAGGAAGGAGCACCATCAGAGACGCCATACGGCGACGCCTTGCGGTTGCTGTCTGAGGGACGGCGACGCTCGATGCGCGGGCTTTACTGCACGCGGCTGCAGTGCAGGCTCCGCGTGTTTACATTGTCCGAGCCTTCCTGTTTACTGTTACGTAAGTGCCAAATTTCACAATGGACTTACGAGGTGAACCTGCTGCAGGCGTACGCGGCGACCACGAATATGTTGCACACCAGCATCAGGAACATGAGGACGTACTCGAGGCCGGCGAACGCGACCATGATGTGGGGGAGGTAGTCCTCGAAGCGGGGGCCGCCGACGGTCAGGGTGACGACGCCAGCGGTGGGCCGCGAGGCGTTGTAGTGCAGCAGCTGGAACACGAACAAGATGGGGTCGGTTGGGATCACGCCAGACCTCTGTCTTCAGTTTGTTACCAGTTCTCACGGATTACTCCGAAACTTTGGTGTCGTTGCAAGGGCCAGCAGCGATCCGGGCGGCAACCACGTTAGCAACCATTAGAGGCATGCAGGCTTGCTGCATGCACTGCTCCGTGCCATGACTCCATGACGACGGGGGCCTCGTAAGTTCCCAGAGTTTGGCAACGCTGCCAAAAACTCGCACGCTGGTACATACTTATTGTTTTGTCTACAAAATTTTACAGTTGACGCGCCGCGCTTCGTGGCGGTTCCCTCCCACGCCGCCACACCCAGCCAATCCACGCGCCGCGCGCCGCCGCAACAGTAGCGGCTCAAAGTCAGCGCACGCAGAATGTAAACAGTATGTCCGAGAGTTCTAGGTACTGCGCCCGTACATACCGGCGAGCCCTGCGTGGGCGTTGCTGTGCCGAAGGACGCCGTCGAGGGCGCCAGCGCCGAGGCCAGCGCCGCCGAGACCACGGTCGCTCTTCCCGGCTCCGCAGCGTCCATGACCAAGTGCATGGCCGTGGTGGGCGGCATGTCGGCGCGCTTCTGCGCTTCTGCGCTACAGCCGGTGGTGGCGGTGCAGGCGGTGCAGGCGGCGGCTGGACGCGGAGGGGTCGGAGGGGTGGCCGCAGCCCCACACCTGGCCATGGCCACGGCCGAGACCGGCCCGCGGCATCTCGATCGCGCTGCCGCCGGCGTGCCCGGCGTGCCCGGCGTGTCGCGGCCGCGGCGTCCTGCCGCTGCACATGCCCGTCGCCAAGCTGCCCGCGGCTGGTCCGCTGGTGCGGCCCGTCCGGCCCCTGCGGCTACACTACTCAGCGACTTGACGAGTGACGAGGCGTGGCGCGATGAACCGCGCCAACCGCGCCAACCGCGCCAACCGCGCCCGCCAACCGAGGTGCCCGCTGCGCCGCTGCCCGCCCCTCTCTTCCCCCACTCCGCAACGCGGATGCGGCCGGACGCGGCGCGCGACGAGGTATCCACAAATCTTGTTATCGCCGGCAACCTGTTCTCTGCTCCACAACCAGACGAACCAGACGGCCACGGCGGCACGCGACCCAAACGAGCGTGCCAGAAAATGAGTCTGCGGGAGCCGGGACTCGAACCGGAGACCGCGCCACCGGTGTGCGTGTTCCAAGTGGTTCCAAGACTCCCCGGGGTCGTAAAAGCATTCTATTCCCAGGAGGGTGCGAAAAGGTCGAAAAGGCAGCACTAGGGCGTGGCGCGCGGCGCGCGGCGTCGTCCTCCCCGCAGGACCCCGGGCACGGCACTGGCCGGGCACTGCCTGGGCACTGCATCAAACGGCCCCACCGCGGTCCGGTACACGGTGGGGCGGAGAGGCCGTGAGGCGGACGGCGCCGCAGCGGCACGCAAGGGCAAGGAGGGGGAAATTAAGACGAAAAACACAAACAGCCCGGCGAGCAAAGGGTGAGGGGTGGAGAAGGGCGGGCAGGGACGCGAAGCAAGGCGAAGTCAACGATCGACTTTTATAGACGATTTTTCAGACCGTCATCGTAATCGACGTCGTTAGTAACCCGTTTCTGGCTTGGAGACACAACTTTAGCTCGGGGAAGCGGTCGAGATTGGGTGACTGTACCACCCTTTGACGTCTCCCACGCGGTGCTCGCGCCTCCAGACGGCATCACCCGCGCTAACAGCCTCTAAATCCAGTGCCTTCACGGCGCACTGCGTCGCACTGCGTCGCGGCCGTGGCCCTGCCTGCGTCCTGCGCGCTGCGTCCTGGCCTTCGACCTTTCCGTGTGGCGCCAAGCCGAGGCGGGCAGGGCGAAGGACCTCGAAGGACCTCGAAGACGCGTAGGATGTTGATGTTTTGAAGGCATTGGAGCCCAAGTGGCGGTGTTGGTCCAGACAGATTGGTGTCACCACGGAGACACTTCGTCGCTCCGTCTCTCTCTCTCCGTCGCACAGCACCGCCGCCGCTGCATCCCGGACGGGACGGCAGGCGCCGAGATACCGTCCCGTGGCGCAGCCGTGCCGGCGGGTTGCCTACCCGAACCTTCGCAGGCGCTTACAGCCAGATAAACCGTAGTCCTTAGCGCTGACTGCGGCGCGGAGGCGAGGCGGCGGCCGGCTGTAGACTGTCTCTGTCTCTCTCGCACACCTACGGAAAGCGCCGTGCGTGCGAGAGAGCGAAAGCATCAGTCGGAATCAGCCGGAAACTAAAACGATGCGCAAAAAGTGCCAACTTCCCCGCTTTTTTTCATTAGTGCACAAGGATTACGCGAGCCCCCTGATAAAGGCGCCATTGAACACACAGACACGCGAGTGACGCTAATGTCGCTCGGGCGTCTATCGGAACCCAAGTTGCCAATCGCTGTGTTCCTGTTGCCTTTTTTTCTTTTTTACCTTTTTTTGTTTTCAAGCCGTCGCGCCTCGGAGGGGGGCGCCTTTCTGCCGGAGTTCCCCTGGTTCCCCTCCTAATGACGGGTGGGGCGGACGGATGTTGCCACCAGGCTAGCCGTCTCTCTCGCACCAACGAGGCGTCCCCTAGGCCGCGAGGCGACGCGAGGAGTGCGAGAGAGACAGGCGACCAAACTGATTCGCTCAAGGCGGCTGCAGATTGACTCACCGCCTTGCACCTTCGAGCCTCAGAGGCAAACGGAGGCGATGAGATAAAACTGCACGCAGTCATCTCTAAGTTTCCGATCGCTTTGGATGAGATTTTTCCTTGTCAAAGTTTGTTTTAACACGTGCACTTGTTTTTTGCTTTTGTTTGTTTTGTTTTTTTCAGGGGAGGGTGGAGAAATGACAAAAGGGCCAACAAAAACATAGCAGAATATTTGTCGTTTAGATTCTTTTTTGCGGTGTCTCTTTTTAAAAAAAAATATTTTGCCGTTTGGCGGGGTGGTGGTCTGCGGAGATACTCGCTGGCTGAGGCAAGAGCGCGGGGTATATCCCCCGGCGTGGAGTATGGCGCGCAGTGGGCCGAAGCCCCTGAATTGTTGGTGCGCGCGGCACGCCTTTCATTGCAAGTCGCTCTGACGTCAATTGAATCGCCACCTTTCTTCGAGACAGACTGCCTGGCGCCGACCTACTCTGTGGCATTTTCGCATCGTGCACGCGGCGGACTTCAAAGCGTTGAGAGTTGGAGAGAAAAAAATGAGGTTTGTGTCGTTTGTGTGTTGCTTATTTGACAAAGTTGTATTCTAACACTTAGACAGCATAGAGAAGCTGCCGTATTAAACATAAAATGAAATTGCTAGTACAATGTGACAAACTTACAAAGTCAAAGTAAAATAGACCCCTATAATTTGGTTGATTTTCTAAGCATTTAAGTCATTACAAAAAAAATCCTAAACAATCCAATAAAAGAAGGTAAAAAAACCATAACTGAAGTAATTTTTTATTTTCTTTTTCTGCATTTGAAAATCAAACCGGGAAATAATTTGGTGAATTCTTAGCTCTAGACTTTTATGAACTGTGAACGACTGAATTTGAACTAACTGCGCCATAGAACGACCCTTTTTGAGACGCTGCAAACGTGAATGGTGACTGCTCGGAAACCTGTTTCGGGCGCCATCCATGATAACATCGGAGCCCCCTCCATTCAGATTATGCACCCAGATTCTTCCGGCAGTACCTCCCCGGGCTGTTTGCGTCTGTACGAAAAATATCGAAGAAGCGATGAGAATCTCTCCGGAGTCTTGTTCTTGAGTCGCTAGGGGCTTTCTTCGGGGCAGCAGCATTATATCAGTAGTGGGCAGAGAAACGGTAAAGTCATCTTGACATCAGGCTATCGCAATTTCTGACCAGCGGGCGTGCTGTATAAATGATTGAAAGTCACCGAGGAGTGTTGTGTGTTTTCAAAATGAGGAACACGAGATACATGGCAAGGTGAGGGCTGCGTCCAGCTCGGCCATCTCGGAGGCGCGCTGAGGGGAGGGGAGGGGAGAGCCGGCCGCGATCACAGAGACAGCAAGTTTAAGACGACGCAGGCGCCGGGGAAGCCAGTTTTATACCCGCAGCCATGAACTTGACCAGACCACCGAGGCGCAGCAGACTTCTCTCTCCTTCTTCGTCTCTTCTTCTTCGCCTTATTCAACCCCAACACACCACAAAGCCGAAAGATGCTGCGTGCTTCAAGAGAACAGTCAGAAAACAAAAGTACACACAATCAAAACAGAAACGACATTTGTACAAGAGTGTCTGCAGCTTCCCTGAACTCATCACTTAGAGTAAAGGACGGCCTGCTCGAACACTCGCCTTACGCCCTACTAGGTTCTTCCCGGGAAGCTCCTATAAATACAAGATGTAAAGAGCAAACCTAAACTCACGCTCACTCCACAGTCAAAAATAACTTTGTGGCTCTAGGTTACATTCCTGAGTCGCGTAACCATGGCAGTTGTTGGTGGTTAAATGGCAGTGTAGATTCGCCACCGTGCCTCGCCGGGCCCTGGCCGAGCCCCCACCCGTGTCGCCCTGTCGGCCTGTCGGCCGCGTCCGCCTCGGGGCGCTCATTCCCCATTTCAAGTGTTTGGCTTTGGCTGGAGTCTCCGTGCGGTTCCGAAACGGGCAGATGACAGCACTGCCTCGGCCGATAGGGGAGGCGCGTGGCCCGAGGGGAAGGGGGGGGGGCAGTCTCAGATTGGACCGATCCAACGTGACGACTCCTGTCGCGTCGTCGCATTGCTGTTTGCCTTGTCGTCGCTAGAGTGTCCTCAGGGAAGGGACGAGCAAAGTCCGGGCAGTGCTGTCTGTCGTCGCTCTGTCTCTCTCGCGCACCCACGCGAGCACCCACGGGGCGCGCCACGAGTGCGAGAGAGGCAGAGCGACGACGACGCCTCCGCGTGGAATCGCGGAATCGTTCGGCTGGCGAGTCATACGTACTGTGCACGGACATACGCGGACATGCCCGGCCGGGTGTTTGCCCGCTGGTGTAGCGACCACCTCGCATTTCCAAGCGACGATGACGCCGTGCCGGTCGACGCTCTGTCTCTCTCGCTCCCCTGCAGGACGCCCCATGAGTGCGAGAGAGACAGAGCGATCCTCCGGTTCTCCGCAGTGACTCATCCTGCGTCCACGGCGACGGCCTCCGCGACCTCCGACGAGATTAGTGGACACAGCCTCAGCCAGGGCTTATCGGGGACGTCAGAGAGCGGGGCGGCCAGTCGCAGTGCAGGCCATTCTCACTCCCTGCCGCCGAAATCCGAAGGACACGTCTTGTCTCTCTCGCACCCCTCCGGACGGCCCCACGAGTGCGAGAGAGAGAGCGACAAAACGGTGCGTCGGAATCAGGCGGCAGGATAGGGGTCCTGCGGGAAACCGGTGCGGGAAATCCGGAGCCCCGAGGAGAAGAGCGTGAAGCAGGACACTGGGAAAACGGAGTCGACCGGCTGGAGCCAACAATGCACGCACCAAGATGTGTCACGCACTCGGACGGGGCCCTCGTCGTCGCCTACCTGGCGGTTGGCGGTCGTTAGCGGCTGGGCCCTTCGCAAGAACGGGACGCCCCGTGCGAGAGAGACAGCGACGGGAGCCCTTTTCGGAAACGGCCTGCTGTCCCTGCTGGCGCCCGAAACGAGGGAAAGGCAGCTTGCGCCGATCGCCGCGCCGGCGAGGGGCGCTAGTGTCGCGCGCGGTCGCTGCGGCGCAAACGGCACGGTACGTGGCTACGCGGTGCGCGGTACCGGGCGCTGGCGGTCCACGCCGCCACGCCTCCACGCACGCCGCGGCCAGAGTGGCCCGAGTGGCACGAGTGGCACGCCTGGCCCGGGGCCCCGGGGCCTAGGCCGGCTTCGGCCAGCCTCGGCCCGGCCGGCACCTAGGCCAGTGATGAGTTCGGCGGTGAGTGCGCGACGCGGCACATCGGCAACGCCCTGGGTCAGTGCGCTGCAGTGCTCACGTGGATAGTGTCGTCTGGCTTGGTGACCGTGGCGGTGGACGCGTAGTGCGCGGTGATGTTCTTGTGGTCAACGCGCGTGTCGTGGACGGAGAGGGCGGAGGGGAGGCCGGCCGTGCTCTGAGGCCGCGGCGGCGCCGATATGACGCTCGCCACCCTGCAGCCCCTGCACCCCTGGAGGCGGTGGCGGAGAGGTACTGCCCGCTGGAGGTGGGCGGGCTGGATGGCGGCGCCGGGGAGGACGCCGAGGCCCTGCGCCAGTTCTTCAAGGTGAAGCTGGCCGTGGACGTGGCAGTGTGCTTCCTCGTCCTCGCCGGCAACGCCCTCACCATCAGCGCCCTGCTGCACCAGCGCTGGTGCCGCAAGGAGACGCTGTGCCCCCGGTTCAAGGTCAGTGCGCTGGTGGTGTAACGGATGTTCAGAACCTGTCCGTCCAAGCGAGTGTTTGGTCTTGTTTTTGCTGTGGTGATGGTGATCTCGGACGATATCAGTGTTTCGTAGTAGAACAACAACTGAAATATTTACAGACATTTAAAAAATCCGAAGTTCCGTTAAAGTTTTAAATGATTTGTTTCGTCGCGTTGTGACCTTTCTCTATAAAATGCTGGACAAGATTTGAAAGTTCATTTCTTTTGAACATCCGATCCTATGGTGTTGAGTGTTGAGAAAAGGAACCTATAGACGTGCATCCCCTGCAGGTGTCCTCCCTGTTCGTCATGAACCTGGCGGTGGCCGACTTCTTGATCGGCTGCTCCATGCTGTTCTTCCTCGTGTCCCACTACGTGTGCTCCATCTCGGAGTACATGACGCAGCACCGGTTCCTGTGCGTCACCAAGACGGCCACCTTCATGTTCTCCGGCATCATCTCCGTGTGCACGCTGGGCGCCATCTCCATCGACCGCTACGTGGCCGTAATCCACAGCCTGCGCTACCAGGAGTACATGACGAGGAGGTAAGCACAGCGATAAGCACTGCGACCCCTTTCTAGTTGAGTCGTGCAAAACACACGCCGTGCCGCATGAAAAATGGAGGCGTCGAAAGATGCATACCGCGATCCGCGCGGCCGGGGGAGCGCCCCCCCCCCCCCAATCCTCCCGGCTAGTAAGGGAGGGGGTGTCCGCTGAGCCCGGCCGCCGCAGCCGCCGCAGCATGGCGAAGCTCTCTATACATGGCGCCCGCCTCGCCAAACACTTTGATGAGAACAACACACACGCAGCTCCGTCTCTGTCGAGACAAGGAGAAGATTTTTCAGTGGGAAGGCGGGCGGGGGGAGGGGGGCTTTGTTCGAAGGCAAGTTCCGTTGGGGCCGAATGGGGAAAACCTGTCTCTTGGTGCCTGCTGAGTGGACTGGGTTCGTTGGCCTCTTTTCGGGCAGAGAATTATCGTTTTCATAAGCATCCGGTCTGAAAATTGGATTGCCTCGGCCGCGGCCAATTGGATGCACTTTCATCCGCCCCCTCGGGATCGGGGTGCCGTGGTGCCGCGGTGACCAGCCCCAGCCCCAGCCCCAGCCCGACCCGCGTCTCTTCCAGGAATCGGCGCGGCCCTCAACAACGATCGGGGGGGGGGGGGGGGGGCACGCGCTAGGGTAACAAGGCGGCCGGCCTCGGGGGACCCCGAGGGGGGCCCAGAGGGGGACCCCCTCCCCGCGACCAATGCGCGCTCGGCCTTTTTGCCGCGCGCGTTTTAAAGCACTCCGCGGTTTTGTTTTTTCAGACGATAGCGGGAAAAGCACCGGGGGGCGAAACCGGCTGAAACGTTGAAAGCCGCCGCGGGGGTCCTTGCTGGTCCTTGCGGCCTGCCTATTGCTTTGGTGGCTCGAGTGCCACGCACGGCCACACGTCGCTTCAACAAGCCGCTTCCAGACTGTGCTTTCGTCTCTCTCCCATTCATGAGGTGTTCCGTCCGCGCGCGAGAGAGACAGAGCGGGGGAGCCTGCGGGGTTGACTTCCCGCGAGTTTGATTAACCCTGGCATCCGTTTTCTGTTTGTTCGGCCTTCGGCCAGGCGCGCGTGCGGGATCATCTCCCTGACGTGGGTGGTGGGGCTGGTGAGCGCCAGCAGCCTGTTCCTCTGGAACCACTTCGAGGCCGGCAAGCCGTGCCTGGACACCGTCATCCCCAAGAGGCTCATGGTGTTCCTCGTGGCGCCCTTGCACGTCCTCGTCCTCAGCGTCATCCTGGTGGCGCACATACGCATTCGACAGGTGAGTCCTGAGGTCGCTCTGTCTCTCTCGCACGTGACGGGCGCGAGAGGGACGGCGAGTGACGTTTCCCGTTCTGCCTCCAGGAGATCAAGCGGATGCGCGCGCGCCGCAAGGAGCACGAGAAGTCCATCTGGGGCGCGCAGGTGCAGCGAGGCTCCATCAAGTCCATGCGCGCCGTGGTGCTGGTCATCGGCTGCTACGTCGTCTGCTACGTGCCCTTCACGTGCGTGCTGGGCGCGCGCCTCATGGGCGTGCGGTCACCCGGCATGGACATGGCCTTCCAGATCCTGTGCACGGTCATCAACCTCAACCCCATGCTCAACCCGTTCATCTACTCGTGGAAGAACGCGTCGGTGCGCACGGCCCTGCGCCAGTTCTTCGACAAGGTGGCCCTGCTGACCGGGGTGTCGGCGCCGCGTGACCCACGCGACGGCAAGAAGGTCATCAGCACCACGCTGACGGCGTCCAGCCTGACGGCCTCCAGCCTGAGCGCCACGCTCAGCCACAGCGGGCAGGGCAGGCAGGGCCCAGGCCAGGGCCCCGCCGTCATCTCGGGCAAGCAGGTCCCCGAGCGCTACGTGCCCTACGAGAACGTCATCTGACGACGTCATCTAGTCCAGAAGCTGCATCCCAGACGCGTACCTTTCATTCTCCCCGGACTTTTGGCCAGCCAGCAGCGTGCGGTCGCAGTGTGAGAGTGTCTCTGTGTGTACTGTTAATAGAAATGTGGACTGACGCTAGCGATAATTTCGTCGCTCCACCGAAACAAGACTGATTAATCAATGCAATTAGTAATTACATTGTGTACTAACAAATCTAAGTCAGTTTGTCGTGTGCATTATTCCTCGAGTTCACCCGCACAGGTTTTCCCAGGGAAAAAGCCTCCGCAGCGAGTCGACCGGGCGCATTTCGCTCTGAATGAAACAAAGTGCTCGAAGGGAACGGCGCGGCTTCCGTTTTCCTCTTGCTTTACATTCTCCAGTTGGCCTACAGGCCAGACAGCAAAAAAATCAAGCAGTTAAAATTCTAAATTCAGTAAAATTCGACACTATTCGACTCCCTGAACGTTGGGTACAGCACGCCTCGTGGCCTCTGCGTCAATTGCCTTGATTTTTTTTTACCCCCAGGATCCCCGACAACATGGCCATGTTGACGTTTACTTGGGACTCGGTTTGTTTGGACACCCCCGGGTGGGTTGGGGAGTGAGGGGGAAGGCCCATACTATATGCAGTAACGCTGAGCAGCCGCCGAGATGCCGAGGGGCCAGTGTCGTGCCGAAGGGGGGGGGGGGGGGGGGCATTCGGCGGAGCAACAGTCCGACTCGAGAAGTGACTAACACCAACGGCGCCACATGGAACCATCTGCGAAATGAGTTTCAGATTTTCGAAGTCGTATCCGCGCCGCGCTTCCCCTCCGAGTCGAGACGACGCTTTCCGCGCTGTTGTTCCGTTCCGACCGGGATTGCAAAACTTCGCTAATAATAGCAGATGACCGGAGCTGGGGCGGCCGGGGCTTTGCGCGCGATGGTATGGAAACAAAAGAGAGAGGCCGCGCGGAAGACGAGCCCGACCGACTGAGCGCGTTAATTCGCTGGGATGGGGCAGCGCGGGCAGTGGGGTGGCGATGGCGTGCGCTGTACGTTTCCCCTGGTGGCGCGGCGCGTAGCTTTTTCTGTTCATTACCACAAGGTCAGCCCCAGCCCCGCCCTGGCCGGCCGGGCCGGGCTGCATAGAACAGCAACAGCAGCGGGCGGCATCGGCGGCCCGGCGGGGCGCGGCGAAGCGAAGGCTCTCTCTCTCTTTCCCTTACGGACACGTTATCAGAGTGGCGGCCGCGCGGGCTTAAGATGCTGCCTTCGACCCTGCTCGTCGTCTCCGCGTCCGTCGTCCTCGTCGTCCCCGTCGCCTTCCGCGTGCCGCCGTTTGTGTGCTCCCGCTTCCCCAGGCCGGGTGGGCTGCCTACCGCCACGGCGCCACCACGCCCGGCCGGCGGGAGCGCCTTGCGCGGCGCGCCGCTCCCGGACGCGCCGTTCAGTGCGAGATTTACGTTTTGGCACCCGGCCGCTGAAGCCTCTGTTCGTCACGTCTTTATGGGTTTGATGGTGGCAGTGTGGGGGCAGTGTTGTGGCGTGGGGAATCCCCAACCGGATAGTGTCAAATTCTTCCCGCTCTGCCGCGCCCTGCCGCCACCACAGCTGGGTGCTCTTCCGGGTTTTGATTTCTTCTCGACTGGCGTTGGCTGCGGTGGCGTCCCTCTTTTCCCAAGTAGCCCACTCACCGAAGTGCATCTGTATCGCGCCGCCGCCATCTCTTTCCGTGCTCAGCCCAATTTCTGAGCCCTCGCCTCGTCTTGTCCCCTATGCAGTTCCATTTCGGGGAGCGCCCGAACCGCGTCTCTAATTCCACGTCGAAATAGACGTGCCTCCAGATGGCCCTCCACCCCATGCGACCGGTCTGCCACGCTGCCCCGCGCACGCCCCGCGCCAGGACTCAGCGACTGGCAGGGCCTCGGACAGGGCCTCGGACAGGGCGGCAGGCAGACTCCTCCTGTCCACCGGCCTGTCCACCACGTGCCACCGCGTCCGCCGGGTCGCGCCATGTCCGAGAACTTCGTGTGCCCCTTCGAGGACCCGCTGCCGCCGGGCGGCCCGGCCCGCGGCCGCGCGCTGCTGGTGTTGAAGGCCGTGCTGGACCTGAGCATCGCCGCCGCGGCCGTGCTCGTCAACGCCTTCATCCTGTGGGCCGTGGTGCCCGGGACGGTGCGGCGCCGCCTGGGCCGCCCCTCCAGGATGCTGGTCATCAGCCTGGCCACCGCGGACGCCCTGAACGGCGTCATGCTTTTCCAGTACCACCTCTCTCAGGTACGCGTCCATCGCGTCGCGCTATCTCTCAGACTGCTGGATCAAGTCTGTCCGTCTCTCTCAGAACGTGTGTCCGCTGGCGCACTGGGTGGCGCAGCACCGCGCCGTCTGCCTGGCCAAGTTCGTGGGTGCCGTGTTCGTCGGCATGGCCTCCATCAACTCCCTGGCGGCCATCGGCTACGACCGCTACCTGTGCATCGTGCACAGCCTGCGCTACCAGCACATCATGACCACCAGGTGGGCTCAGAGGGCCAGGGCGAGCCAGGGGCCAGGGGGTGCCTTCCACGTCAAAAGTCGTACGAATTCGGAAAATGACAACCGAAATGGAGAGCTGAATCCTTTCTCCGGTATCAGCCGTAAGTTGTTGCAAGGCCTCTCGCAGTGTGGGGGACTAACCCCCCCCTCCCCCCAAACAATAGCGCTCAGAGGCAGCCGGGTTCCAAGAGTTGGCATCTCGCTTACCGTAATGAGTTTGGCATCTCGCTTACCGTAATGAGTTCTGGTAAGGGGGTGGTTTACGAATACTAGAGCCCTATGCTATACAAACTGATTTCGAAGAGTCGTTTCGCTTCGCGCCGCCCTGTCTCTGTCGCACTCGTGGGGGTGCGAGAGAGACTGACTGCCCGGTCTGCCCGGTCTGCCCGCTCTGCCCCCAGGCGCGCCTGGGTGCTCATCGGCCTGGTGTGGTCCGTGTCGGCGGCGGGCTCCGCGACGCTGCTGCTGGGCAACCGCTGGCAGCCCCCGGAGACGCCGTGCGTGGACGCGTCCCTGCTGCAGAAGGGCATCCTGCTGCTGGTCATCGTGCCCGTCAACATGACGGACCTCGCCATCATCGCCGTCACCCACATCTACATCCGCAGAGAGGTGCGCGGTCCAACGGGGTGCGGTGGGGGGTCCAATTAGTTCCGCAGCTGCTCGAGTATCCCATTACCTCCCCTGACGATCAAAGGGGCTAGCCCTCGTACCCCCACCCCCTTTCTCTCCAACTAAGCCCACAAGGTTGGCGTGTAACTCGTGCGCTCGACAGGTGGGCCGCAGCGTGGCCATGCTGCCCCTGATGCCGGACGCCGGCCGCCCAGCCCGGCTGTCGGGGGACTCGGCCACGTCGTCCACGTCCACGTCCACCCGGGGCGCCTCGAGCCCGCCGCCGGACCGCCGCCTCAGCGCGGGCACCATCAAGTCTGCGCAGGTGCTGCTGCTGGTGGTGGGCTGCTACGTGCTCGCCTTCACGCCCGTGCTCGTCGTCATGCTGCTGCGGCTGGTGGGTGCACCCCTGGCCCGCCCTTGGCCTCCCAACAGTGCCTTTGTCGACCCGTCCCTCAAACGGGCCGTCCCGCGTGGTGCTGGAAAGTGCCAGCTGGTAGGAAGTCCTCGGCTGACCCAAGGGCTGTCCCTGTCCGCAGGCAGGGGTCGGCGGCGAGCACGAGATGGAGTGGGCCTTCCGTTTCGGGTACACCGTGGCGGGGCTGCACAACGTCGTGAACCCCTTCATCTACGCCTGGAAGAACAAGCCACTCAAGGCGGACGTGGTGCGTCTGTGGAGCGCGCTGCGGGGCCGGGGGTCGCTGTCGCGGGCAGCGGCGTGGTGATCGGGTGCAGGGGAGGGGAGGGGGCTGTAGGCCGACAGTCCAACGGTGCCGCCGCCCACGCTCCTCGCTCTGTCTGTCTAGGAGCGTGGGTGGCAGAGTTCCTGGCGCCTGGCGGCAGTGCGCAGATCTGCGTTCAGGGTGGGGAGCCGAGCGCCTGGCAGGCAGGCTGGCCCGCGGCGCTCGTGAGGCTCGCTTGGCTGCCTACCCTGCACTTCGCAGGCGCTTCGGGCCGCGCGCGCCGAACGCACAGAACCCGGCGTTCTCTATTTGCTTAGGTTTGGCGCGCAAACATAACCAAGTCTACGTGTTATTTTGCCGGCCGTTGGACATAGGGACGTCAATCATTGGAAATCCACGCGAAATTAGTTATTATGCCCGATAGCCAGTGAAGAATTTTAATTCATGAGACTAAGAAAATACGCACAAAATTGCAAGTTAGATGATTGCTTGAAGCCGTAGTTGAAGTTTCTTTTCCTCTTCTTTTTGAAATGTATGTGAACGAATGAATGGAGTGTGGTAAAGGTGAAGTAAGAGTTCACACGCGCTTAACATGTCAGACGAGTTTAATAAAGATAATGACTAGAACAATGTCTTAATGCAAGCAATAAAGCTACACTGCTACATTTTTTTATCAGATGGTTTTCACACCCTCCATCACACTAAAACTAAACATCACATCTGCATGTGGGTTGGAAAGGTAGACTGCACAACCAGTCATGAACCACACACAACGTGATAGCGCTTTAAGAGAGACGCGTCGCAGAGCTGGTGACGAAGGAAATGGTCACACAAAGTCAAATCCCACGGACAGTGCCAGAGTTCCTCTTGTCCCGGAGCGGCGGCCAGGAGCCAGACCAGCGGTGACGCACAAGGACGCCCGGTCGGCCGGGGGCACCTGCACTCGGCACTCGGCAGAGCGGGCGGGCCGGGCGGGCGGGGCGGCGGGCGAGAGCGGGCGGGCGGGGCGGCGGCGGGCGAGACGGGGCGGGCGGGCGAGACGGCGGGCGGGGCGGCGGGCGAGACGGCGGGCGGGGCGGCGGGCGAGACGGCGGGCGGGGCAGGCCGAAGAGCGAGGAAATGTAGCGCCGTCTGCCGCCAGCGCCGTCAGCGCCACCAGTAGCTCATTGGGTTGTTTTTCACCTCGGACTTCCCAGCGAGAATAGACCAGCTTGACTACAGCATCAAACGGGGTGACATTTTCTTACAAAACAATGAGGAAGTTTTGAAAGGGAAAAGGAAAAAGTCCGTCCTCGACCTAGAGATCGTCCAGAGGGCCCACGTCAGTGGCACCCTCGGCCCGAATAGTCAGCACCAGTTTGGCCACGGCCTCGGGCGACATGTCGCAGTCCGCGCCGTACGCTGCGGGCCGCGAGTACGTCGTGAACGTCGTCGACGTGCACGAGCGCGACCCGCACCGTCGTCAGCTGGCCGCGGGGGGCGTGGCGGGGGGCAGGGCGGGGGGCAGGGCGTGGGGCAGGGCGTGGGGCAGGGCGTGGGGCGTGGCGGCGCGCGTCGACTCGGCCGACGTGAGGGGCGACTCGGTGCGACGGAAGGGCAGCCGGCCGACGAGGTGCTTGATGGCGCAGCGCACGGTCACGTTCTGCCACGAGTAGATGAACGGGTTGAGGAGGGAGTTGACGTTGGCCAGGGTGAAGGACATGGTGAAGGCCAGGTCCAGCGCGTCGCCGCGGTAGCCCGCCAGGCGCAGCGTCAGGAGCACGCACATGGGCGTGTACGTGGCCGAGAAGCAGCCCACCACCATGAGCAGCACGCGCGCCGACTTGCGCGCGTCCTCGCCCGCGCTGCCGCAGACCACGAGGCCGGCGCGGACGCCCAGGCCGCGGCCCAGGCCCAGCACGGACTCCATGGACTTGCGGCGCACGCGGCTCACCAGCACCTCGCGACGGATGCGGAGGTGCACGGCGGCCACGAGCAGCAGCACGAGGAAGGAGTGCGGCACGCCGATGGAGCACACGAACAGCGCGGGCACGACGCGGTCCGAGCAGAAGCCGCCCTCCAGCTCGTAGTTGTTCCAGAGCAGCAGCGAGGAGGCCGCGGCCGCGGAGAAGAGCCACGGGATGCACAGGATGACCGTGGCGCGCCTGCAGCAGGACAAGCAGGTCAATGAGGCGTTCGGCGGGCTCTCCACCAACACCCACTCACAGGGCGTCAGCGAATCCACCCACCTCTTGCACATGAAGGTGCGGTAGCGCATGCTGTGCACGATGGCCACGTAGCGGTCCACGGAGATGGCGCCCAGCGCGCTCACGGACGTCATGGCGCTGAAGATGGGCACGGCGAAGCGCATCACGCAGAGGGCCTCCACGGTGTCCATGCGGCGCGCCACGCCGCACACGTAGTAGGGCGTCAGGCAGAACAGGGCGCACAGGCCCACCAGCAGGTCCGCCATCGCCAGGTTCACCACGAACCTGCCGACATCATTCCAGCTTCACTCTCCGCCCGGGCACGGCTGAAACGCGACCGACACTGATGACACTGATGACAGCGCGGTGCCAAACACGCAGGCCTACATTGTAAAACAGTGCGCACCCTTTCTCCGTTGCCATCGCTTCCGAGCAGCGGCCGCGACGCGTCGTCAACGTCAAACTCTCTCGTGTACGCAACCGGAAATTGGAAATTGGAGATACTCAGAAATACAGTTCGATAAAGCCTGGGCCGCAAACAGCCCCCTCCCCCTTTCCCCCTCCCACCCTTCCTCGAATCTCTTTAGTATTCACTCCTGTTGCTCGGTCAGACCGCCATGCACATGGAGGATGTTTGAGCTGGGGACCCGAAAGAGAGTGATCGTGACCGAATAATGTTTATTTTCTGTCCTTGTCATTCGCGGGGAAGCCCCGCCGGGCCGCACGTCGCTCGCATCGCTCGCGTCGCGCGACCTTGGCGGAAAGGAGGAGAAAAGAATACGCCACTCGCCCATCATTTCCTGCTTCATCTTTCTCCCGAAGGGAAGATGGGATATGTCAACGTGGGCCTCAAAATAAAGTAATAACTCTTTATTGCTCTGAGGAACCTGAGGAAATGGCTGCCTCTGACGACCCCGACCCGCGCTGCCCGCCCCTAGTGTCTCTCCGGCTGTCTTTTTGTTCTCGGCCCCTGGGGAATCAAAGAACGACCCGATGACTCAAAGTAATGAAAGTACTACTGGCCAACCGAGGGACAACGAAAAGCGCCTCCGTCTCTCTCGCACTCATGGGGCGGCCCGCAGGAGTGCGAGAGAGACAGAACGACGACACACTCAACACACTGTAATGACGGCCCCGCGCGGCCGTCCGACTGACTCTGTCTCTCTCAGTCCCACGTGACCGCGGCGCACGTGCCGTCGTGGTGGCCGGCCTGCCCGGCCTGCGCGGCCTGCCACCGGCGTGCACAGGGCGACAGAGGGCGGCGAGGCTGGGCTGGAGGACAAGGACTGCACCGACCTGTTGGACACGTGCGAGACGCGTAGGGTGGCGTTGCGAGTGCGCCCGCCGAAGCACAGCACGGCCGTGATGATGAAGCCGTTGCCCAGGATGACGCTGGAGGCCACGGCCAGGTCCACCAGCAGGCGGACGATGAGGGAGGTGCGGCCGTCCACGGGCACCACGCTGGGGTCGTCCAGGCAGTTGCTGTTCATGGCGGCGGCGGGGATGCAACCACACTCGACTGTCAGCAAGTCAGCCGCCGGGGCTTCCGTCGCCGGCACCGGGAGTTGGCAGTGTCTCGGCGGGGCGCGGCGGCCCTGGGGCCATGGTGCTCTCGCTGGAGGCGATGGAAGTCCCCGACGCGGAGGCCGGTGCGACTCGCGCGCCGTTCCGCGGGCCGAGCCTCTCCCGACTCGCGGAAGCACGCAGCGCAGCGCGCCACCGCCACCAGCCGGCAGCCGCGGACTGAGAGCTCGCCGCCCGCCGCACCGTGCGCCGCTATAAAGCCGCTACCGCCGGCACTCTGTCCGCGACCCGCCGCGACTAGCCGCGACGCACCGCGGCACCTGGAACTAGCCGCTCCTGGAGTCGCGCTTCCAGCGCCCCTGCCACTCGGCCTGAACAGTTCGAACCACACCGCGAGGCACGCACGGCGCGGTCGCGGCAGGGGGGGACTGGCGGACTGGGCCCCAGCTAGCCCGGCGATGGCGATACCCAGCGCTGAGGGGCTCACGCGCGGGGTAGCGACGCCCGTTTGACCAAAGGCGCCCCGACGTGCTTTCCAGCGGAAGGTGCAAAATGGTCTGGGCACAAAAATGCAATTACATTATCCCTGCGCGGTGTGATGTTTTAAGCCACACGCGCGGCGCGCGGCGACCTTGCTAAGCGAGGGATTTTCTTGCGCGCAACAGGGCTCTCCGGAGGCTGTTGGGTGGCCTAGGCTCGGGCCTAGGGCGCGGCGCGGCGGCCTTGCCCCTGGGGGGTAGACCACCCATCAGACTCGGGCTGGAGGGTGTGGGGGAAGGGGACGCCGCCTTACTCGTTCCTGCTTTCTCCAGTGAAGCGAGCCGCGCTGGAGCCGCACTGGAGTGTCCGGGGGAGGGAGAGGGACAGAAGCAGGGACTCGCTGGTCCTCGAGAAAGTGGTTGTTGGTTGCCGCAGAGCGTCGGCCGTCTGCATCACGTCCGCGCAGAGTCTCCTCCAGTCGGCGGCCCAGAAGGACCGCAAGGACCCCGGCCACTTCCAGGAGGACCCCGGAGAACCGAAGGTACCCGTCGACGAGCAGCGCCACCGCGACCCGCGCGTCCGCCAGCAAGTACGTACGAAGTACGAAAGTGCCGAGACTGAAGGACTAAGCGCACTTGCGTGTATGAATGGGTGTGCGCGTTTGAGTCTGTCTGATTGAGTTTACATTTGCGAGTCTGCAGGTGCCTGGCTGTCCTTGTGAGTGTGCGAGTGGTACAGAGTGTGGGTGCTGTTGCCGGCTGCTTGCTGCCGCCCTCAAGAAGAGCACCGTGCAGCAGCTAGACCATTGCTGCGCGTTATGCAACCGGTTATGTTGCCTCGCCACGCCGCGCGCCGCGCCTCGCGTCTCGCGTCCGTTGCGTCGGCCAGCAGGGCGGCAGGCCAGCAGCCTCAGTAAGTTCCTCGGAGTGATTTTCAGTAAAGTCTGAACCTTGCCTCGCAGTCCCCGCCAAGCTGATCGTCGAGCTGGTCGTCGAGCTGGTCGCCGCGCCCAGGGTGCCGACAGTGCCGACATCGCCATGGGGCTGACGTACGAGCCGCTGGACTCGGCCGTGTCGGAGCGGCTGGACTCGCTGTTCGGCTCCAAGGACTGCCTGATCGAGGTGAACCCCGGGCACGTCATCATGCCGCCCCGGTACCAGGACATCGGGGACCGCATCCGCGGGCTGAAGGTGCGCACGGACGACGTGTGGGTCGTGTCGTACCCCAGGACGGGGAGCACGTGGACGCAGGAGATGGTGTGGTGCATCGGCAACGACCTGGACTTCGAGCGCGCCAAGACGCTCATCCAGCAGTTCCGCACGCCGCGAATCGAGTAAGCACACTGCCTTCTCTCTCGCATGCACACAGGATGACGCCGAGTGCGGCCCAAAGTAACTGAACTAATGGTTTGAGGACTGCAGGTTGACCGCGCTGCTGGACGCCAACCAGGACGTGTTCGCCAAGGAGCTGGGCGACACCGTGGAGATGGTGGAGAACATGGCCTCGCCGCGCTACATCAAGAGCCACCTGCCGTGGGACCTCCTCCCGGAGCAAATGTCGATCGTCAAACCACGCGTACGTGGGGGCGTGGGCGCTGGGGGTTTGTTTACACAAATTTGGATTCCGTTTCATGTACTCTCTGTGCAGGTGGTGTACGTGGCCCGGAACCCCAAGGACATGTGCGTCTCCTACTACCACCACTGCCGCCACGTGTACAACATGAAGGGCACGTTCGAGGAGTTCGCGGAGCTCTTCCTGCAGGACAAAGGTGAGGGGGATGGGGGCGGTTGAAGGGCGGTGTGCGTGCGTTCAGCGCGGTCTTGAGTTACCCCGGGAAGCGTTCTCAAGTGTTCGCGGAAGGCGGCTGTCTGCTAACTTTTTAACTTCATTTAAGTTTTCGAGTGCTAATAAAAGGACGGGTCTGCCCTGAGTTTAACAGCAAATCTCTCCTTGCAGCACCTGTCGGGCCAATGTGGAGTCACATCCTCGGCTTCTGGGAAAAGCGGCACGAGCCAAACATCTTATTTTTGAAATACGAAGACATGAAAAAGGTAGACGCTAAGCGCCAACACCCTATCGTTGCAACGCGGGTTCGGTTCTCACTAACTCCCTTTTCTTATTCAGGACCTGCCGGCAGCAATTAGGAGAACGGCCCAGTTCCTCGAGAAGCAGCTGTCCGAGGACGACGTCATGAAGTTAGCAGACTATCTCAGTTTCAGCAACATGAAGAGCAACCCTGCCGTCAACTTGGAGGTGAGCGCCATGCGCCACGCCACACAGTGGGCCGGAAGACCGGCGCAGGTGGCCAAAACTCTAGACCCGTTTTGAGCTCCTGAGACGCTAAACAGGACTCGAACCGAACGTGTGACCCCACCAATGGATTCCTCGCTCGGAGAGCAATTCATTGGTGAGGTCACACGATCGGTTCGAGTTCGAGTGTGGTGACACCAACCCCTCCCGGTTGCAGCTGGTGATGGCGAAGCGCCGCGGCCCGGACTGCCCCATCCCCGCCGACGAGGCGCCCTTCATCCGCAAGGGCGAGGTCGGCGACTGGAAGAACTACATGAGCGAGGAGCTGGTGGCCAAGTTCGACGCGTGGACCGAGACCAACCTCGCCGGCACCGGCCTGTTCTTCCAGTGAGGGCACGCCACCGTTCCGCTGGTCCTACATGTGTTCGTCGCCGCGGAGCCACCGGGCGAGGTTCTCCGCCCACGAGCTCCTCGGGTGCCTGCGTGTCATTTTTAACTTAACTTCTGTACGATTAAGTCTGTTTTTCAATTGTTGTTTGCTGTTAATTAACTACATGCGTGTATGTTTCTTTGTTGTTATAAAAGAGAATTGTTAAGACACGTCGTTCTCAATTCCCCTCTGACTTCCCGGTAAAAAGTGAAAAAGAGTCAACACATTTTATTTGTGACACCAACAAAACCATCCAGCAAGATACCCGGCTCGAGTTGGGGCGGTCTCGCCACGAGGCATGTTTAAAAATGCCAGAAAAGTCCGCCACTCTTGCGAGATGAGAAGTTCGGCCAAGCTAGCCTCGCGTGGAGTGCCTCCCCACGTTTTGCGCTTGCGCCTAACTTTACCTAGTATGAGGAATTGCACGTCCAGCTAATTTTGTAAATAACGTTCAGGCCTCAGCCGGCGCTTTAGTTTATTTTCACGAGTAGCTCGTCCTCGAGTGCTAACTGCCAGCTGTACTTCGCTGAGTTGGTAACAGAGACGTTTCTTCGCTGAAGAAGACCTCAAAAACCGAACCACGACAGCTCGTGCAGTCGAATAACAATGAAGACTAACCTCACTCTTTGGCTCTGCTGTACTTTACTTGCAGTGGTTCTGAGCAGTGTTAATGGTGACAGCGCGTCAAAAAAGAGGCTTCAAATAGGAGTTAGGAAGAAGATTGCAAACTGTTCTTACCGTGCCAAGAATGGTGATGGACTGAGTGTTCATTACGCAGTAAGTAACAAATTTCAACCCACAGTTGAGCGTTTCGTCTCCACAATGACAAATGAGTGAAATAATTTATTATTACTTATCACAATGTTTTCTTTCATTTACCAGGGACGGTTGGAGGATGGAACTGAGTTTGATAGCAGTTACGAAAGGGGCCAACCCCTCAGCCTTACTCTGGGAGCAGGTCAAGTCATTAAGGGATGGGAGCAAGGATTGTTAGGGTGAGGAAGGAAACCTCATTGATTAGTTCAGTTGCATCTTAATGCAGATGGATTTTTTAAATGTCATTTTCTGCATGTATTCTTTTTATTTCAGAATGTGCGTTGGAGAGAAGCGGAAGCTGGTAATTCCCTCTCATCTTGGATACGGTAGCAATGGCGCTCCACCCAAGATTCCAGGAGATGCCACTTTAATTTTTGAGGTAGAACTTGTTGGTATTGATGGACGGCATGGTGATGATCTCTAAGAATTTAGGACCAAACTCTTGCTCATTTACTAGTAAGTCTGTATATGAGTGTGTGTGTTTGTATGATATTCTGCATTCCATTAGCATTTTTTTAGAGCGAAACATTATATGTTTATCTTTGCATTGCAAGGAAAAATTAGTCATTTTGTACTCTTTTAATTTTCTGTGAAAATTTCCACTTGTGTGGATTTGATAGTAAACCATATTGGTAAGCCATTGATACCAAAATAAATATTTTTACCCATCTTGACCATTGTCTGGCACTTTTTGTAAGCCCTGATCCCTTGAAAAGCAAACAGAAAAGAGAGAAGACTTTATCTGAGAGAGGAACGGGTTGGAAACCCTCCAAAGTCTATCAGTGAGTCTATCAGTCAACACTTCTTGATTTTTTCCAAACTTCGTTGGCCCTAGAGGTCGTGATGGCGGCCAGGGCCCGGCCAGGGCCGCGGCCACACCCGAGTGCGTGTGACTGTGACACACACACGGCACGTCGGAGAGGTTTGCATCGCGGTGCTGCACTATCTGCCTTATCGCGCGGGCCGATAGTGCCTCCGCCTCTGGGCCGCGGGCCGCACGCCGCGCGCTGCGAAAAGGAATCAGTCCGGGCGCGCCGACGAGACACCCACCTGGCCGTCACGCACGAGCGGCACGCGCCGCGCCGAGGTGGCGCCGTTGGAGCTCGAGACCGTCGTCCGCGTCGAGTAGGGTGCGGCAGGACCAGGCAGGGCGCAGCGACCCGCACCACTGGAATGATGTGATAGCCGCCATGACGTCACTCTCCGGGACTGGGAGCGCCGCCGGGGTGCTCCTGTTGCTGCTCGTCCCGGCCGTCCTGCCCTACAGTCACGGTTAGCCGCGTGCCACTGGGCCAGCGGCCCACAGTGGGAATTCCATTTCCTGCGTTCGTTCCGAACAGTGCCGCCGTCGCGCTGTCTCTGTCGCACTCGCAGGGAGTTCCGATGGGGTGCGAGAGGGACGGCGACGAAGCCCTGTTCACAAGCCCGCTGCGGGGGTGGGTGTGTGGTGGTCACGATGTCCTCGATGCACTGCAGATGGCCGCGGCGCGGGAGCGGCGTCCGCGTCCGCCAGGAGTTGGGTGCTGGGGAACGGGCCGGGGGTGACCGGCCTCCCCGAGCACCTCGTGCCGTGCTACAGCGACCCCAGCCTGTGGCGGCGGGAGTCCAGGGTGCCGATGACCATGGCCAACCTGGTGGACCTGGTGCAGCGCGTGGAGCGGGACCCCGGCTTCGTCGTGGACCTGCGCGTCATGCTCACCACCCTCCTGCACAGGTAGTGCCGGCAGCACGGCCGGGGAGTGGCCCTGCTTCCTGTTTTCCGAGTGTGTCGGCGCCGTTGGGTTCGAACCTCTGGTGCCGCAGGTTCCGCGTGGACGGCGTGGAGCGCAACCCGCTGGTCATGGCGCGGCCCGGGGTCACGCCGTTCCGCCTCACGGGCATGCAGCACGCGCGCCACAACGTGCTGACGGGCAGGCTGCTCTCCGGCAACGCCGACCTGTTCCCCAACAAGACCCTCTCGATGCAACAGCAGGTAGGTAGGCAGCCCAGCTCGCGAGTTGCCTTCCGAGTCTTCTTCTGCTCTCCTACAACCAGTGGCCTGGCCCTCTGCCCACAGTGCGCGCTCCACTGGATGCTGTCCTCGGCCGTGGACCCCTGGGAGCGCGGCGACGAGTACTGGATCTGCCCCCGCATGCCCACGCCGCGGTCCAACGCCTTCCCCGGCAGCTTCTACGGGCCGGCGAACAGGCTGTACCCCGACCCGGTGCGCGACGTGGGGTGAGTGGCGCCGTGGACCAGCACTCTCAACGAAAGCGGCGGTCGTCGGGAACCTGGCCTCCTTGTTGCAGGCCGTGGAAGGGCGTCAACGTGTCGCCGCCGCCACTGCCCCCCATGGCCTCCAACAGCTGGAGCGCCTGCCCCGTGGAGGAGGGCGTGGTGGAGGCGGGCCGCGGGGGCGGCGGCGGCGGCGTGGCGGCGGGCGCCGTGCTGGCCGGCCTGGCCGCGGGGATGCAGCCCCAGGAGGTGCCGCTGGCCTCCCTGCTCAGCAGCAGGCACCTGGAGCGCCTACGCGCGGACGGCGGCAGCGGCTCGGCCACGGTGGACAACCTGTGGGCCGCCACCCTTGCCGGTAGGGCCAAATGGACACTTCCATTGTGACGCGTCTCGTAGTAAAAGCCGCCTCACAGGGTGTTTGAACCTTCGACCTTCGGCTTGGCAGGCGACCTGGCCGAGGTGTCAGCGTACCAGGGCCCGTCGGCGCGCGGCGCGCTGGCGCTGGGCCCCGGCGGCACGTGGAACGACACCCTCATCCCGCGCGTGCGGTACTTGTCGCGGGAGCGGCCCGGCTCGCCCGAGCTGGCGCCCGTGCAGCACTGGGACATGACGGACGCGGAGATCCGCGGCGGCTTCGACGGTTCGTCTCTCTGTCTCTCTCGCACTCACGGGGCGTGCCGCAGGGGCGCGAGAGAGACAGGGCGATGGACCACTGCAAGGTTGCTGCTGCAGGACTGGCGCTGGGCTACCGCATCGCGCGCTGGACGGCGCGCACGGGGCGCCTGCGGCTGTCGCAGCTTCTAGACATGTACTACTCGCCGCGCGGCGTGGCGCTGGACGCGGAGGTCAAGGCGTGCCAGCGGGGCAGCTCGGCGGCGGCCGCCTTCGCGGAAGACACCCTGTTCGCGCAGGTCTGTCTGTCTGTCTGTCTGTCTGTCTGTCTGTCGGCGTGGTCCGAGTGTTCCCGTCAGCACCAAAAGGCCATAGGCGGCCCCGCGGTGGACACTGACACCGCGCCGCTCTTCCTCTATTTTTGCAGACGTCGCGGTTCGCGCGCACGCTGACGGACACCTCGCCGGACGCGCCCTACATGACGGAGGCCGCGCTCAGGAACTTCACCGCCGCCTCGGTGAGGGCCTTCCTGAGGTATGCAGGTGCGTATCGTCCCGGCGTGTCCCGGCGGGGAAAGACAACGTGAATTTGGGTGAGTCAGCCGCCACGCCCGTCCGTCGGCCGTCCCGTCGGCCGTCCCGTCCTGCCCGATGCTGTTATTGGCGCGGTAAAGATAAGCGGCGTGACGACAACGACAGGTCCTCGCGATCGGACGGGCGCGGCGCGGCGCGGCGTGCATTTCCGGATGGCCGCGTCGACTGCAGGCTGATTTGAACAGTGCTTTCGTCGCTCTGTCTCACTCGCACCCCTCCGCGACGCCTCGCGAATGCGAGAGAAACAGAGCGAGGAAGCATAGCCCTGCTGTCAAACTTGTCCTTATCTGACCCGGTTCCTTGCTCCTTCCAGGCGACCTGCTCCAGGGTGACGCTTGCGACTCGCCGCCGCTCATGTCCGTGCGCGTCAACGCCATCGTGGTCCTGGACACGACCTGGGCGAGGGCGGCGGCCTACAGGTTCATCACGTGAGTGCCCCTCTGGTGGCAAGAACAGTCGAGCCATTTCGCTGCCCGCACTCGCGCCATAGGGGTGCGAGAGAGACAGCGCGAGGAGTGCAGGCGGCGGAATCGTTCGACAGTGTCTTCAGCGAGGGTCTCGTTCCAGGCTGCTCGCCGGCGCCGAGGGCATCGACGTGGGGCTGTTCGGGTCCCGCCTAGCCATCATGAACGGCGGCTTGGGCGGCCCTGTAGGTGGACACTGGATCGTCAACTTCACCGACAGCCCCGTGCAGATTGCCACTGACTGGGTCGCGGTGGACGCCGCCGATGACATCTGTAAGGAAAAGGAAAGGGTGTGGCGCTGCAGACTGATTCCGATTCCGCACTGTCTGTCTCGCTCTCGTGAGCATCCTGCAGAGTGCGAGGGGGGCAAACGATAAAGCACCGTCCGGAACGTTCTGAATCAGCCTGCAGGCAGCGGTACGTTGGGTTGCCTACCCGGCCCCCTGAGGCACCGATAGGCAACCCATCGTACGGCCGTGCGTCGCGGGACGGCGTTTCGACCCGCCAGGCGTTCCTGATCCACGTGTTGCAATGCCAGGGCCGACGTACCTGGACCTGCCGTGGACGCTGATGGCCGTCATCGAGCACCTGCAGTCCAAGGCGGAGGCCGAGTCGGTGCAGGGCAGCGTGGGCAGCGCGCACGGCGACGTGGTCGTCATCCTGGCCACGGCCTCCACGGTCAGCGACGCGGACATGCGCCACGCCAAGGAGCTCGTGCCCCGCGTCAAGGAGATCAACCCCGGTACGCGGAGGGCCGCGGAGGGAGAGGCAGAAAGTCCGAAGAAACGGCCCCTCGGACGCTCGACTGGTGATCAATAATATAGGGCGTCTGCTCTGCCTTGCCACAGACGTCCGGCTGCTGTACGTGGTCACCGAGCTGGGCGAGGCGCGCTTCCAGGAGCTGGCCACGATGAGCGCCGAGTGGGACGACGTGGTGGTGGTGGTGGACGACACGGAGGCGGACACGGTGGCGCACGCCGTCGCCAGCTACCTGCGCCACAGTCAGTCTCGTATTGTGACAACACACTATTAGTTAGTCGTGTGTGACAACACCCACTTCGGCATTGTAGCAGGTGTCAGGTGGGATCCAAACAGTGCTGTCGCCTTGTGAGTGTATCTCTCTCTCTTTCTCATGGCGCGTCTCGTAGGGATTCGAGAGAGACGAGACGACTGCACTGTCCCGAATCGCGGGGCCGAGTTGTTTGACGCTTGTTTCCTTGTTTCTCGCAGCGCCGGGCCGCCTCATGCCCGCCGAGTGCGTGCTGACGCAGGGCGGCTCGCCGAGCTCCACGCCGTCGCCGTCAAGGTCGACGTCGAGGCCTTACGCCGCCGCGGCCAGGGGCAACCACGCCAGGGCCAAGGGGTGGCCGGTGCAGCCGGGGCTCCACGTGTGGGCCGCGCCGGGGGTGCGGGGTCGCGGGGGGTGGAGCCGGGCTGGCGGCGGGGGCGCGCGGATGGGGTCTCGGGCCGAGTTCGAGGACTACGTGGCGCCGGGGCAGCTGCGTCTGTACCGCATCCACACCGAGTACACGCGCCCCGGCATGCCGGTCAGCGTCGAGGTGAGAGGGGTTCTTCGCCGTCCACGACGGCCGATACCAGGAACCGAATTGTAACACCGCTCACACAAAGAGTTTCGCTCCACCCGCATTGTTCTCGCAGATGGTCGGCGAGGATTACGGCGAACTGCGGCTGTGCATGTGGAGGGGCGCCGCTCCCGGCGGGGCCATGGCCGCCATGCGGGCTGCGCTGCGCGCCGAGGACGCCGGCGGCGTGGACCCGGGCCGCGGTGACCGCGACGACACGCCGCAGGCCGAGTGCGCCAACCTGTCGGGCTTCGGGGAGACGAACGTGACCATCGCGGACCCCTGCCAGGACCGGTGCGCGCCGCTGTACGTCAGCGTGTCCGCCAGCAAGTCCACGTTCAAGTGCACCGGTAAGACGGCAGGCCAGACAATGTGGCGCAGCGGCTGGACTTGGAAACGCGCAAGCCGCCGATGCTGCAAAACGGGCGCTAAGGCAAACATAGGCAAACAACAGTTTGCTCGACGCGAAGCTTTAGCATGCATTTAGCAGCTGTCCTAGTCAAAACACAGCTGGAGTTTCCGGTGGCTGCCTAGACAGCCCGGTGCCTGCATATCCAACCCCCCGTGGTTACAGTGTAATTTTGCCTAACTGCAGGCCAGCCGGTCAGCTGGTCCGCCGTTAGCCGGCCAGCGACAACGCGCGCGCCAAGCCAATCGCAAATCTTTTACGACTGGCCATTTATCGGTCCTTTGACCGTTGCCTTTTGTCCGTTTGCAGAGGAGGACTGCCGCTACCCGGACGAGGTGCGCTACCTGCTGCGCCCCCGCGGTGTGTCCTGCGCCGGCAGCCTGCCCGTCCAGTCCGGCAGCACGACGTGCACGACGTCGCCGGCCTCGTTGTCGCTGTGGGTCGCCGCCCTCGCCGCCCAGCTGGTGCTGCTGCTGGCGGCCCACTAGAAGGACGACAACTGTGACGACAACCACCGAAAAGGAACAGAGAGGGGAGAGAAAGCGGGGCGAAGCGGCACCCCTTGCTGCACCCATCGCTTGCGCTGCTTGCGCGCTTTCTGACAATCGTGCAATCGTGAATTATGACACGGAGGAGGGAGGGAGATGCCTCGCCACTACTGCCATTAGATACTATTTATTTTAGTTGTAATACTTGCCTCTAGTCTGTACCACGAATAAAATAATCTAAATCTGAGTTTTTAATTTCGGTAAGCGGACAGTGTAACGGCGACCCCCCGCCCCTTTTTTGGCTTGCTTTTCTGACCTCCACGCTGCCCTTGAGACAGCGCTTGAGGGAAGGACCACAAGGAAGAAAACTCTAAAATAAGAACCGCGGCTGCAGGGCTGGGGATGGGGGAAAGGGGGGGGGGCTACAAGGATGGGGGTGGAGTCGTCGCTGTCGCCCCCTTCCACGCACGGGGCCGTAGAATTATGCCAAGTGTGGCAAGTAGACGGATGCCCCCCCCCTCCCTCTAGCGGCCCCCTCTTCACCTCAGACCAATAAACTTTGGTAAGTGCTGCGGAGTGACATTTCTCGGAGCCGGCCGCCCCCTCCCCTCCCCTCTCCACCCCTGTTTCGAACAACACTGCAAACCTGGCGTCAGGCCACGCCATGTGTGTGCACCGTTGCACCGTTGCTGGTCGACGCCGACACAAAAACGCCATCTCTGCATTTTTGCCGTCCAAATAAATAAGGTCAGAAACGCAAGACGACACTGTGAAGAGCAGCAACACGCCTCACTTCGGGCTGACCTTCGAGAAAAGATTGGGCAGACCGAAAACAGAGCAGAAAAATCATGGCTGCCAATAAAATGTCTTTTCCCCTTTTTTCAGGAACGGTTTTACAACACGGCAAAAACCTTTCTGTGGCCGACTCGCTCGCCATCCGGTCGCTCGCCGCTACCGCTGCCACGGCTTCGAAAGAAATGCCTCTAAGACAGGACTTCAAAACCCTAGAATCATGATTTTGAGAAATTAAAAAGAGACAAAAGCAATTCATATTCAGTAAATTTATTTATCAAAACATAAAAAAAATAATTAGACTTAAAAAATATTGCAACTTTGTACGTTCACTTAAAACTAACAGTTTGCTTTGGTCAAGCTCAATATGTATCATGTTCATACTAAAAACAAAAATAAGTCTGATTAGGAATTTTTTCCTGAGAAGAACGAAATAAAAAGCTTCTGCCTCAGGCTGTATGAAAATGCCCTCTTGAACTACCACTAGAAACAAAATGCATACGAAGTGGGAAATCAAAACAAAATGGTCCATCACTATCCTAAGGTACTACGCATGGCAAGCAACAAACAAACAAAAACATGAGCATTCGATGAGCATTCGATAGAGTATTTAGCGTAGTACTGGAATAAATCAGGCAAGGTTCAGTCAGGGGACAGCGGGGCTCATGGCGTCGAGCGCGTCCAGTCTGTGAGCCAAGCTCACCTCCTGGATGAGCGAGGCCATGAACTCGAGCCGCGAGAGCGGCAGCACGCGCATGTGGCGCTCCTGGTGCAGCTGCATGGCGGGCAGGTCGGGCTTCTCGGCGCCGCACTCCCTGCAGCACGCCCACGCCAGTGGCGGCGCCATGGAGGAGCCGGGCAGGCGGTGCCGCAGCCGCAGGTGCTCGCTGACGGAGTCGAAGTCCCGCAGCCAGCAGTAGCACTTGGGGCAGGCCACGGCGCCCTGGCCGCCGTGCGCCTCGAGGGTGTGCTCGTCCAGCTCCAGGGGGGTCATGAGGACGTGGGCCGCGGCGGGGCACAGCAGGCAGGGCGCGGGGCCGCGCCGAGGGCTGGTCCACGACAGGTGGTGGCGGGCGTGCTGCTCGACGCGGTGCTCCAGCAGCGCCATCCGCGAGGGGAACTCCAGGTCGCCGCAGTCCTCGCAGGCGATGCGGGCCGCGGTCCTGTGCACCTGCCCGTCCAGGGAGTCCTCCCGGGGCGGAGACGAGCGTGCGACGTTCGATGTGTGCACAATGACGGACTGGGCGGGAGCACCGGCACTGGGCGTGGAGGGGGCTGTCTTGGTGGCAGAATTCGAGCTCGCGTCCCCAAGCTTGCGGCGCGCACGTCGACGCCGACGCGGTTGCTGCTGCGGCGGTGGTGGCGGCGGCATGGCCGTCGCGGTCGCCATTGCGGTCGCCTTCGCGGTCGCCTTCGTCGTCGTCTTCGTGCTCTTCTTCGCGGTCGCCTTCGCCGTCGTCGTCGCGGTGCTCGCGGCCGCCGGGGTCACTTCCACCCTGCAGCAGTGTACGGTCAGCAGGCTCTCTGTGTCCACCACGGTGTCACACTCCAGGCAGATGGACAGCCTCGCCAGCACTCGCTGATCCGGGGCGGCTGCCTCGGCCTCGGCCATCGGCGGCGGCGGCTTCTCGTCACCCAGGCCGCCCAGGCCCGGCAAGGTGGGCGCAGCAGCCCGTGACGGCTTGGACAAGTCGAGTACCTTTTCGTCGTTGGCGTCGGCCACCGAGAGGCCTCTCATGTCGGCCTCCACGTCCTCGACCTTTACCGACGGCTCGTGCTTCAGGTCCGCTGCCCGCAGCAAGTCGCTGACGTCGGGCTCGCATTTGACGGCCTCGGGCTGCTGGTCGGTGAGGGCGGCGGCCGCGGGGGAGTGTCCCCGTGCAGGCTGTGCAGGTCCGGCGGCCTGCTCGTCGAAGGGCAAACCGACCTTCCTGGCGGCCCAGCGTCTCAGCGCCGTCACGAAGTCCTCGATGTTGGCGTTGGCCGCGGCGTCGTCGGCGTCGTCGGCGTCGCGCGAGCCACCCGGGCCGCCCAGCTGGAGCACGGGCCCTTGGTGCGTGCCGGACATGCCGCTGGAGCCGCTGTCCGGTGACCCGTCCAGATGCGCTCGTTCCAGCATCGGCAGCAGCGCAGCGGAGAGCCCTGCAACAACCGCCGTCTAATTTAGCACACTTGAATCAAACGGTCCTCGATCTTCGCTGGAGTTGTTCCCGGAATCTGAATGGCAGTACTGACTATCTGATACAGCAGAGAGCGCAACCGTCGCAAGGCAAATCGCGTACCGAATCCAGTCAATCCAATCGCCAGGGCCTCACGTCCTCACGTGACTCCGCGTCCGCGCCGCTGGGCACTGACTGCGCTGGCTCGCCTGGGCGCGAGGCGCGGGCGGGTGACGCGAGGCGGCCGCGACTGTACTGGCTGGCGTAGCGTAGACGGGCTATAAACTGTGCCAGCCGCCAGTCCCCTCCCCTCCCCCCTTTCCCTCCCCAAAGGCACGCAAAGCGCGCAACGCTCGTGAACGCTCCAGCGTGTGGTACCAACTCCCAGGAGTGGGGGTAGGAGGTTGGCGCTAGAGGGGTTTCGAACTGAATTCGTTTTCTGCAACATAGTTCGGTTGCAAAAGAAAATTTTCTTTTCAGTTTCAATTCCTTTTCAACCTGATTGAAAGGCTCCTCGACCCACTTGCTGCCTTGCCTCCCTGCCTCCACGACCGTACCACCCCTCCTACCCCTCCCACCGGTTGGCCTAGGTCGGCGTAAGTCACGGCTGGACATACGCACCACTGGCAAGGATTTGTGGCGTTCACACTCCCTTTTTTCGGCACTAGAAAGGTGCCCGGTAGGCAGGCAAAAAGAGAAACACTCCGCTTTGGCGAAAGGAGCAAATCAGCGTTTGACCTCCTCTTTCAAAATTTCTGGGCACCTCACTGTCCTGCGAGGCTCGCATTCAGGGTAACCCCCCCCCCCCCACCTTTCTCCGATTAGCCTAGGGTACATTAGCCTTGCTTCAGTCGCCTGGCTTTATGTTACGCCGGGCCTAGCCGGGTCGCCCTCAAATGGCGTGGAAGAGCAGAGCAGAGCAGAGCGAGTCTTTTGTCATGTGAGAGACTGCGCTACAGTGCGCTGCATGCTCGCACAACAAGGCTCGTCGACGAGCAGCAGCTCATTGTGCATTCAGGGCCAATGTTGGCGGCTGGACGATGCGCGACACTGTGCGGTACTCACCCGGTACGGTGGCCATGTCCGAGGTGGCGTCGCGGACGCCGTCGAAGAGCGAGCCGCGCATCAGCCGCCACTTGCAGACCTCGAACGTGATGGGGCACTGATCGGCGGAGGCGCCCACCGGTACCTCCACCTGGGCCTGCAGGTAGCGCACCATGATGTGGTGCCTCGCATCGTCGCGGCAGAGCGCGCAGACGCACTCTCGCCACCGGCAGGCCGCCCTGTGGAGGACGCTGCCCTGCTTGTTGTAGTAGTAGCGCGACGTCTCGCCGTGCCGCCAGCACCGCCTGCACAGGTGGCCGACGGAGTGCAGGTAGGTGCCGATGGGCGCGCGGAAGTTCTGTGGCGACTCCGTCCAGTCCGTCTCCGTCTCCGCCGCAGTCCCCGGCGGCGCGAAGCTGGTGGCTTTGTCTGCCTTGCTGCAGCGCGTGGGCGTCGGCTTCTTGGCCTTCTTGGCCTTCTTGGTCGGCACAGCGCGCTGTTGGCGCTGCCGATGCAATGCTCGCTGCTTTCGGCCCCAGGTCCCGAACAGCTTGGTGCCAATGACCTTCTTCTTGGTCTTCGGCAGCGTCTTGGCCTTGGCGGGGGCCACGGCCTCGACGGGGGCCACGGCCTCCACGGCGTCGTGGTCAGACTTTGCCCACCTGGACTTGTATGAGAGCCTGTGGCGAGCGACCATGACGGTATTCTTGATGTTGTGCTTGGTGCACGGCGCGCAGGTGCACGCGGCGTGGGGGCAGGTGTGGCCCCGCCTCTCCACGCGGGCGCCGTGCAGCCGGCAGCGCACGCAGTACCGCCTGACCTTGGAGCCCTTGGCGCCCTTGGTGCCCTTGGCCTTGGCCAGGAGGGCGTACGCGGCGGTGTCCTGCAGGTACGTCCCCTCCGCGAAGCGACGCTGGACCTCGCCGCTACTCTTGGCGGCCCTGTGCGCCGTCGTGTAGAATTCCTGGAGAACAATAAGAGTGCATCAGCTGCAATGAGACGACCAGTGCGGCAATGAGATGGTGCCTTCGTCAACAAAGGGACAAGGGGGGGGGGGGGCGCCTGCCACGGATCCAGGGGGAAAATACTAAATGGACGTAGGGCTCTGCAAGTGCACGAACGGGGAAGAACTCAGAGCTCTTCCCAGATTGGTCGAAGGCAACGCACCATCCGGCCGGGCCGGGGGAAGGAGGGGAAGGGGGGTTCGATGACGGCGATGCACGAAAGGCGGACCGGACCCTCCCCCCTCTTTCATTCATCTTTATCTCATCATGCAGGTCCCTTAGAACCGCCCTCGGACCGGCGACGCCACTGCTACAGTCCGTGAGAAAAACCCAACGAAAACTTCGGCCTAGGAAGGAAGCCCCCGCTCCGGAAAGTCCAAAATGTAGAAACCGGGTTTCAACCCTCGGCACGATCATGCACTTGTTTCGTAAGCTGCAACCGGGGCCCGTGGTGGGAGAGCACTCAAAGCGCAGTGCTTTCGTGCTTACGTACGGACTTTGAAAACTGTGGAGGAGCGAGAAGCGAACCCTTCTCTTGAGACAGTGCGACGGGGCCCACGGGGCCTGGTCGATGTTTTATGGTTTTACTACCACTTTCTTTCCGACGCTGCTCCGGCGCCGCAACCTTCACAGGACTCAAGGCCGCGTTGCGAGGGTGAGCTGCATTCCGCCTTACCTGCGACCAGTCCATGTTGTCGCTCGCGCCGCTCGTCGTCGCCGACTCCGTCACGTCGGAGGACGAGGCCGTCATGGTGGCGGTCGTGGTGCTCGTGGTGCTGGCTGCTCGCCCGCCGCGGAGACACTGAGCGCGGGAGCGGGGCGCGGGGCGCGCGAGAGACTTGCGGAGGCGCGGCTGCGATGCGATGCTCGACTCGGCGACAACGCAGCACACGCTGCAGCGGGATGGCTATTGACCTGGGCGCGGGCGCCAGTCTAGTTGACTCGTTGACTCGAGGCTGTCGAGGCGCATGGCGAGCACGGCGTGCATGGCGCGTCGCCGTCGAGGCCTGGTGGAGGCGCCCGGCGGCGGTTTTCCCTGAGTTCCGTTCGCCTCGTGCGTTCCACAGAGTGCATGCCCCCTACACTGGGGTACCGCGGAGTGGCGGAGCGCGAAGGACCGCGGACCGCGAGCGACTGACCAGTGGACTAGCCGTTCGCACGCCCACGGCCGGAACAACGCACAGCGCGGCCAGCGAGGCGCGGCACCATGCGCGGCAGGCTGCCAGCCTGCTTTGCATAGACCAGCCGAAACCGCCGAGACCAGCGAGTCAGCGGAACCGCGGCTCGTCGACTGTCGAGGACGAAGACAGAGGACGGACTGACCAGCTGGCTCCTGGCTCTCTCTTCTCTGGCTCTGGCTGCCACTGCCACGGCTGCGGACCCCGCAGCCCCCTCTTCTCCTTTTTCGGGTTACCGCCCCCCCCCCTCTCTTTCGTCCTCCGTCCGGTCCTGCTCGCATCAAACCGGCTGCACGACTCCAGCCTTCCAGACTCGGGCACGCACAGCACTCAAGACATGCCGCAAGAGCGGGTACTGTACACAGGACCCATACTTCATACTCTAGGTCGGCCGTTTGGCATCCCCTATGGAAGGAAGGTCCCCCCCTAGTCGAGCCGAGCGCGAAGTCGTGTAAGCGGAACCACCAATCTGCATATAAACAAGTACGGAGTACATACCCCAAAATACGGAAGTAGCGCTGATACCGTTTTTATTCCGAGGCGTCACAAAGAGACTGTGGGGAACCTAAAATTGCCCTCGAGCGCATCCGCGCAGCGTTTCGAAAAGGTGCGGGAGAGTTAGCGGACTGCCTACCAACTCCCACCCCAGCATATTTTACATATTCATCCCCTGGCTGGCTGCTTCTCATTCCCTTTTCATAAGATAACTTCAACTTAATGGCTCGGTGAATGAGCGAATCTGTGTTCTGCGAAATTAGTGTCAATTTTTGCAGAGAGCAAGATGTGTTTTCGGCGGGTAAGGTTGGCTACAGATGGACAGTCGGTTGCCAGGCAACGGGCGATGCGTGCGATGTCAACAAACAAACAACTTTCCTTTCACGGTGTTCAATGACAGATGCTTCCCTGCATTTCTAGATCAAACGTTAGTTCTTTCTAAGAATTACGTTTCTTTGTGGTGGATTGACCTGAGCATACGTTTAAGGACTTTAGAACAACGTGAAACCGATATTTTTTTCGTTTGACATGGGAGCTTTTTGAAATGTCAACAAGCGGTCTTTTTCTACTCTCTACTACAGGGCAGATAGAAACTGCCGAGTTCCCTGGATTTGATAATATATATTGCAAATATTGTTATATGTATGGTTTAGACTGGGTTGTAACAGCGGTGGGTATTAAGAGTGCCTTTTATTGCATTTTTTTTTTTGAAATATTATACAAGAACTTTTTTATTGTTAGGGCTTGGAGGAAGGTATATCGCAAGTAGGACGCTGTAGTAATGATGAGCGTCGAGTATTTGTGTGGAATTTCCCACTTGAGATAACATTTAAGAGCACAAATCCTTTTGGATGTAAGTAAAGAATATCGAGGAGTGCAATATATGTTTCATTTTAATGTTTGTTATTAATTTGAAATTTTTTTAACAGGGCCTCAACTTATAGTAAGCTGTTATGGTCTAGACACATTTGGAAATGACGTTGTCCGGGGGTATGGCGTTTGTCACTTACCAATCAGTGCAGGGAAAAACACAAAAACGTAAACAAAGTCTAGAAAACAGTGATTTAATTTCTGATAAACTCTTACTAACAATATTGTCCTGACAGGATTCCTATGTTTGTACCAGAATCTACTTCACTCCTTCAGAAAATGACTGCATGGTTAACAGGGCGCCGCCCAGAATATGTGGATCCCAGAGTACTAGCTCAAGGAGAGGGCAGAGAAGGTGATTGCCAAACAACTTACAATGGCAAAAGTTATAGATGCCAACCTGCATTTTAGTTGTTAAACAATACTAATCAACTTCTGTTTGCAGTAACAAGAGTTCGTTCACAAGGCACAGTGAAAGTGAGCTTCAATACTGTTACCAAAGATCTCCATACACTAGGATACCAGAATTCATCAGCAATACCAACAGTCACATCTGTTGGTGCACTTGCATCTCAATTGGATAACCTAAATATAGAATGAAATATTTTTTATACAACTTAGTAGATATACTGAATTTCTTTGAATTTGGTCATATGTGATACTTAAATTAAACAGTCTCATTCTTTTAAATAAAATCTCTTTGGGACACTTTGAGTAAGTTACGAAACATTCCTTTGTAGCTTCTTTTTCTTACAGCCCACTTTACTTTTACGAAACATTTGGCTTCAGTTCAATTTTGTATTAAAGCCCGGTTTGAAGATTTTACTAACACTTCACACATTCAACAATATAATTGAGCCTCTTCGGCATATATAAAACATTAACATAAGTAAACTCATTTAAAAATCAATAAGAGCAAAATAAAGTGAAAAAAATTACTATAAGAGGTAGAAAACATGATCACACAAGCTTGAATTTCTCCACACTAAGAGCAACGCATTCTCACAGTAATCTCAGTTCAATAAAGGTAGCCCACCATGGAATGTACTAGGGAGAACAATTTTAAAACAACTAAAAAGTGGCATTAAAAACATTTTATATCCTTGTGACAAAGTTAAAACAATAAAATCTGACTAGAAAAAAAATCATATAAAGCTTTGGTCTAAGTGTAGAACAAATTTGTGACTTTCAACAAATGGGAACCCACAAGCTTCTATGGAAAATTAAAAAAGGAAGAAAAAGGAAGAAGGATAAATATCACAATAATAACAGTGTTCGGTGTAGAGAATTGCCTACTGATCCATGACCGAAGTACCTCACATAATATTAGTGGTTTCTAATTCTTACAGAATAAAGATTTCAATCACAACACATCAGTATAAATCAAGCATGCTTACTTTTAATATTTACATTACATTTCACTTTTACATTAGGAATGAGGTTCCTGGCTTGATATTGTGATGAAGAGAGATCAGCTTCCACCTTGTGCCAATGCTAAGGCACGTGTTGGAAACCCGGTAACTCCACTGGTAGTCTTCTGAACTACATCAAACATTTCCTTCCCATACGATAGGGTAGAACTAAACATTCTGTTTACAAGTCCAAGGGAGGATTCTCTTTGAAGAGCTTTCACTTGAGGTTTTTCTGAAACATGAAATAAGATAGATTAAATTCTCAAATTATGTAAAATCATAAATACTTTGTCTCTTTACTTTACTCTTTAATTAAACTTACCAACTAAAAATGAAAGCAAGAGATTGTTGACAGCCTCAGGGCATTCTTGATGAGGGAAATGACCAGCCCCTTCAACCATTTTCACTAAAAACTTTTCAACATAATCTGAAGACTTGACAATACTTTCCAAGTTGACCCATGGATCCTTGTTACCCGTCAACAGTAATGTTGGGACATTGACAGCTCCTCTGCCTTCACTCACTCTCCAAAAAGGCAAATTACGGTAATAGTTGATTGGACCAGTCCAATCCGCTGAAAAGAGAAGATTGTTTAAAATTTTAGACTGCCAAATAAAAAAGTTGGAAAAAATTCAAAGGGCCATGACATGTACCTCTTCTAGAAAATGCATATTTATAAGCATCCAAATAAGCTTCTTGCCCTTTCCTGTTTTTGAGATGCTGGTAACACTGGTCAATTATACCAAGATCATTAGTGAGGGCTTCCATTTCTGCTAAGCTTGGCAGCTGACTAAGGTGCAACCATCTGAAAGCCAGATAAAGCAAAAAATACAAGCTTTTAGTTATCATACACTGCACTTGTTGATCTAACCAAGAGGTTACAATAGAATTAGTACCTTGAATTAAATGCGCTCGCTTTGGGTAAACAACTCCAATAGACATTTGGATGTGGACATGAAATAGCTACAAATTTAGTAACAACATCTGGGTAGCAGTGGACGAGGAACCAACCCAGGAGGGCACCCAGATCATGGCCAACAATCATGCAGCTGCGAACACCCAATGCAGTAATGAGGCTTCTGAGTTCCGCAACAACAGATGAGACTTGGTAACTGCGGGAGGAGAGTGGCTTATCGGAGTCACCAAAGCCCTTCAAATCCAATGCCACTACCCTACAAACAAAATCAAACAGATGATGAAATTACAGGTATTGCAAAATTACTAGGGACAGGGAGCGAATGTCTCCAAAGTCATCCTTACCGGAAGTGCGACGCTAAAACTGGCACTTGCTGTCTCCAGCCAATCCAACAATCAGGGAATCCATGCAGCAACAGAATGAGTGGTTTATCTCTGCCACCTCCGCATTCCACATAATGGAGTTTTACACCCTGAAAGCAAGGAGAAATGTCAGTGCGTATACCAGGATTTATCACACGATACCACCTGATGGAAGCAGCAGGTTGCATACAAAGAATGAATGGTAGAAGCCCTTCCTGCAGGACTAGTTTTGAAAAAGCGAAGCTAGGTCCAAAGTGCAAAGCAGACAATAGAGGACTTGCTTGGAGCAGAGCAACAGGTGGTTGTCACGCTTGGAAACTGGCGGGGCACAGAAACGCCAACGCCCTTCGACAACAACGGGGGCGTGAGGCGAGGCGTCATCGCTTCCATCACTCTCACCTTCAGTTTGACGTACGAGTGGGTGCCGAAAGTCGTCTCGAGCAGGCAGGCCGGAGGGTTGCCTCTTTTCTCCGCCGACGAGCCAGCGTAGTTTGCGTTCCACAGGCGAAGCAGAAACCTCTTGAGCAGAATCCAGAGACCCCACAGCAGGGAGCAAATGTGGATCTTGACCCTGTCCCACGACGAAATCTTGACGATGCAATCCATTCCGACGGCCTGGCCGAGACCGAGACCAACCATACTCCGCTTGACCGGCGATGGCGACCCCTGCACCGACTGTGCTGTGAAGTGCGGAGCGGACTGGACTGCGCAATCAACTGCGTTCCTCGGCCTCAGCTTCTCCCAGCGATCACTCAGGTCCGGCCGACCCGGGACGCGGCCACGAATGACTTGACTTGGATGGTGCTGGTTGAGTGATATCGGGACATCCACCGGTGTCGCACGCACACACACCAACACACACCGATCGGGGCGGGGGAGGGGGGGGGGGCAATGGGCAGAATCACAGGATCAACCGATCAACCGGACTGGTTGCGTGTCGAAAACTTTGTGCCAAGTTTGTCAAGTCTTGTAATCCACCTCTGATTGACGTCACTTATTATGTCACAATTCTATCCGTAGTCTGATCATTATCATTCAATTACTTTTAATATCTTTCTCTTTATTTTATAATTTCATGCTCGAATCTTTTTTTTTCCCGCTTGCCATTTCCACCTCCCCTCCCCCTCCTTTCACCTATTCGCACCCCCTTGCTGGTCTGCGAATACGCTATTGATTATTCGCACTCGAACCACTCCTCCCAGTCCAACACTCAACCTCAACCACGCGTGTGATCGTGAGGTTAGAAAGAAGACTTTCCGACGACAACTACAGAAATCTGTAAGCAATGCCGTCCCTTCAAAGAATAAAGTAAGTAAATTGTTTATTTTGATAGTCAATGCACCTGTTATTTCGATCCCGATGAGAATAGAACAGCTCCAAGGTCAACACGTAAATGGATATCCTCAAAAGCAAGGTTGTGTTGTCATCAATAATTCCGTCGTTGGTTGCGACTCCAGTGTTGTGGTCCCGCTTGGATCTATTAAACGTAAATAAATCGGGTGTCGAAGTTCATTGAGGACGCCGTTCTGAGTTTTCTTTGAGTTGCCACCTTCAAAATTTGTCTTCATTCTACTATTGTCACCCCAGAAGCAACTGTTGGTGGTGAGCTAAGTTTTTTGACGCATTGTTTATTGTTTTAGGAAACCTACCACTCATAGGGGGAAACGAGCTTTACTAAGGAAAGAACCACAAATCATTGAAGACACAAAGAAAGCCTTTTTTGTGAAGGGGAAAAAGACTGGCCCGCTTCTTGCAGATTTTCTGAAGGATTTAGTAAGTTTGATGCTAGCAGTATCTTTATTATGATTATTAGTTCCTCTTAATGTCATTCTTTAACTTTGCAGTATGCGTTGAAAAGGCCAGACGCTGCTATGCTGTCACGCAAAAACGATGTACTTCCCTTTGAGGATACATCTTTCCTTGAACATCATGGCAGGAAAAGAGAAGCCAACCTGTTTGCATTTGCCTCTCACACTAAGAAGCGGCCAAACAATTTGATACTTGGTAAGATTTTTTAAATGCTTTGTCTCAACCAGTATCAAGATCAATCAAGCAGACTAAAATATTTTTGTTATTTCTTTTCTTGCAGGTAGACTCCATGATTATCAACTTTTAGACATGGTAGAATTAGGAGTAGAAAAATACACTGCCATGAAAGAATTTGTGATTGAAAAAATTGGTGTTGGGATCAAACCATGCCTGGTTTTCAATGGGGATGTGTGGTCTCAAATGCACGAATATCAACGGGTCAGAAACTTGCTGGTAGACTTTTTCCACCGGGAATATCTGGAAACAGTGGCTCTCCAAGGTTTAGAGCATGTAATTTCATTCACAGCTGCAGATGGCATGATTTACATGAGAAGCTACAAGTGAGTAATCGCTTGATTCTAATCGGAGCAGTGATATTCTTCCTTAGGCATGGTTCAAGTTTTCTGAACTTGCCTCGTTTTCTTTGCAGGATATTTTTGAAGAAGTCTGGTCAGAAGACTCCTCGCATTGAAATTGAAGAAATTGGTCCATCAGCTGATATGAAGCTGAGAAGAACAAAGCTAGGATCTGATGACCTCTTCAAAACAGCTTGCAAACAACCCAAGATGCTCCAGGTTCGGATATTTATCATGCATGTATTTTTTTCTTTGTTTGATTACTGTAACATTATAACGGTTTTCTACCCTTTTTCTACCAGATTAAGAAAAAGAAGAACGTTACCACAGATGGGTTGGGTACCAAACATGGTCGCATTCATATTCAGAGACAGGAGATTGATAAAATACAGACGAGGAAGATGAAGGGTCTGAAGAAGACTGCAGCTGAACGTAAAGAAGAAAGGACCGTGTTGAAGAAGCGAAGAGCTGACCTTGCTGCTAGCGGGATTACAAGCAAGAGGTTGAGGACTGAGGCATGAACTGTAGTGTAGGCTATTAATTAAAATAAAACTTAAGGAAAACTAAATTTGCATTCTTCTTTCATCAATTTATTAAGAGACATCACCATTCTGGTAGTTTTCCATCCAAAGGAGAAAATATTATACAAAACCACTAATTCTACATATATGTACAAAACAAATTGTACTGGATACTTATTCCATTAAAACCACAAGGTGGAATGCAGGAATACCTCAGATGTGACTATATCGAATATAGTAGAAACAGTTTCCTTGAATAGGGGCAATTGGAAGAGAAAAGAAAAACATGCCTTCACAATATGTAGATGAACCATATTAATAAAGTAATTAAATGTACCAACAGACTTGAAAATACAAAGTGATGCATTCAGAATAATATTTAGACTGAGTATGTCTTGAAAAATAATATCACAAATTGTTAAACTTCACCGAAAACAGTGAAAAATGCTCAAAGGGGTGCATTCACAGGCCAACCCTCAAAGGGATTCCAGATGTGTGTGGACACTACAGATCATAAACCAATACCAATATACATGACTAATTCCTGGAACTCCAGCAAAACAAGGTCAAAAAAAATTAGAGCAGGTACAAGCTTGAACACCAGCCACTGCAAGGGGGATACATACATAAAGGGTAGCATCAGTTATCAAATGTGACTGCTCACCTCAAGAAAACAAACAAACAAAATTCTACTTTCACAATAACTATTACAGGAATCTGGTTCAGTATCGTTGACGGATGTGAATACCAATGTACAAAATTAATGACAAACTTATAGTACAATACTTACAGTAGTACATAATGTGCACACAAGTTACTACAACGATTCTCACTTTTGAAGAGATCAAATAGCTGAGATACAAGTGGACACATCCCCTTTGGTAACAGACCTAACAATATGCTGGCCTTTCACATTGGTAAATTGCATAAGAAAGAGAAATATACCAAAAAAAATATATTAACTCTTCCACCCTCATGCTCTTTTCGCCTTCCATTCATGGCTTTGAAAATATTTTTTACCACTCAGCATCACCATTGGCCCTCTGGAAAACGAAGTCTTTTCCATTCAGGTTCATTATACCATCCTTCAGGTAAAATTTCCATTTGTTTCTAGTTCTAGTGATCTGAAAACAACAACATAAGAACCCAGTTATATAGATTGAAGTACAGTATGCTATTGCTTGGGCTTATAATTACTATCTCCTAGTTTAAATAAATTGAGGCTCACCTTATCATATTGACACACAACTACATTCTCAGTGTCAAAAAGATCTTGTGGGTCTTCATCACTAACATCATCTCCAGAATTCAGAGGTTCCTGTCACAAAGGAAAGATAATATAAAATAATAAGTAAGAAATGCAGAAATGTGTTAAGTGTAATGCTAGATCCATTTTATAATCTTACTTCTTCAGCTCCACCTTCATTTTCATCATTTTCATCTTCGTCACGTTCATCATTATCATCAATGTCATCATCATCATCGTCGTCGTCATCATCATCATCATCTTCATCTGATGAATCTAATGCTCCATCTAATTGGGATATGGTGTTAGAATTCTACAGAGAGGGGGAAAAAGTACAATGTTATAAGTTGTAATGGAAGTGTACCATTCCTATTATTGTATTCCTTGAACTTACTTGGTGGCCAAACGGAGTTACTCCATTATTTTGATTATTTGACGCAGTCTGAAGCTGTACAGCTGCTGATAAAATTATTACACAGTTTATTAATGCCACTTGTCGTAAAAGGTTTAAAGAACAAAAAGAAGAAAAAAAAAGGGAATTTACAACTGCTTAGGAAGTTTTACTAACCATTTGCAGCTTGACCCTGAAGTGCAGCATTAACATGTTGCTGCAGTAGAGAGCAGGCAAGTGGAAGAGGTAAATTCATTGTAGCGGAAATGACTGGTCCAGTAAGCACCTGTTGTAACTGATTACCTGAAAAGGAGTACTGAGTTATTAGACACTCAATTTACATAAGAACAAAAATAACGAACTTGTTGTAAAATTTGTTTGCTTACCAGTTAGTGCAGATGCTGGTACATGAATAGTTAGAACTCGTGGTTGTGCATCTAAAACACCAGTCTGAGGAGGCAATGTAATTTGTATAGGCACTTGACGATTAGGATCTAAACCTGCAAAAGTTGTTGTGGGAGCTGGCTGCGGTGCAGCTGGTGGCGGTGGCGGCGGCGCTGCCTGAGGTGCAGGTTGTGGTTGAGGAGTGGGCACTACAGTCTGGCTCTTCAAGAGAGTTGTCTGGTTTTGGAGTTGGTTCATGTTCTGTAACCTGTTCAACTGTTGCTGCGCAATAGATATGGTTTGGCTATTCTGTGTAACAGCAGGTATGACTCCTTGAGTTGACGGCATGACTCCAGTGCTTGCTGCCGCCATCATGCCTCCATTGATAACTCCTGACCCAGCCACTTGAGTTGCTGGTATTGGAACTGCCACAACATGGAAAGAAAAACACAGACATTAATGGAAAATCAAGCGATTAACTCCTGCAAAGAATCATTAAGTAAAGCATAGTTCAATTTCCCAACAATTCTATGAAGTTTTAAAGGTTGTTTGAAATGAAAATGGATGAAAAATATCTTAAAGAGTGGTCACTGATAAACATGCTTGATTTGGTAAGATATGCACAGGCAATTTTGAAATAAAAGCTAGAGATAGATAAATTAAAAACATGCAGAACCAGGCAACCCCACCAACCATGATGGAAAGGTTTAACAATCCATACAGTAACTCTCATGGTTGAAAGAGGCAATTCCATCATCTAAAGGCTTGAACCATTTATTGTTCAGATCTGAAAATGGTAGTTTATACTGAAAATACAAGTACCAAGAGGAACAAAACTACAACATAAAAAAAGATTTGCAAAAAGAAAAATAGAGTGAAAATGTATCTTGAGAATATTTAGTAAAGATGATAGATGAAAGTAACAACTGCTGTAGACACCATCAACATTGTTGCCTAGAATATAGAACAAATGCACAGACAAAATGAGAAAAATCAGTATGTTATGTAAATTTAACAATTAAACAAAATTATATAAAAAAGAACAAAACAGTCTCAGTTAAATATTACTTTGCTAAGTCTCACAGAAGCTTGAAGATCAACAAGGAAATCTAAAAATCTTAATGCCCAAAATTTAAAAGAATAAATTTAAAAAGAAAAAATCAAAATGGGGAAGTACCACTACCACAATGTCAACTCAATGGCTGAAAAGCTGATCAACCCTGCACTAAAACCAAATTTAAAACCAGCAAGCAAAGGCACACACTTAAGCACACCAAGCAATAACAAGCACAGATTGTTAAAACATCACCCACAATGCTACAATTCTCTGACAGAATGCCTCCACCTACTCTCACATGATTAAGACAGGCTCACCTTTGACATCAGCAGCATTATCTGCTGCTACTGTGGTTGATGTTGCCGCTGCTGCTGCTGCCGCTGCTGCTGCCGCTGCTGCTGCTACTGTGGGGGCAGCAGCAGCAGCTTTGGCCGCTGCCGCTTGACTCTTTTTAGATCCACCTGCAACAAAGTTTGCTACAACCTACCAGCAGAACTCGACTCACTGACAGAAAAAAAGCCTTTTAAGCTTGAGAGCTCTTGTACAGCCTACAGCACCTAACCAATGTAATATTGAGGTAGAAATTCATATTTAAAAAAAAAAATGAAATGACAGCTCTTACTTATTGAGAAAAATAGCAAGTATTGTTTCTTTGTCTTAAATACCCATTGAGGCAACTACATAATATAAATTCTACTTGTTCTATTACAATGACGGCACAGAGCTCTCTGCTTGGTTGAGCTTTCAAACAAAGCTGTGCTGACTTTGAAAGTACCAGAAGCCTAGCATGAGTAGAAGCAATCACTAAAATTGGGAGATGGGATTCTCTGGGGTTTAATACACATCAATCTACAGTACCATCTAACAAAAAATTGTTAGTTGAATGATTTTCACACTGTGATAAATTCACACAATATGCAATAATAATGGTGTGGAAAAACGACTTAAAAATCTCCTAATAGGATTGAAACACCAAGTCATTAACACAGAAAAAATTAAGTGATAGTTAATACAAAAAACAGACAGCAAACCACACAAAAACCAAGCAACATAAAAGCAAATGTTGCAGATTGACACCGGAGAAAAGTTGAATTCCCTTAAGGACAAAATATTATCTACTAAAACCTCAAAAATCCATATGATGACTAAATAAAACAGTAGATCAGAGTGCAATTCATAGCTTCAGAGGCAAAAACCACAGCTAAACAATAAAGCTTAGTAAGTAGCAGTGTTGTCAAGACATACCTGACTTGGAATTTGATTTCTGACCCATCTGAGGAGGGGCATGGTCCAATGGCTCTGGATTAGGTTCCACGGCCTTGTTTGACAATAACTTCTGTTCCCATAGTTGCTTGAGCTCTTGGAGCACTTGATCATCCACCCCTTCGTCCAGGAACGCTTCTCGCACTCCAGATATAACATCATCTATGACGCTATTATATAGCTTTAACTGCAAAAGAAAGGTATGCCAGAATGAGCTTGTGATGCTGTGAATCAAGGGTAAAAGAAGACATTAAATTTTCATAAAATATCAAGATGCACAGTAAAAGAATTATTATTTTACAGGTACATTTAATAAAGTAGGAAAAGAAACAACCCTTGGAAAGAAGGGGGGCCAACAAAAAAAGCAAATAAAAATTAATTCGAAATTTTTCAAAGATATGAAAAATACAAAAACCGAATAGAACTTTTAACAGAAGTACACTTTGACTAATATAATTCATGGTGACACACAATTCTTGTGGAGAGGTTATAACTTTCAATCTGGCAAAGGAGAAAAATCATAGGGTGGCTATAGATTTCAATAGGTCACAGAAATGCTGGCTTCAAAGCAGAAGTTCAAATTAAAACCAGAAATATAGTTAACTGCTTGCAACGGGGCCAGACATAAAAAGCGGTGAGAGATACCGTGTTGAACATAACCTCAAATTCCCCAACGGTTTAAATCAGCTCAAAACTTTAAGTACGTATTTACAGCCGGTGTGTTTCGATGCACAACCAATTTCAACGTTTCCCGGAAGTTGCAACTTACCACACACGATTGACTAAGCGACATTCTTAAATAAACTAAATGATTCTAAGCTGCTACGATAATGGACGAATACAACAGAAGAGGCCTCCTCTCCTTCCCCTCCCCGTTCCCTTTCCCTCCCCTCCCCCTCTCTCGCCGACGTCGTCATCCCCTCTCCCCACCCCTCCCAAGGTGGCCGATGGGTTGCCTACGCACCCGGCGCCCGTCCGGCGCCGGCCTTGGGCGGGAGGGGCCCGGGGCCGCCCCCCTTTTCGGAGCGTGGAGCCGAAGTTGTCACGTCAAACAGGGCGGCGATTACGGAGACGGACTTGGGGAGTTTCTGCGATCAGAAAATCAGAAACGTGTGTCTCGCGAGCGATTCCGAAGAGTCGATTCGCCTCTCTGTCTCTGTCGCACTCATGAAGCGCGACGTGGGGTTGTGAGACAGTCAGGCGGCAGACGAAACGAGTCTTCTGAATCAGTTCCCGAACCGGCTGGAGACGGCCAAGTGGAACTCGGACATGCGGGCACGAGGACAGCGACAGCGGGCGGCGGCGGCGGGGACGCGGCGAGGCGTTCGTGTCTGCGCTGTGGTGCGACACTCCCCCGCGGTTTCGGCTCGGCGAACTCGGACACTTGCTGTCGTCGCCGCCTTACAGTCGGGAGGGTAGGCCGGCCCGGCAGACACACATGCATGAGCTTGCCTACCTGTCGGGCTGTGCGTTCGCAGTGCGTCGGCACAGTTGGCACACATTGGCACACATACCCACGCAAAAACAAGCAAACAGCCAAAACAGACCGCCCGCCCTGCCCCGCCCCGCCCCACCCCGCCCTGGCGGCATCGCGATGCGCCTCGACGCGGCCCGCCTCGCGCGGCCCGGTGTCATCAGCACACAATCGAGGCTGTCATACGCGGCGGCGGCCCGGCGGCCCGGCCGCGCCCTGTTGGCCTTCCCGTCTGGAGGGACGGAGTCGACGGAGTCTGGGGCCGAGCTGTGGAGCGCGGCCAAGCGCGGCGCGGACCTGGTGCCGGTGTCACTGGCAAATGATGAGCCGGTGGGGTGGCGGGGCCGGGCGGGGCGGGGCGGGGGCGGCGCGGAATCTGCCCCCGGCGGCGCGGACGGCGCGGCGGCGGTGACCATGTGGTGGTGCCGGCCGGGTGTTGTGGTGGGATAGGACCAGGAGGATCCGAGCCGAGCCGCGCCGGGCCGAGCCGAGCCGAGGCCCCGGCGCGCGGTGCCCGCTGTGGCGTGGCGGCGTGGCCCGTGTGGCGTGCGTGCGCGCGATCCCCACGGGGGGCTCAGTCGCTTTTCGCAAGTGGCGAGTCAAGTCGCGACCCGCGCGGCGCTTAGCAGGGCGCTGGACCGCACGTACCGCCGCACGTACCGGCACCGCGCCGAGCGAGCCGAGGCACTGGTTGGCGTGCAGCGCGTTGTGACAGTGACAGTGTGACAGTGGGACTGAGCGACGTCACCGGCCGCCTCCCGCCACCGCCAGCAGTCGGCCAAGAGCAGCACGCCTCCACCATGTGAGTGAGGGGTGCCGTCTCCCTCGCATCCCCAGGGCCGCCCCGCCGCCCCGCCAGTGCGATAAAGACAGAGCAACGCTCAGGGTCATCAAAGATGGTCTCTTCGCGCCGCGCGCGCTTTTTGTGTCCGGCGACCGATGGGCGGGACTTCCCTGTCCTTCCGAGCGAACGCGTGTTGGGCACGTCGTGGCAATCCGATAGTGAATCCCCCTCGCCGTGCCCGGCAGTCTGTCTCTCTCGCACCCCCACGAAGCGCCCGGCTAATGCGAGAGAGACAGAGCGTTGAGATCGCTGTTCGGAAAGAGCGTGCAGGCCGCCCTGCCTGCCTCTCGGAAGCGACGAGTGTCTCCGGGGTCCGGGGGCTCTGCGCGGCGCGGCTCCTGTTTGGCGACAAAAAGACGACACCCCCCAGACCCCCAGACCCAAGCCCAGGTCGACGCCTCGGTAATTAATCGACCGCTAAACTCTGCCGGCCCGGCGTGTCGGCGCCCTGGACCTCCTCCCGCGTCCCGGCGGTCGAAATTGGGAGCCGAATGACACGGCGGCTTTGGCATCCCAAACGAGAGCGGACGGTGGAAAGAAAAGCAGCCGCCTGGGCGGAGTTCTGGCGTCGCGTGTGTGGTGCCGGGCTGCCGGCCGTGGCGCTCCAGACCTCTAGCGCTGCCGGAGGCTGGAGGACGTAATTACATCACTGGATGAAAAATAAACTAATCGGCCGCTCGAGGAAAAGTCCTTTTCTTCGCTCATTCCGCAGTTCGCTGCCCAATTTCTGCTATCGTAGATCGTCGGGATGGTTCCTCATTCGCGAGCCTGGCTGCTTTTTTTGGCGCGGAATCGTCGCCGGACCGAATGATTTCGGTCCTACCGTGACGACGCGAAGGCTGCGCGCTGCGCCCGCGTGTGCCGGGTGAATGGGTGTGGTTCAAATCAAGGTGGACCACTTCTAGCGATTCCACATTTAAAAAAAGGATCAGCAAAAAAAGAAATCAAGACCACCTGGTGGTCGCTGCACCGCGCGGCCCGCGGTCCGAGCTACCTGTCACTCTGATTGGCCTCATAAATGAGCCGGGGAACCAGATCGGATGAATTTCCCGGCGATACGGCAGGGAAGTGAATGGAGTAGTATAATCTTCCAATCAAAGGCGGCAGGCAATGGCGCAGGCAAACGGCTAACGCGCGCCCAGCCGAGTTTCCCGCGTTTTCCATAATCCTCTTATAATGCCCGATGATTTCTGTCCTCTGCTCGGCGCGGCTCGGCGCTGGAGTCGTTTTCTAGTGGTGCGACACTGGCAATGGCCCGGGGATCTCTTTCTCATATGCATGCTAAAGCGGCTGAATCAAGCGGCGCCGCAGTGAACGCAGTGCGAGGGCAGTGCGGGGGCGGGACCGTCTCCGCCGTCTTGGCGATGCAGCGGCGCGACCCCGCGGCGCTGTCTCTCTCGCACCCCCAGGGCGCGGCCCACGAGTGCGAGAGAGACAGCGCGGCGAGGCGACTGTTGAGTCTGCAGCAGCGCAGTTAATTATCGGCCCGACAAATCCCTCGGCTTGTCGAGGCAGCAGGCTGGCAGTGCAGTTGGTGCAGTATGGAGAATAGCCTGGAAATAATCATCGCCTGCTTTGCGCGTTGCGCGTGTGCGCGTGCGCGCAGGCAGCGCACTCAAGGCCGCGCTTTTGAAAGCCGCTTTCCTAAACGGCGCGAGGAAGACGCAAATTAAGCGAAAAGAAAAAGAAACAGGGCACGAAAACAACGAAAAAGGAGAGAAAACAAATGACATGCTAGGCGGTCGTTGGAGTCGTCCACGCCCATTCATGCCAGGCGGTGAACGGGAGCAGCGCTCGGTCCAAGCGCTCATGGCGTTTTACACTGTCGTCGCCCGGCGAGGTGACGAATCGCCGTCCATAGATCTCGTCTTCGAGGAGCACATGGAGGGCCTTCCGGGGGCGGTGTCCACGGTGTCCACCCGCCCGCACCGGCCGTGCGTCGCCGTGCATACCAATGCGGCCCGCTCGTGCTCCAGAAAAGTCAACAGTGTACAGAGTACACTGGGAGAGTGCCCGTCCCGGCCGGCCGGGTGGACACGCCAGCATGAGTGGATCTGAGTAAACGGCCCGGGCACCGTCGAGTCGAGACGTTGTAATTGCCGATCGCCACCAACACGGACGCGGCGGGTCGCGGCGGGACGGTGTCCGAATTTCGCCCCTCGACGACCATCTTCGGGCTGCACGCGGCTGCCGCGCCCGAACGCGAATCTGCCGCACGGCGAGACAGCAACGCACAAGCACACGTGATCGAACAGCAATGTGTGTTCCGGGTAGCCGCGCCGTGCTTGCGCCGTGCTTGCACAAGAAGTGCTTTTGTTTTCTCGTTGTTTTCATTATCGCGTCCGCGCGTCCGCGTGCAGCAACAGGCCCGCCGTCACTCTATTTATCCGAACCGCGCTCTGTCTCTCTCGCGCCCCTACGGAACGCCCCGCGAGTGTGAGAGAGACAGTGGACTGAACGCGCGTCCTGCCGCAGTCGGCCGCCGGCCGAAAGAAGGCAGAAGGCCCGCCTCCGCCTGCTCCGCCGCCGTCTCCCAGTTTCGCCAGTTTTTCTACCTCTCCACGGCGATAAAGATTGGGGGAAATACTCGGCCCTATCAAGAATCGATTGGAAATGGTCGACGCTGGCAAGAAACAGTCAAAAACAACAGCCGGACTGCGAACGGATTGGCGGGCCTGGCGCTTCGCGGTCCGCGGTCCGCGGTTCGCGGCGGCGCGCGGTGGTCGTCCCTCCTCCCCTCGCTCCTCTCCGTCGTCATCAAGCTCGCGGGCAAAACGAAGCGGTCTCTTATTCCCCATTGCAGCCATTTTCTCATCCGCGGCCCGGCCTTTGACTGTCGCTCTGTCTCTCTCGCACTCGTGGGGCGCCCCGCATGGGTGCGAGGGAGACAGAGCGACGGAGCACCGGCCGGGCGGAGGCGCGGATGTTCCTCGACGAATTGGAAGTGGAAAGAGTCCTCGCCCTTGGAGCGAGTGTGGCGTGCGGGGCGGCCGTCTCTCTCGCACCCACACGCCAAGCCGACGCCAAAGCCGACGCCAAGCCCTCAGAGCGAGGGACCGCCCACTCCACTGCAGCAGATACGCATCGCACCGACCGCGGAGCGGAGCCGGATCGGCACCTTGAGGCTCTCGCTCTCTCTCGCTCTCGTGCACGCGCGCATCCTGCCAGCTTTTCACCCCCGCGCCCCGCGCACAGCACTGCAGACTGAGAGTCGTTTTCATCGCCCTACGCACCTACACGGGACGCCCCGTGCCGTGGAGTGCGAGGGCGACGGAATCAGTCTGCAGTGCCGTGGCAGTGCACTGGACGGGACGAATCGGGGGAATTTCCCTTCCTTTTCCCGATCATGGCCCCCAATTACCGCGCATCGCCGCGCTAACGACCCGGAGGAAAATCCTGTGAGAGAGGCATCCCCGGCATTGTCCACCGGCGGAGCGAGGCAGAGAGAGAGAGAGAGAGAGAGAGAGAGAGAGAGAGAGAGAGAGAGAGAGAGAGAGAGAGAGAGAGAGAGAGAGAGAGAGAGAGAGAGACAGAGATGAGTGATGAGGACCGAGGCCGTCAGTTAGATGTCGAGAATGCACGTTCTGCCTTTGTCGTTGTTTTGATTTGGCGCCTTTTGTATCATCGTGTTTTGGAGGCGCGGCGCGGGCGCACTTCCTGACCTTGCAGCCCGGGAGAGGAAGAGAGAGAGGAGGAGGAGGGGGAGGGGCGGACGTCCATGGCATTCGTGGGTCCAGCCAGCCGGTCTAGCTCCGTCTGGTGATTCACTGGCCGTGCCGGCGTGCCGCTGCACTGCACATGCAGTTGCACAGGAAGCCGAGCTGCGCGGAGCGATTGCACTTGACTTCTGCACTCGCGACTCTCTTGGCGGCTGGGTCGCACTTCGTCCAGTTTATCTCTCGGGAGTCACGTGGCAGTGCAGGCGCGGGCCGTGCTCTGTCTCTCTCGCACTCGTGGGACGCACTCTTCGGAATCAAAATCGTTCTGATGCTTTGTGTGTTTTCTGTGCGAATTGGTCGTGTTTGGCACGGAAAAGCAGTGCCATGATCGGAACTCATGTCGAAGTAAAGAGGCTGAACCAGATTTCCAGTGTCGCTGACGTCACTCGGCGGAGTTTATATTCGCGGTGTCGGGTTCGCGGTGTACTCGCGTCAGCGACAACGGGTGTCTAGAGGGTAAACTGGCCAACTGCTCTGGTTTGGAGAAAGATAAAAAAGTGGCCTGTTGCTGGGCGCGCAGTTCCAGCAGTTCCAGCTCCTCGGGGCTCTAGGATGAAACTGGACGCCCCAAAAATGAGAGACGACCTGACGGGACGGCACTAGAGAGCCTCAGAGGCACCTGGCGCCGAGCTGAGCTGGTCAGTGAGCGAGCCCCGGCGTGCCCTGTGTTTGCCTGGGCGAGAGTGTAGCAGCAGCAGCTGTGTTGTCCTGGCTCCCGACGGCACGGCACGGCGTTCCCGCCGAGCGTCTCGTCGCTCTGTCTCTCTCGCACCCCCACGGCGCGCCCCATGAGTGCGACAAGGACAACGCGAGCAGCCTGCTGGCGATGGAAAGTTCGGAAAAGCTGTTCGGAAGCAAGGACCCCTTTCGGTCCGTCCACAACCTAACTCTGCCTCGACAAGCGGCCCCTCCTTCGCGCCAAATTTCCCCGCCCGATTCTCATTTCAAGTCATTAATCACACCTTTCGGCGAAATGTCTCAGATGATGAGATGCGAGGTTTCTCCGGGGAAAGGGGAGCGGCAAGCAAGGGGGCGGTCTAGCCCCGCCTGCTCCAAACTGCTGCCCGTTATCCCAACCCGGGAGTCGCCGCTCGCTGACAACGGGTGGCCAATTGTGCGTCGAAGTGGCCGGCGATACAGTGCGGTAGCGTACTAGTACACTGGCTGCAGTGGCGGTCCGAGCCGAGCGGTCTGTGTGGCCGAGACCTTCGAGTGGGCCTTCGTCTGGCACAGTTTGAT